CATTTCCTTCCTATCTAATAAGTACAACAACTGTGCATACACATGTACATACATATAGTCATCCCTTATGCAAAATAAATTCAGCTATCACGAACCCCCAAACACATGCACAGCGCCTTCCCATTCATCATTGCTTTGTACATACAATTGACAATGAGCGAACTGTGACATGAACAAACAACTCGTGAATACTACAAGTATTTGAATAGTGAAGCCATTCCATTTTCCAATTCCTTGATTTGCATATCCTCCCACTCAAATGACGCAACAGTGTGGTGGTGTCAACCAAGAAAGTGAAAGGTCGGTTGGTCGGATGGCATCCCAAATCCACCTCAAATTGCAAAAGCAAAGAAACCTGATAATCCAAGAAATCTTTATATCTTTGCCAAACTCGGATTTGATATCAACTTGGGAACACGTTCTTTGACACTATTTCCTTCTCAGAATGACTCATAATCTCAATAATCCATCCAAGCCCAGGTTGTATCACGTCCAGACGTTGTAGTTGAAATAATAATGATATAATTCCTCATTATTCCACCCACAAATCCTTTCCTACTTCTTCGCAAGCTTTGTTTCCTGGAATTTATGTACTTGGTGGCAGATGCAGCAGGTGTGCATTTGGTGAAGGGGACGAAAGTGAAATGTTTCACATTGACTTTGTGGTTGGCGTGCTCCGCATTTAATCAGCACGAGTACGCCTCGCTCACTTTGGTTGATCCCATGACCTGCATTTAACTTTCTCCTCTCCAACCGACCCACCGACCGACCGACCGATCAAATACAATTCGCTCCCTCAGCCAACAGAGGTTTGAGTTATGTGTGTAAATACGTACTGCAAGTTCAATTAATACTGCGGGTAACCTTGTGGCATCTCACATAAGAAGCTTCCATTCCTTTCGACTTCCCTTTCGGATGCTGTGGAACTAACAATAAGCCGAATTTCTGCAGTATTTGGAGATGAAATGAGGTAACTCTCTGTGGGATGAAGGAATTCAATTTAATGAAATAGTACTCTTCGTTATATAGACGGCGTAGGGGAATACTTATAAAAAATTGTTGACCCGCCTATGAGGATTTTAACCATATACATATGTCTTGCATAACTGATGCTACATATGTAGATGTAGCATCTATGTGTTAAAAAAAGAAAATTAAAATGTCATATCAAATCTTCAATCACAAAATTTAAGACATCCGTTCGCAAAATCTTAACAAGATTAAACTGGCAACAATTTTATATAATTTTTTTATATAACAATTTTATATAATTTCGCTTTTTTCGTCGCGTATACATACATATGCATAAAAAGTTTAAAACTGGCTTTCCCTCACTATGCGATGCTATGAATGCGTTGTAAGCCATGCAACAAGATAACATCTCTTTCCATTATTCTTCCCTCAAATTGTGGTTACCACTTTCCTTTGCCAAAGCATAAAATAAATAAGCAGGAAGCGATCCCCCAAAGGTAATAAAGGCCAAGAGGAGGTTTTGACAGGAGAAGGATGCCGCCCCGTCATGAAGAGATCGCTTAGCATTAAATAAAATATGCTCCAGATCTGAGAATGGCCAGAGAAAAATAACTTTTAGATTTTTTCCATAAACTTGCCACGAATCTACGAATCTAAAAAAAAGATTTTTGCACATTATGTATAGACGACTTGGGAAGGATGATTTTTCACCGGGTGTCATAGATGTGGAAGGAATATACGGGCAGGTACATATAGATTATACTAATAATGATGTGTACATGTGTATATACTTATGTAGTAGCTACATCCATAGTCCGTGATTTGTTCGTGATTTGGTGATGCTTTCACGGGTTCATAATTTCGGCATGTTAATCACCATAACAATTTAAAATATCGACCAATCAGAAAATCGGAATCAAATAATTTTTGGAAAGTTATGGAGCAAGATTGTTTGACAATTTATCATAATACAAGGTTACGACAATTGCTTCGAGAGCTTCAAAAACCTTCATTTTTGAAGCGCTAATTTTTTTTTTTTTGTGACTTTTTTCTTGTTTTTATTTAAACCAAGTGTTTTTTGTTAACAATGATATAAGTCCGCATGGAAAGCTCATAAATAAAAAATTTCCCCGAGCGCTAATTATTTGGGCCGTCGCTAACGGTAATAAAAGCACATAAATTTCTGCCAGAACGCCGAAATAGCCGATTTCACATTTACAACTGCATAGATTCTTGTACCCATGGTGAAAAAATAATTCGAGGGAACGAAATGTGAGTGTTGACAATTTTTGGGCGTTTTATTTTTTTGGGTGAAAATTTGTGCGGCGCACACTGGAGTCGACAGACTCCAGGCTTTTCGAAAATTAAAGTTTTTCAGTCGTCTTAGCAATTGTCGCAACCTTGTAATTATTACTAAAGTTGTCAAGCAACCTTGGTTATGGAGTATGGATGCGATAAACCATCAAATCATGACGAAATCATGAACAAATCACGGACTATGGATGCAGCTTATGAATGTATATACAAGATTGTGAAGTTGTGTAACAGTCTTCTTCCGCCCATTTCCTCTTCCTTTCGCCGGTGAACACGTTGAATGACTTGAGGAAACACGAATGAATTTGAAGTTGGATGTGATCAATGACTTTTGATATCAGAATCTCTCAGAATTCTATAGATCAAGCAAATGGCGTGCCATCTGAGCGTGGTCCTCAGCTCAGTAGGTATGCACTTGAGAAATCAAAAGAACTCAACTGTTCGCCCATTGATTTTGTTTATGATGAAGGAAGAATTTTGTTTTGATTCCTATTGAACGAACTGCACGCTTGCTTTCTACGAACGAAAACTTTGAAAAATAAAGAACAATCGAAAAACCATTTGGACAAGAGAGCACGTGCAACTAATGAGATTAATTATTTTCAGAGGAGAGAAAACCACATTTTCCTAATTAGTCAACTCCAGGCAAGAGAGACACAAGAAAATCGAAGCTCATTGATAGACTAATTGACATGGTTCAAACTGGTGTCTAGGATGTATTTATGTAGGTTGTCATTCTATGACCATGGTCATGGCCATGCGGTTAAAAAAGACATGCACCATTAGAAAACATGGAGTAAAATATTGTGAGTGATAAGCCATTGAAATGAAAACAACAATTTCAAATTACATAAACTTTTTACGACTAAAACTTATTTCTAGATAGTATCACGGCGCCATTCGATTGCATAATCACATACTTACTGCATCAACACTTTCTTGCGTATTCCTTTGATCTTTATTTTGACCTGTCAAATAGGCATGTACGTAAGACATCCTATAAGAATGATTTTCCTATTAAATTTGTTTGTCAATAGTGCGTACCTCAAAATTCGATTTTAAAAACCAATACTCCAGACTTTTGATTAAGGAATTCCTACAAAATTGATAAAATTTTATGAATATCTTGAAAACTTTCGGTGGCTTCTTACACTCTTTCTGACAAAAGAGATTGCTCGGCATTGTGTAAAAATCAAAACTTTTCCTTCCTATTCACTATTTGTCCTTGTTTCATATATGAAAACTTTAGGATTACATTACTGAGACCTTTATCACATATTTTCTTTTCTACATTCTTCCAGGTTTCAAGGGTATCAAATTTCAAATATTTTTGCGTCTGCTGTTATAATTCATTCATAATACATTATAAGTACGCATATAGAATCAATTTATATATTTTTTAGATGGTCGATTTTTATGCCTGTGCAGCAAATGTGAAGCAATATGTATGTAAACTTATTTGCATTTCATTACGCAGTGTGTAAGAAACTCTTTGAGATGTTCTGGCTGAAACCTACGTACTCATATTATTCAGCACACAATTTTTTATTCCATAAGAACGTTTTCATCCTGCTCGTTCCCACGATCTGTACTACGCGATAATGAAGGGAAAAGCAAAATACGGGCACGAGATCATGGTAATCCTTTCACACCACTTGTACATAAGAAATCTGATGGTTCTGCGCGTAGTTTTTTTTTTCAAAAGCAATACTACGGTCTACTGAGCCCTTGTTTGCTGTGTATAGCGTTACATAATTTGCATTCACATCTGCATTTATAATAAATCCAAAAATCTGTTAACGGAATATATTTTCAGTTAGGAAGGAGTTTCACGACGAGCTCTTACATTTTTCATGCCTTGCTTTTCTTGAGCAGAACGCACTTGTGACCGATCAGAGAGGAAGAAAGTGAGCACAGGTTGGCCGAATCCGTCATATAAACAAAGATCATCAATCACGAAGAGACAACCGCAACATCCACCAGTTTCACCACTTTCACTCTCCATGCAACCTCAGCAAACGGCTGTATAACATTAAAATTTAGGGTAAGCATTTATTCAGAGCAAGGCCAGCAAAGTGCAAAGCGGAACCTGGCAAATTTTTGTTCTAGTCATTCATACTTGCGAGATTATTTAATGGATTTAAAATAGTACGATGCACCACGCACGGGGAAAGTGCTTGGTATTTATAAATACAGGTGAATCAATTCACCAGAAAATGTGGAATGGTGTTGGGGGAGGACACTGATATTTCACTTAACCAATCTCATTTACCCGCACGCTGGATGAGATAATTGGAACTCTTAAAGCCAGAAGGTCCCAATAAAACAGGAAGAGAAAGCAGAAGTGAAAACGAGTTGCTCTTGTGCAGGCAGAGATTGTTCGAGTCTCAATTCCATACACATTCTGTCTGCAGCTCCGTCAGTCAGGTTCATTAATCATGCCTCCGTCAACGCTTTCCTTGTGCATCGTCTGTCCTATGTATAATAAAGGAACGGTGTTACAGCAGCAAGTCCTCTTGCCCCTGGCTTATCATCAAGAAAATGCATGAATGAGACGCTGTATTGTACGTACGTAAGTATGAAATACTGCGTTACAAAAAATCTCAATGTGCTCTCAAAAATCCAATTTCCTCACTTCCAAGTAGTTACACTCGATACATATTAAATTTCCAGTGAAAATGAAAAGTAGGTATGCGCATATACAAAAAATGACATTGATTTAAAAATAAGTATTTATTCTCCTTCAAGTTTTTTAGTCATTCGGATTTACGAAACATCGACTACTTCTTTCTATTCCACACTTGTAGTATTTTATCAACTTGGGTGACCTCTGTCTGTGGAGGTAAATCAAGGCGTAGAGTAGAACAATCACAACAGCAAACGCAGCCAGTACTAAAAATGTAACAATCAGAATTGTCGTCCTACAACTTTCTCCCACATCTTGTTCGTCACCGACAATGCTCAATGTTCCATTATTTGCGGTGGTGGTGGTGGCAGCATTTGCTGAAATTTCTGACGAGACTTGAAACCATTCAAATGAAAAGCTATCTGGCTGATAGACATGAATTCGGCTAACTTCCTTCGTGTCAATAATTACATTTCTCCACACTGCTCGAATATGAGCTAATGGGAAAAGTTGCGTTGTGGTGGGTTCTAAAAATGTAGAGAAAAATGAGTTACAACTAAGCAATAAGAAAACTCATTATCAGAAAAAATGTGGAGATAAAAAATGAGCAACCTTGATCAAGAAATGAAATTCGCTTTCGTTGATTAGTTGTTCCACCATCACCGTGATGATGACTAAAGTCTGGAAAAGAAGTGTTGTTGTGCTCAATTCCAATTTGAAAACCTGAAGCCCATTCAGGAAGCCCGTCAAGTGTAATTGTCAAGTTTACTCGTCGAGTCGACTGCAGAGAGGAGGAGGACGACAACGGGAAGGAGTTGTTTCCCTCTGATCCTACTTCAACCATTTTAATTGTTCTTAGAATTACTCTAGCACCTGATAAGAAATGCAATAAAAGTTGAGAGTTGCTACTCGAATGGGTTGTTCAAATATTAAGCTTTCTATTTAATTCGAATTTCTTGTAAACCTGTTCCGATCAGGAGGCCTCGTACTTCATCTCTGAAACAGACGTTCGAGTCTATCTCTCCATTCCTTAGAAATTCTTCAACTCGCCAGTCCTTCTTCGTCAAGGTTGATAAATTCTCCATCTCAGCCTCGATATCAGAACAGTTCCCTCTCCGATTAGTTTCCGTTCCATTGGAGTCCAGAAACAGGGCGAACGAGTTTCTACAGAAGCATTCCATTCTCTTGGAGCGCATCAGTTTCATGCAAGCAGGAGCTTCCCAGCAAGACTCTTGATTTTTGAGGAGTGGATCATCTATGTACGAGCAAGATTTGTGTCAAGTCATGTCAATATTTCCGAGAAAATAAATAAATTGGCAGAGGAAAGAATGTTTCCATCCATCTACATGGTCTTTTGCTTACATAACTCTTGTTTCCAGGCTGAATCCGCTATATGAACCGTGATGGAAGTTTCACTCCCAAAAGCTACACATTTATAAGTTCCAAATAGTTGTTGGAATTTCGAAACTTTTATCAGTTCAAACCCAGTCGAAGGACTGAATCTGGCTGGAACTTGTTCCCATTCTATTTTCTTTGTTTTGTTGAACACCTACAGGGATTTCAAAAGTTGAAAGCTTATTTTCCCCAATGTCTTTCGTCTTTGGTGAAATCGATACAGTACATATGCACTATGTGTAAGTGCTTATTTAGTATGTGCATACATACCTCTTCGTTTAACTTGTGCAGAGTAACATATTTCCGAGAGTCGGAAGCCGGACATGAAATGACAACCGAGTTGTCAATGCTATTGATGTACTGAATGTGAGACACGGTGGTGAAAATGCGTTCCCCTGTTTTATGTACATGCATAAATTGTGTTGTGAATGGCTCGCACGTGTTTTTCATTAATCATTACCACATTATAATTTTACTGTATGCATAAATACGTACCTGGAATAAATACGCTGACATTGGTTGACTGAGAGTACGAGTTGTTTGAAAATCTTGCATTATAAAAGCGGCAAGAGTATTTGCCACTTTGAGATTCCAACAGCCCCCTCAAGACCACTCGTCCCTCAAAACTGTTATTTGGATCGTGAAGATGGTAAATTTCGTCATCCAAGTGGTCGTCAGACCTGTTGAGGCGTTGAACAACCCTTCTGTACTGCACTTCAAGGATGGGAATCTACTATGCAAACACCCATTGAAATCGAATGCAGCTGTAATAAATCAAATGAAAACTTACAGAAACTTCATTAACCAGAAATTCCCATTTAATTGGGTGCGATGCTTTGCAAATTAGCTCAACAGTCTTGATATTTCTGTTCAAATTCAATGCAGAGTTCACAATTTGAAGGTCGACGGACGAATTTGCATCGCCATTAAAGAACCTTGCTTCAATATGAGGTTTCTTCCTCCATAATGATCCCGTACTTTGAGTTTGAATTCCTTCAGGAACCAATTTATTCGTTGATTGAGGTTTTGATGCTGCATTATCCAAGGTCAAAACCATTCTGAATGCACTTAGAATTAAAATTCTATATAATTTCATTTCGGACCTAATTATGTAATCTGACTAAAATTGAAAACAAAAGATTCAGTGAGTCGGAATTATTGAGTTTTAAAGTAAAGCAGAGTATGTATACAATGGATAATTATGTACGAGTTTCAATCAACAATCACATATCGCATGCATATTTTATATATTTATACAAAAAGAAGAAACGCAGTCACCACCGCATTGAGTTGACATGAATCAATCATCACAACCACAAACCGGTGCCCACAAACCTGGATGAATTTTAGGGTCAGTCCCAAAATATTTTTTGGGAGCAGAATGAATTTTACGTCAGATGTGTCCTAATTAATTACTCTGCCAGCAAAAAGAACCGCTACGCAGTTATGAATATCTGCATGCATACAGACTTTTGTAACATTTTCCCTGCCGTCAAACTTTCCGACCTAAATTCAGACTATGTGGTTTGTGTATTAATGACACCAAAGTCATCCCATAATCATGACTCAATGCCAGACTTGCAGGAAACGTTACGTATGTGTAAATCAAAGCACCAACGGTGAAATATAAATCAATATTTTGTAACGCAAATGATATAATAACAGTTTAATTACAAAATCCTGAAACACATCTCCGCAAGTCGGCGATGTTGGTAAAGGGTTGAAAATAGCCAAAACTTTCTCAATCCAATTCGCAAGATTGCATAATATTGTTTCGACATTGCTGCAAAACTGGAGAACATGTAGCTAAGCCTTAAATAAGTCGAAAGGAGAGCCATTGCATTTTAACAACGAGCTAATACAAATTATTTATTATGTCATGCTGCTGTTGTTAAAAGTTGATGAAGATATTTCTTAATGTTTTTATAAATACCCACGAGAAATTAAGAAAAGTCAATTTTCAATTTCCAACACGTTTGTAAATTATGTTATTTGAAAATATATGCACATGAACATCAAAAACTCTATCAACATAACAATACAATAATTCAAGGGTACTGTGATACATGTCTTGTTAAATAGTTGCATAAATATTTATGTATAAGTTGCATATATTTAAATTTCTAGCAATAAATACTTATTTAAGCAGATATGTGAGGTATTTCTACATAGACATTGTAATTTGTAGATATTCAAGTAAAGCAAACATAGTTTAAGGCATTCTTAAATAAGTTGAACTGTAAAGGAAAATTACATTACGAAACATTTATAGCACGCTTCCTGTCTTTCGCTCAATTCTTGATCCCATTCGGTTAACACGATCACAAATTGCTTTGTAAGATAAAGCTGATGGCGCGTGGGTGAGTCCATCAAAAGAACAAACATTGTTAGTCTATCGGTAATACCTACGCTTCCTCAGAAAACATGCATTTCTTAAAAGGTGTAAGAAGAGACAACTTTGTCTCGGTTGGGTGGATTACACACGGATTCCATAAACTAGGACTGGGCATTTAGGGCAGCAGAATCCTTCACTTGGTTCTCGTTGTCAGAACCAGAACAATCTGAATCGGAAGAGTCGCGGTTTTCGGAACAAACACCTAAACATCTTATGGAGTCTTTCAAGGTGGGTGTTCCCATCGTCTTCCCTGAAAGTGCAGATAAAACAAACCTTGAATTAAACCATAAAAGTCAGTCAAATAAACTTGAGACGTAACAAGGACATCAGTGGCGAGACATGTAAGTACAATTAATGCTTGGTCATGTTCTCACCGGACTCGTGAACTTTTGACATATTTAATTAAACCTTCCGTATAAATTCGTCCGTCCAACACATAAATATGTAGGCACTCGTAAAATGGTTCATCAAATACACTCTACAATGCCTTATACAAATATAAGTATAAATGCATGTACATACGTACTCTCTGGTATATCGTCTGCATACCTGTACCGTTTTCTTATACATGTTTTACACTTAACAAACAACCACCTATGGACGAGATTCAATAAAATAAATTCGTATGTAAATATAACCAAATTGGAAATTTTTTTGTGATGCGGGAGAAGGAATAAATAAGAGACCGCTGTTTGAAGAAAAATCTTTGGTTTGTGAAAAGAATTGCTTGGTGGGTTGCTCCTCTTTCATGCCGTTTACGATGGCATTGCATTGCATTGTCATTGGAGGAACAACAAAACCAGGTCGAGGTCTCCCCGTTTGAAATCATGCCAGATAATAAATTCAAGTGAACGAATACCTTTCTCCGTCGTACTTTCCTTACTTACACTCTCGCAGGCTGTAGGTTCATTAAGATCGTGAGCGAGGACTAGATATCTGCTGCACTTTCCTCCTACATATAAGATTGAGCACGCTGAATAAGAAGCCGGAAACCCTTTCACTCCATCAATTGAAATGGATTGAATGACAAGTTTAAGAAGGGCTTTGATAGGCTTTTCTGAATAAAAGTTTGTACAAAATGGCACGACTCAGGTTCCAAGAGTTTGATTGATATAGTGTGAAAGCAGGGTTGAGATTTCAAATTAATATGGTTTAGCTTTTGATCTAAAAGCGTCTCATAAAGATACAGAAAGTTTCCCTTTTAGATTCAAGTGACAGAAAATATAGACGAAGAGGACGAAATAGAGCTCTTTTGACAACTCTAGAACTATTATAACAAATCACATTAATAATACGTAGCTCTGCAGAAGTGTTTGGATTAAAATTTACAAATATTCAGAGCGTTGCCAGTGCGTATCTGATGAGAATTCAGCAGTTGAACCCTTATTGGTCATATTGAGTAATTCCAACAATAAGAACAAGTTGTCGTGATCATGGCACGCGGCACTGCACGCTAAAACTAACAAAGTGCACATGATCTGGCTTTTATCACATTTCTTTCAAGTATCAAAGAAGCTCTTAGCTGCATTCCTTCTTTTTTTGCTTCCTTCCTTTGTGGCTAAAGGACAGTTTCGTCAAGGCTGTTCTAAGCAAATCCTTCACCAGATTTGGCTAAAGTTTCAAACGATGCACATGGAATAAAATTGAAAAAATGAAGTGCTGCATCAGAAGAGATTTCGAACTTGAGCCCCGTCATGAAGGTTTCTTGGAACACTTTGCATGGCATGGATTTCTAAATACCACAAGTGCTCTTTTTCATGCACGCGCAGCTTATGTAAATCTAAGCCCCTATGCATAGGCAATCTTTGAAAAACCCAACCAAGGATGAATATGACATGAATATGCATCTTTGTATCTACTTACTTTCACTGACAACTGAAGCACGCAAAATTTGGTATACTAGACAAAATGACAAAATATGACAAAGCCTGTATGAAAAAACGACAAACGAAATGATTCTTGTTGACATACATATGCTTGCTGTAGAATTAACCTGAATAAGTTGAAATCATGTAGCGTAATTGGTCTTGAAGAATAATGACCACTTTGCCGTCTTTTTATCGTCCGCACACTTAAAATTATTTTGTAGTAAGTATGTCTACCGTTCTTTGGAAGTAAGTAAATGTTATAAATAAATTAAGCAGCTTACATCTGTTCCACTCTTTTTGATGTAATTGTGTTAAAGAATTTATGCATGTATTAAAAACAAGCGAATACGTATATTTTGGGATGGATATAACTTTCTCTTTTCACATAAAATAACCAAATTTCTAGTTTAAATTGCAAAAAATTAGACTTTCACTCAGGGTTGTGTCAAGGCCTGATTAACCGCTGATTGAACCACTCACGGAGCCACTTACATAACTTATTAGCTAATCCCATACTTCACTTGACAATAATCTTTCTGTCAACGACGTGAATGAAGCGAAAAAATATTACGTCGTATCCAACCGAGACGAGAGCAAATCCTTTTGAAAAAGTTTTTGAAAATGTACAAAAAAACTCATAAGCTTGATATTAAACTCAACTTACAAACTTCGCTTGCAGGGAATTAGCACATACAACTTTGAGTTAATTTACTCCATGTAGTTATGGTCCTGCATAAAAAAAACGAGGAAAACGTGACATCCTTCTTCTTCCTCCTAACTAACTAAATATGTTCAACCAGATAATCTACTGCGCTTCCAGCTTTCAGTAGAAAAGTCCTTGGAGAGAACTCAAACAATCAGAATAAGGTCGTTGCAGGCAGGAGATGCAGATATAATGACCATATCCCCAGAAAATTGCAGGCTTGTATAATTATGAATTTTTCCTTTGTGACAAAAACAAATATTTAATTTAGTACGAATCCATATATTTAGAAAGTCCAGTTCAGTAGATTTTAACCAATCAATTTAAAATTACCACACTGCCACATTCCATAGATATCTGTATAGAAAGGAAGTAAACAATCTGAATCCTTCAACTTCATTACTTTCTCCACGCAATTAGATGGGAATGCAAACATAAATCAAATCTATCACTTTTAATCCCTATGTTTTAAAATATCATCCACTTCACAATAAAGGAAATACAATGACCAAGTAGGTGTGGGTGGAAACTAAAGAAATTGAGCATCTGGTTCGCCTGCTATCCTTCCCATATCCTTTGTATACTGCTTTTCAGGTCAATAAATCACTGGCACAAGTAGACTGCATCATGGGAGAGAAAGTTGTCTGAGAAAGATATATTGTTAGAGAAAGCTACGGTGATTCGTAGGCACAGGTTCATTTTGTGAAGGAATAATTATCATTCTCTATACTTTCATATTGTGGTGATGCACGACGGCGAAGCTGCTGAAAATGAGTGTGATATTTGAAATGAAATTGGAATACGTCGTTATATCCGAAGTCGGCTCAGTCAACTATACACTTCCTCATTTGAGATCAAAGAGACACCCGACTGGCTACGTGCTTGTCGTTTTATTCAGATATTTCGTCCCTGCATCATATCATTATCCACATGAAGGGAAATGGTTGGAATGAACTTGTTGCTTAAAAACGTACCAAATAAAGTGTCCTTGTCTCCCTATTTGGTGCAAGGGGTTAAGCCCCGGTCTCTTTTCTGAATAATGTAGAAATGTTCATTTAATATGCTAAAGGCTTTCAGCCTTCTTTTATCTCGTGAGATGAAGAGAAAGTGCCTTGAATCGTTTGGATGATTCTTACAGAAAATTAAAGTAAAAGCAATTTGAATTCTATGGACGAATGTCGCATAATTGCTGTCTAGACTTAAAAATGAAGTAAAATGTTCAAAATAAAATTGATGAAATCCAAGATTATAAATAACAATACATACTACAAAATGGGATATAAATAAATATACATACTTAAATGTATTTAAACACTGTTCGTTGGTGTTTCTCAAGATCATTGACTCCCACTCACACATTATTCACAAACGCATTCAAAATAGTTTGTATTATTCACTGTCGCCCAACTCGACCACAAAATGAAATATTCCCAAGTCACCACAACCTCTTCGTGTTTAAGTAAATGTAATTGGAACTGCAGATGACAGAAAGCAACTCAAAGTGACTCATTGCTGCAGCAGCTAAATACTACGCCATCAACTTTCTCCAACAATAACTAAAGTACAAATGAGAAACAGCAGCAACAATTACTCGACTAAAGTGGTTACATTGCTTGGAAGAAAGTTCATTGAACGGAACAAGTTCATTTAAATGGTTTTCAGTGTGTAGAAAACTAACCGTAAGTACATAAGCTACCTACAAACCCACCACAACTCATGTCACTAACTCAAGTGAGTTCGATCTAATGTCAGTGTCACAACTCAAACTGTAATAACACGAAAAATGCATTTCTAAAGCCACCACAATCCTCGGTAGAAGGCACAAGGTCTTAAGGAATTGAAACATCTACAGCTCCCAAACGGTGGCGATGTACTCTAAAGTCGTCGTAGCTGCTTTTCGTGACTTACTACAAGGCCAACAACTTATAAATATTTCCACCAGGACATTCTCCTTCCCTCCAAATATTTCTTAGGAATCAACACAGTACATATGTGAATTCATGAATATACTTATATACCAGCGAATTTATACATTATCATATTCGTCACCACAAATCGTCAAACTTTTGTACTCCGACGCTCAGATCTGAGGCACTTGCATACATAACAAGCCTATGTTATGGTAGAATTCTAGAAGTTGTACTCAAAACCGTTCGTAAAAAATTTTTCAGCCAAAAAATAAAACAACAGCAACCGACCATTATCTACATACAAAAGTTATTGATACCTATTGATATACTACTCGCAGTTGTTGGTTTCATATGAAGCTATGTCCAATGTCCATGTCGCTAAATATGTATGGTTTTAGTTTTGTTCGAACTTTTCGCACCAATGCAGTGTAGCTACATCAGCCACAAAAAAAGAGAAAGCACTTTTCCAACTTGCTACGGCGGCTGAGTAATGACTGCCCATCGGAGTGCATTTCAATCAGAGAATTCCATACCATATATTGTTGCCCAATATTATATCTTGCTTTTTCCATCTTTATAACCAAAAAAAAGTCCCACTTAGGAGTGGGATCCTTAAGGTAAACAGTTTATATTTAGAAGGAGCGTGAACTTAAAGAAAGTGAAGAGAGATTGCTGCTGCACATATAAATACTTGAAGAAAGTGCAACTTGTTCTGATGGTGGTGACACGGATGGTGGTGACACGGTGATAAGATGGATGAATTCAACATAGCCGACTAAACTAAACCAAAGTTTGCTTCATTTTCACACAAAACAATTTTCTTCCCACAAACCATCGCCAAAACATTTCCCCTTTCTATAAATGTATTTCGCTGGATGACAAATGATGATGCTCACTCACCCATAATTTTGGCCGCGACATTAACTCGGACAAATCGGTCGGCCACTGAAGTACTTCGAATGCAGAACGTATCTTCCAAAACATGACGGTCTTTAGTCGAAGGGACAATGACATTCATATGCACTTGGAGCCCAGCTGCACTCCATTCCATTTCTACAACTTGACACAGCTCTCCGTTTCTGAACAGCTCCAAATTATCGGGAAGCTTGATCTTTTGAATAGAAGATGTTGTCGTGAATGATGATATGTTAGGTTGCTTTGAATCCCCACGAGACTCGCCATTTGCGCCTATGTCAACCTGTGTGGTGGTTTCTTCTTCGATTTTCATTTGTCGCTGAGACGAAGAATTTTTAGGTGGTTGAGATGTCGTAACCATTACCAGGTAGCCTTCAACCAAGGGGTTTAAAATCGCAAACTTCACGTCGTACTTGTGTTCCTCTTGCAGAAAACCCAAATATACTCCAATCGTTTTGCTGAGTTCTTCTCCAGTCACCTGTACTTGAATTGGATTAGCTTCTTGTAGCTGTGGAATGTACCCGTCCTCGTCGAAGTGAACTCGAGAGTCTGAAATGAATTTTTAGTGTCAGAATGATGTTACTACTCACAAAATATGTACCTTAACCTTATAATACAATATACAATACCTTACAATAGGTTCAGAAGTGAAGGTATGCAAGTAAATAAATAAGTAAGCGAAAAGTTAGTTATTTTGCAGACAAGCCTGCATTTGTTAGTTTCCAAGCGCAAATGTATTGTCCGAGAATATACACGGAAGACATAGAAGGCATAGGGTTTTACGGTAGTAGGTATTTATTATATAAAGTGAAAGACGCTTCTCGTAGATATCCGAGGTGTAATGACAATGGTGCAATTTAGTTGACGGAGATGCAGACGTCTGAGTGGAGAGAGCTGAGAGATTTTTATCTGCTCGGATTGACTAGTGCAAATACGCAAAAAATACAAAAGTGCTGTTAGATCACTGAAAATAGGTCAATTTCTAATGTCAAAACAAATACTTCCTGTACTACTTTACTTGGTTTTTTTTTTTTTTCAAAAAGCGTTCAACAAATACCCCCAAAAATTATTCACGCATCACTATATCCACATAAATTAATCAAGGACACTCAGAAATTATACGATTACGTCAAACCTGCGAAATAAATAATTTAGTTACAATTCTGTGCTGCAGAAATAACACGAATTTCTAGTAAGCCCTTTGTGGAATATTTTCATCTTGATTTGGTTTGTTCATCAACAACTGTGTTCTATCGTGCCCGGACAGAGTTGTCACAAAACAAACAAGTTAATCTTGGAAAATACCCACAATAGAGGCAAATATTATGTAAATATGTTCAAGTTCGTTCCATGGTGGTCTTATTCTCTATTTCAATCCATTTCCGAAAACCGAAACCAATCTTATTTCGGGATTATTTTGTTTTGGTTTCCTGCGAAAGTATCCAACAATTTCTTGCGAATCAGGAAAACATTGAGTCGTAATATATTACTTTACAATTTGTCACTAATTCTTCCGAACATGCGCCATTTTCTTCCCTTGTGTGCAGTGTAGTTTATGTAAATACATACATTGTGCGCTGAAAATAAAATAACGCCAACGCCACGTCCTTCGATATATGCAGATGTATAGATGTATCACATGCTGATCCCTGTGCACACAGTCAACTAACCTAATTTCAAACTAATCCTGTTATAATTCTTTCAAACATTCACAAAGCAAATAATTGAATTAGTGAATTGAATGCAATCTGGGACAATCTCAAAACACCTTCTTCAACAAACTCTACCACCACCCAACTTTATTCTGTATTGCCCAATTCAATTCAGTCAAAATCTTGATTAAACAGGTATACAACGACAACAACAACTCCTTTAGTAAGCATTGCCCCCAGATTGAGATAGGCCCAACGATTGCAAGAGATCAAAATTTTGAAAAGTGGAGAAAGTTATACTGCATAGCTTTCTCGCTCCACTATAAAATCGTGAAATGAAGATCCACCCAGGAGAGCCACTTTTGTCCAAAAACTTGTCAAGTGTTGAGATCTCTGCGAAGTTACAGTTATGCAAGGCATACTTTGTGTTTAAACGGAGGAGGAGAGAAAGCAAAATCCTTAAAGCTGCCCCCAATCCTACCATCGCCAGGGTTGAAGGTCTCGCAAACAATCGGACCAGACAATAGAGAGACCTACAAATTGACAACTCTTTTGACAGCAGGTCACGCAACGATGGTGGCACAATACAGGTTTCATAAACCATAGTCCACGTGCTAAAATTAATTAAGGTTCGTAATCAAAAGTTATAGTTTGCAAAGTTTGCTGGTTTATTGATTCGAGGAATGTTAGTATTCGGGCTGGCTAAACATTTGACTAAAGTAATGAATAGCTTGAGAACAAAAACTTTCTCAAATGTGCTGAGAAAACTGATAACTGCAGTCATACAGCAGACGAGTGATAAAGCTTTATACAGTAGATACACACATTATGTACGTACATTATCTTTCCTCGTGATTTTAAGCAGCATTTTTTCTTGGCTGCCGAACAGTACAAAAGGTTTTATTGTTGAGCACTTTTGACTTTCAAATGCCATTAGTGTTTGTAATGTAATGCGCGACAACTGGATACAAATTGAATTACAATGAGAATTGTTACGAAGAAAGGAGAAAAAGGAGTCCAAATTGAATTTTTTCGAATATTTCATTCCTACCTTGTCTAAATTCCTTTGAGAATAAAATAGTTTCACGGAAAAATACTTTTATAAATTTTTGAAGTCTTTCAACCCTTTTAAAATTCACAATACTGATCCTACATAAACATAAGAGCAAAGTGTGTCTTCCACAAGTTCAATGAATACTTCTAGTATTGTACAAATGCACATATTTATGTACCAACTACAAATATATAAAAAACTAATTTTTATTCCACTGTATCCCACACATGCCTACTTTGCCTGTTAGCGATGATATGAAAGATATATTTAATAATTGTCAAGTTGAGATAGAAATAAATAGTCATGAATCCAATGGGTGAAACTTGTTCACAATAATTAATAATAGATATTGCTCGTGATAAAGCATTAAAATTATATGTATTGCACCCTCATGCCTTAAACCATATTGTTAAAACCACTATTACTATAATGCTAAATTGAAAATAAGAAACCCATTTTTCAGTAGAAACAAGCAGGCAACCTGAAAACCAGAACTGCTAACTGTTTGAGTTCAGTTTTACCACACGGAAATTTTACGTAATAAAACGAAACCAAAAATAAAACAAGCAGACGCTAGTTGCGAATTGCGATACCATAAATACCGTAAGTGTAGATGTCCATTTATTTACGATACGACCCTCGACTTCACCACTGCAATGCTATTAGTAATGAGAGTGATGACGTCGAGGATCGTATGAGGATCGTATCATAAAAAACAGGAGTAAGTAATCAATGATGTATAAAGAAGTAAATTATTTTGTTGGACTTTCTCTAAAAAGTACTGGCGAACATTTCTTGCTTGATCATTTGAAAATACGGAAATACACAATTTCATGTGTTGTATTTACCAAAGTTTTTCTAACTGCAGAAACAGATACAGATACAGATAGAAAGTGTTGCAAAAACATTCTACAGCTCAACGAGAACTTTATGGGGAAATCAATCATTATTATGAATCAACAAGTTGCATGCAATGCAATCACAAGAAAAATAAAAATATGTGTGGATTTCTACTGTAAAAATTCTACATGGGATACGGGATCATTTGAAATCATATTTATCTGTATAGTTTCACATCAGTGACCATACGTTAATGAAATATAGTTGTAAATAATTGAATAATTTATTTCTAACGAAAGAACTGCAACAAGCAAATCGATTGCCTTATCCGATACAACGATTCAAAGTATCTGCTGAAACTTTCTGCATAGATGCAACACTCTAATCTAACAAAATCTAAGGAAATCTTCCAGATTTATGACGAGCACAACGTAAGAAGCATCAATGTTGCATGGAGGAAAATGGATTACCGTACGTGAGCGTAAATCAACAAAACTTTTTTAAAAGAGTGATGAAATATGATAGTTTTTTCTTACTTCTCGCAGCTCTTCGGGTTATATGATCCTGCGGCGTCAAAGCTGATTTTGCCCTGGTTGAGACGGGAGACCCAGATTCCATCGATGCCATTTTTTGTCCCTCTTTTGTCAGCAATGGGTAAAAAGTTTGCAAGGAAAAACTTTACTTTTCTCCCTGTGGTCAGTGGAGTCGGCAGTGAGATGGAATTTTGGACACGGTGGGGAAACAAAGGATTTTTATCAAAATCAGTGTCAACCTGTCCACGGAAATGTCAAATTACTCCAATTGCTAAGTGAAGATAGTATGTGATGGGACGGAAGTTTTTTTTTGCAATCTTACTTGGCTAACAATGCAAGTCTTTTACGTGTACAACTCAGATCTGGTTGGGACCAATTTTATTTTGTTCACCACAAAAAATAAGCATACCCGTAGTTTTTCATTTTTCATAATGCGCTAATTTGAGCGCGGGGCGCGAATTTTAAAACATTTTTCAGCCAAAACCTCGGTTTTTAAAAATTCTGTAAATTTTCGAATTTCAGTCCGAATCCAAAAATTCGAAACCATGTCTCTTCAGAATGACTTACCTGACTTATGAAAAACCCAATTGTCTCAAAATTTGATTTTCAAAATTTTTTGCCAGTTTTTGAAATTCATTAAAATTATAAACTCCTTCAAATTTTTAATTTTTCAAAAAATAATGCGTTTGGATTTTTCATAAGTCAAGTAAGTCATTGTGAAGATACATGTTCTCGAATTTTTGGATTTGGGCTGAAATTCGAAAATTTACAGAATTTTTAAAAACCGAGGTTTTGGCTGAAAAATGTTTTAAAATTCGCGCTCCGCGCTCAAATTAGCGCATTATGAAAAATGAAAGAATACGGGTATCCTTATTTTTTGTGGTGAACAAAATAAAATTGGTCCCAACCAGATCTGAGTTGTACACGTAAAAGACTTGCATTGTAAGTTGAAAGCTCGTATGGCGTACGTCGTCTCTGCGTAATATGGCGTATTTTTCGACTGACAAGCCAATTAATCCGCGTGTAAACTATCCCGATTTCGGTTCCTGGTTACTTCAGACCTTCATAGATCTGATTTCTTCTTAAATTCAGCCTTGAGATTATTCCTGAAAAATAATAACAACAGTGTGCATGCTTTAAAAGTTTGGCTTATCACGTGCATTGTGCAGTTTAAAAAAATACATGTACATGTTTGCAGTGATAAAATTAGTTTGCCTGTTTTTCATCAAGCCTCCTAATCCTACAGATTCATTCAGAACATAGAACCACAAACAAATCCTTTATTAAAACCCGGTTTTTGCGTCGTAAGAAAAAAACTGTAAATCCAAACGCACTCCTATAAATTCGAATTACAAGATACACGACCCTCACTATTCCGCAAGTTTCTAATTTTCTTTTATTTATACCAAACATTAATTAATCAAATGAAACCCCTTAAAATTATATAATGTCCCTTAATCTAATTCTTGGTGTAACTTTTGTTGAAAACTTTCACACCTATGTAACGACTTACACAGAATTAAGATTTTTGTCGGCTTCATGTAAAAATAAACGAGCATTTTATATAAACTTCGTGATCACTATTTCGTAAGAAAATAAGCCCTGACTCGGGCTAAAAAGCTGGAAAACAAATCTATCCAATAATATTGTGTGAGCTTCTGATATCAGCTCTCAGCCTGCATTAGCTTCAGTTTAATATATAAACTTCCCCAAAATTATGATAAACAACGCAGTGGCAAAATTTTCTCGTTCACCACCAAAAAAAACTTACCCTCGTTGCATAACCAAGCCTTAATGACTTCTATATTTAGTGTTTTTTTTACAGTTCACCATTTTGCGATTTACTTAATGAGAGGGTAGAATAAACATGAGAATGTCAAATTCATTATGAGAATATTTTATATCCTTCAAACTGGTGGTTTCTTTCCAGAGATGCGAACGATTAGCATTTTTCCGGATTTATCCAAATCCAAATATTAATTTGTCTGGCACCATTATTCACCGGTTCTCTAATAATGAGTAAATTAATGCACAGAACAATTTAAATTTATCCATATTAGTGACGAGTATGCTTAATTGTACCATTTTGGGGTTTGCAGGAATATTTTGCGTACTGTAAACGGTTTTATAGTCGAGTATTTATATTACTAAATATCCCAAAAATAGAAAATTAATTTGCCAAATGACACTCAGCATTTCATAGCTTACAATGGAGGCGCAAACCATGTTCAGCCCAGATAATTTTTTGACCTTATTAGTTTGAAAGAGCAAGTCTTTACAAACAACATTTGGTTCGGCACTTGGGCAGATGCGCAAATTTCAGCACGTTATGGGCGCCGCAAGTTCGCAAAAACGCACGATTTTTTGGGGCAATGCCCAGCTCGAGCTCAACTTCGTGCGTTTTTGCGAACTTGCGGCGCCCGTAACGTGCTGAAATTTGCGCATCTGACCAAGTGCCGAACCAAATGTTGTTTGTAAGGACTTGCTCTTTCAAACTAATAAGGTCAAAAAATTATCTGGGCTGAACATGGTTTGCGCCTCCATTGTTAGTATTATCGGACATTATTTGCATATAACATTTAATTTTGCTAAAGTAATAAGTCTACACCTTACAGCCCAGTTTAAAATTAACAAATGAATAAAATGAAAACATATGCACTCGGGATTTCCTGAATCTAACTGCGATTAAGTTTTGTGCATTTAGAAAATCTGCAAGTTGCACTCATATGTACATATGCAGATTTGTAGATACATACATTGTAGTTAACTACAATTAAAACTAAACACCACCACTTGCAAGCCAAAACCCAGGAAGTGTAAGCGGTCTCTGGTCGAGTGATTACTTACCAAGTTAAATATGCATAGTTTGACCATGCAGTTTGTTACTTGATTATTTTCGAAACTAATCAGCCAAATGTTTTTCACTACAGAACCAACACCTAAATACGATAGAAATATTTCATTTATGTTCAATTCAACCATTGCACTACACCCTAATATTCTCTTTGTGCTAAATGTTAAACCACAATTTTATTTGTCACCCACAATAATTATTGGCACTGACAAATAAAACTGTCTCATTAATGAGACAGTCGTGTCATACAAAATTTGCTCAGCTCAACAGCGTGAGTAAACAATGGAGAAGTACGAATATAAATAAAACGTAATTATCCTTCACTTCTGATGTTTGGTAGGTCTTGGTACCTCTGTTGATGGATTTGGTGAGATGCAAATAACGAGATAAGAATGGAATGGGTTTGACGTAAACTTTTTGCACAGATAATTTTTTGTCGTATTACGACTGAAATATCAGTTCCATTACACACGAAAAGAAGTTCGCTTAATAATGATACCTACGTGTGTAAGTATTTAAGTATGGCTGCTTCTGAGCGTGGTGCGTTGGTTATATAACTAATTATGCTAAATTAAGGATAAGCTATTTAAATAGCCAAACTCGCAAGTTTTGTAGTTAAATAATAGTTGCACGGGACGGGAGACTACAATTGTTTCCAACTAGGAAGAAGGTCGTAATGTAATTCATAGCACGGACAACGGAAGTCAATTAAAGTTGAACCCCAAGTTGCGACTCTTACGTACTGACTAGACTATAAATAACTAAATATATAGTAGATATGTGTAGCTGATTCGGCGTTGGAATTTTTAATTTCCTTCAAACCCTTCCCTATTCAATTAGTTAGAGGTGTAGTTCATTCATTATGCATAGCTTTAGAGTTTGCGTCATCATATTTTCAGTAATCTCTTATTAAACAGCCGGTCTACATATTTACATATTTAATGCGTTGAGTTTGAGACATTTAAACGAATCCTTTACGAGGACTGTAAAGTACCGCAAATACATATCAAAAACTATTGATTTTCAAGCAGGTTAAGTTTACATATTACAGGCTTATTTCGGACGTCAGAATTGATTTAATAATTGATTATCTAAGGAAATGGTATACTAGTTAGTAGGTAGATATTTATTAGACCACAAGCCACAAGTCACAGCCAAAGAGCTTAATACAGTATCTCAAAGTAATATTACACATATAATCAATAAGTATGAAATGTCAACGTACTGGGAGTTTGTACTGCATTACATGGTCGTAATGAAATACAATATTAGAAAATATTTAAATATGCAGATTTTTGTATGCGTAATATGCAACTCCACCAAACTCTAGTCTCATGCATTCCTGAATTTTTACTCTTTTCACAGGAACTTTTACGGTTTATTTATTCGCCACTTTAATTAAATTTCATTTGTAGACAGTAAAGCTATGCACTTTTGCATGTATCACTGGGTGAATCTGAATGAATCCAAGCTTTGTAAATGAAACGGAGAAAGATCAGAAAAGTGGGTGGATAATCGGAATTTGTGCTATTTACTTTCTTTAGATTTGTTTTGATTTGAAACAGCTCACAACTGAGGATAATTACGTTATGCAAGTCGAACTCCAAGCTGTCTCACCGTGGGCCACCAGCTAAAAAGATTTTACTTTAGTTTTAATTACCTTTTTGGATCGGATTCTTTCTTCGTCTTTGATACTTTTCAGGCGTCGATGGAACTCTTTACTTACACTGCAACATTATATAATTGCAAAAATGTGTGGGTTTCACTGCCCAAGACATAAACCGCCCTCGAAATCAAAACAAGTCGCATTTTCCCTACTGGTCGTCCTATGATCATTGTGCCGACATGTGGCTCTTTGTATATTCTGGCCATGTCATATCGTAGGAAAAGAAATGCAAATACTTATCAAGAACACTGCAAACTACCGTCTTAATCCATGCTACATGATGCTCGTCGTGAGTGAAAGCAAGCTAATGAAAAGAGACCCAGTCCGTTAATCTGAGACTACCCCAGCACACGGCCAAAGTCAAATCTGCATGCACTATCGCACATGATTCCATCATTTCTATCAATCGCTCGCTACGTATAGTAAAAAGTTTTCAAATTTGTATAGTACCAATTTGATACGATAAATTTCTGTATTTTCTATATATAAATTTCTGTAGTTCCAAAAAGCTGGTTGTGCAACAAGTCACTCAAGATGACGGACCGGTTTTTGGAGGTAATAAAATAAGATTGCAATCTTTTGCTCAATTTTCAATATTCCAATGTTTTTTAAACTTAAAATGAAAATCCAACCGAAAATTGTTTTTCCAGAAGCTGAAAATATCCTTAGAAAATACAGAAAAGCCTTCGAAACCTATTTCATCAGAAACTCTCACAAGACTGAAGGCCCTTAGTAAATATACAGATATCCGGCTCAACCTGGTCAAAGATATAACGACTTTGCTTAAAGAGAAAGGAAGCAAAAAAACCGAGTTATCAGAAACATGGATGAAGAATACGTTGCGAGTCGTGGGATGTTTAGTATCCAAAGAAAATTTTTCTCTGGATAAATTCCTCAACGAAAAGGACCCAGGTGCAGATGCCACATTAGAAGATAACTATGCAGAGTTCAAGAAGCGCTTCAGTGAGCTCTGGACTGAAGTTATGAAATGGAAAATGACCCCCTCCGTTCATAAAGAAGTTGTAATTTTAATACCAGACAGGATAATGATTCACTTGACGAAGCCGCTGCATATGAGCCATTTCTTGTTGGAGTCATTTAAAATGGGTATCAAGAATAAGATCTCTCATATTGCACAATGAAAATTAGGTTGGTATTTTATAAATGAGATTCGTTTATTTCGTAGGTGGGCCAGTTGGTCTTATCTCACTGCATGGGATTTTTCTTCTGATGCAAAAATACAATTTGTAAGTATTGACCTAACAAAATATTCATTTTCGTTTTGAATAGACATATACACATGCTTGTAATTTTATATTAATGCATTTCTGAATTTGATTATAGTGATGTTCCAGACTTCTACAATAAGCTGTATTCAATGTTCACCCAAGAAATGCTTCATTCAAAGTACCGATCAAGATTTTTTGCGTATTCTCGAGATTTCTTAACCTCGACGTAAGAATCAGTTTAATATTCACTTATGCGCATTTTTGTTTTTACACTATAGTATATATTATATTTCTTTTGGGTAGGCATTTGCCAGAATATTTGGTAGCAGCATTCGCGAAAAAGATGGCCAGACTCAGCCTACATGCTCCTGCACCAGCGATTCCTATGATGTGCGATTTTATAACCAATTTAATAATTGAGCATCCTGGGTTAAGAACGCTAGTTAACAAAAAGCCACTGGACACCACCAACAAAAAAGAGGACGGTTCACTTGAATTGGAAGGGGATCCCTTTGATGAGGACGAAGTTGATCCAATAAAATCCAAGGCAATGGATAGCTGTCTTTGGGAGATTAAAACGCTGCAACATCACATCTTGCCCACAATCTCCTTATCGGCACGATTCATTTCAAAAACTCTTCCAAAAGTCCAGAAAGATTTAGACGAAACTCTATCTCAGACGTATGAAGATGTAAGAAATTAATTTGATTAATTCGCAACTTGATTGACTGTAATAATAACTTGTGTGTTCATTTAAATTACATAGGTTGCTGAAAAAGAGAAAGCAGCGTCAGCTTCTCTGGATGTTATCCCAACGCATCAGTTAAAAGTTACACCTCTTGACGAAGATGAAAAACGCATTTTTATGGGGTTTTAGAAGTTATTCCATGATATTGTCTTTGCAGTTTCGTTTATACTATTTCTTTATATCATGACAAAAATAAAAACACTACTACACACTGGAACATGTTATTTATACTTCAAAATTGGACTTTTTATTATGATCCTCAATATATAAAACATACATACATACATATAAAACATACATCATCCGCATTATTACGTAACTGTCTCAAGAGATGTGAGGATTTAATCCCGACCCGGCAGTCAGTTTGTATCAAAACATCAGTGGTGCAAAACAAGTTCAATGTGAATTTTGCAAAAAAATAAACTGCAGAAATTTATCCATGTGCATGAATAGATAATAATAAAATAATGTATAGTTTTACTAGTTTGAGCAAGTTGTTAACTCGAAAACTTTCACTAAATTTGCCAATTTCATGTCGCGTTGTCCACAAAGTTTCATGTTCACAATTAAATTTCTCTTCACGACACGCCGGCTCGTCGCAATCACTCGCAGTGGAGACCAGCCCCACCACTTCAGTCAACAAAAGTAAGCCCTCCTTCCAAGATGATAGCGGTGACGAGACAAAATTGACCGAGGATTTAGTAGAGCATTTGGAACGCACTAGTCTCGTACATTTCGACAACGAAGAGGCCCTACGACGGCTGGAAGAAGCTCTACAGTTCGCCAACACCCTATTTGAAGTTGACACCACGGGGGTTGAGCCCCTGACTTCGGTATTAGAGAATGAGTAAGTCAGACAGACACCGTTCATATCAAGAATTTCAGGTCATAGGTTAAAATGTTTTGGTCGTTTTTCTAGAAGTCTGTATCTGAGAGAGGATAACGTTGAACCTACAAATCGACAAGACGTATTGGCCAATGCATCCATTACCGAGGAAGATTACTTTGTCGCACCCCCTGGAAATATACCATTAGACTCGACTTTATTGAAAAACAATAAATAACTGATAATGTATATTCTAAAAGAACTTGTCCTTCCTCTAGTCTACCAGAATAACGCATTAATTCGTGTATATAGAATATTATATGAAGTGTCGTCCTACTTTATTTGTTATTGATTACTAGAATACAATAAATAAACTCTCCAATTAAATATTATCAGCAATTTTGGTGCTGTGCAATTTGGAAACCCCTCATGATTGTTTTGATGCTCTTGTAGTACAAGACTTGTACTCAAAATATTCAGACGCCGTTTTGTTTTCACTGCAAATAAAAGACAAACAAGAATTTTGTTACTGGAGTAGATTTACCGTGGGAATAATAATGTGGTGGGAATTCCAGTGATAATACTTGCAGGTTGTAAGGTACAAACTACTAAAAAAAACTGCTAGTAAATACGTATGAAATTGATCATATGATAAAATTATAATATATAAACGCCGACCTCAAAAGACCAAAGATTTAAGTTTGAAGTTCAAACATGCATGTTTATTACAAATTGTAATTTACAATGAGTTAAGAATGATAGAACAATGGCAGTGTCTAATTTGTCTTAAAACCACAGGAGGAACAGGTTTACTTTTGACTTCTGCATATCAAAAAGTCCTTGTTGTCGTCATTGTATCAACTTTTTACATTTCTTTCCAATGTGTGTAATTCTTTGCAAGAAGTTTGTGAACGCATTGCTGTACATGAGACAAAAAATTGTATGCAATGTACATATTACATTAATAATTACTCAACAAATTTACACTTGTTTATAGGTACCGATTATGTATGCATGCATGTAGTAATTTGGGATTTCACTAATTCGCATAAATAGGAAAATATGCCTCAATCTTCCAGCATTTTCTTGATAACCTTCAGATAGATAGGATAAAGTGATAGAATTTTTGTTTACAAGACTCCTTTTGTACTTACTTATACATACATATGGTCCACAATAATGTCGGCTTCGAGAATTCACTTTATAATTATTTGCATGACACTTTGCCCCGTGTCTTATGCAGCATCAAAAATTAGGGAAAATACTGTGAGAAAATTTTTCATAAGACTTCAACCCGAACTTGACGTTATCGATATCGACTCCTTCGTGAAGAAGGACCATGTGCTAAAGTTTCAATTGAAGTGCTTGTTAAACAACGACACTTTTTGTGATCCCGTGGGACGGTGAGTTATACAGAATTGAGATTACAAATTCATTTAGCATTTAGCATTTCTAAATATTTCCGACTAATGATTTACATATGTGAATGAATAATTTTATTGATATATGGTCATTGGCCCTCATCAAATTCATATATAATGGAACATTATTAAGTTGTATCTTTCTCTATAATTTACATGTAAAATTCAATTTACCTCCCACACAGATGGCTGGCACCTAGACTTCCATTCATCCTTCTCGACAAAAAATGTCCAAAATGCACGATAATTCAAGAATCCAAAATAGCTGATGCATTGAATTACGTTCGTATTAGCAAGCCAGAGATTTTCCAAGCTTTGTGGAACAGGTACATACAAGAAGACGAGGACGACGATGTGAAACAACAACAGGAGAAGCCACTTGACACAAAATTGGACAAAAACGCCGAGGTCAAAAAGAATGAGACAATTAAAAATACTTAATACTAAATATGAAGGCAGTCCGCTCTGTTGGCTAAAACTGCACGATCATAACTTCATCTCATCATCTAAAGGGAATCGTTGGATAGTGTTATATCAAAGTATAATTCATTTAGCTAAATAATAAACTATGCGCAATTGATCTTCCATTATTTTTAGTTTGAATAATAGACAAGTCGTATTACGTTTAGAAAATTCGAGGTAAAATAATTACGAGGAAAACTCGACATGTTACTTATGGGTACATATAAATGAGACATCGTTCTGTCAGTATTATTATGCACAAAGATTTAACTTTTATGTAAAATGAAATAAAAATATTTCCTGATATCTAATTGACGTCACTTACTTGGTTTTTTACTTCGAATTCATAGCTGAGCTACATATTTATATTCATCTCAACTCAATGTTGTTACTGAAATTCCCGAAACCACAAACTTGAATGACCGCAAAATTAGGCAGTTATAAATAGATCGTTCAACAAGGATTCGTCCCATTGAAGAATGTCATGAATTACGTGTTGTTGTGTTTAGACTAGGTTAAGTTTTGAGGTAATCAAATAAAGTACAGATATTTATGAAATCATAGAAATCGAAATCTACTGAGAAAAAACACTCCTCAATTTCTTGGTAAATATCAAGGTCCTGAATTTTACTTATATTAGTAATCCGCATGCATAATGTTAAATTGAACATTTATTCACTTAATGGGAGAGAAAGAGTATAGACCAGGAATTGAGACCAGCAGGAAACAGACCAACTAATAAAATACCTACTTTGAAATTATTTCAATAATGGGACGCAATAATAATATCAGTACTAACGTTATACGAGTTATTCCTATCGTATGGGTACTATTTCTCGGAGTATTAGTCGACGGAAACTATATTACTCTCTACGAGCATGAATATCTGCAAGGTACATTTCTTATACAAATTATTGGCATTTGATATAATTCACTAATTGTTACATATTTATGACTTAGGCGAATCTCATCCCATAATCTCTCCCGGCGACTGTGTAAATGTTCCACATCATTTCAACGACAAGGCATCTTCTGTAAACACCCACAACAGTTGCATGACCGTTTATGAGCATCGAGATTGCAAAGGTCAACATTTCAACATGCGACCGGGGTCCCCATCTCACGGAAATTTGGGAAATTTAAAATTTAATGACAAAATAAGTTCGGTACGAGTATGTTAGATATACAATTGCGCTCATGTATAATATATAATTTATAAGGCGTGCCATATTTTGACGAAATAAATGCTTATGTACATATGCAAGAGAGTTGAATATAATATGAGTACTATAATAAGGGTACTTGCCGAAACTGTAAATTAAGGCAATAAATACGTAAATAACGGATTATTTAAGAAGCTCATGAAACGGGAAATTTAGCACTTTTTGGGTAGAACTTTTACATATTTTCACTAGCAGACTCTAAAGGATCCTGTAAGAACATCACACAAAATGAGTACAAAACGAAGAACACCGAGTATTTCGCAATTACGAATTTGTGCAAACCCATACTTATTTGTATCAGGAATCAGTTTAGTATCTTGGATTGCAGTAATTTTTATTCCTACGCACACCATGACTAAATCAATAAGTAACGATTTAAATTCTACGATCATCCAGGTATTTAATGTTCAAACATAATAATAGTACATACATTTTTCAACTACTCTCATTATTAAAACAGATTATTGTCACATCACATTCATTTTCACACAAAGCTAATGACGATTCCACAAAAGATGAAATGGTGACCCACATCAACTGTTACCGAGCCTGTCATTCTGCCCCTGCGTTGACACGAGATGCGCAGGTACATGCAATCAGTATATTTATTTTGGTCGATGTCTAATTTAGGAGTATTTTTTACAGATTGAATCGAGCCAAACTGATGGTTACGCCCAACAGTTGGGAGCATCAGGAAGTCTCCAACACTCACAGTCAAAGTACGGCGAAAATTTGTATGCCGGACCACGTCCGTCCGACGCCGTTGACATGTGGTACTTTGAATGTAATGGAAATTACAACTATGGAAGCAACAGTAATTCAATGTCATGTGGTAAGGCTATGAAAGCAAGGAAAACTAGACCACAAAAAATCCTACACATTTCGCTAATCGAATACTGCTTATTTGTTTTATAGGCCACTTTACACAACTTGTTTGGAAGGGATCTCTCAGAATTGGACTTGGTATTGCAAAAATGGCTCAATACGGGTTTGTTGTAGTTGCCAATTTCGATCCTCCTGGAAATTATTTAGGGAATTTTGCGAACAATGTAGCAAAGCCTGATTCTGCATGTGTGTCGTCTTGTAAGTCAAGTGGAGGAGGGAGTTCAGGGATGGGAAATGGTGGGGCGTCGAACGGTGGGGGGAACAATGACACAAATAACGGTGGTATGGGTGGAAGTGGAGGCAACGATGGCGACAACAGCTCCTCTGGAAGTTGGGGTGGGTCTCACCACAATTCCACAAACAATGACAATAATGGGATGGATGATGACGGCTGGACCTGGTGGGGATCCGGTTCTGGTGGAAATAATAATAATAATGGATCAACAAATGGCAACAATCATCAGAACTCGACAAACTGGTGGGGAAATGGTAACAATAATGATGGCGGAACTAATTGTGGTCACAACGACAACTGTTCTTGGGGGAATGATTGGTTGGGAAATGGAAATTGGGAAGAAGACCAAGAATCATAATTATATTACTACCTAAATTGTAACAAGTTACTTTTCAACCAAAAGCATGAAAATGTTAGAATAAATATGAAACCCTTTCGTGTATACGTAAATACGTCCTTATTTGTTTAATGACTATTTCTGAATCTGACTGAACTGAAGGGTAAACACTGGTAATCTATATTGACTGAGGAGTTACTGATAAGGTGTAAATATACATATGTAAGTTCTCCAGTGCTTCATTTTCTGCAGTGGTCAAAACACACTGTCACGACTGATTTTAACTATTGTACGATTGTACTTTTCAAGGTGTATCAACAAGAAATATAAAATGTTTGGCTTTACAATAAATCATAATTTCTAAGACAAGTTGAATTTTATTGAAGTTAATGTAAACTATTTTAATTAATTGGATTTTAATTTGCGATCAAGAATGGCTTGGAGTGAAACTATCCAAACGTGGATGAGAGTAATGTGCTCGGTTTTAGGATTGTCATTCATTGTAAGAAGGGAAATTAACAACTTTCATTGTATGTATGCATTCTGTTTAAAATACCAATTTATGCATTATGTAGGTGTGTTCTATCCTTCTCATCTACGTCGGAGCTTTGGTGGACAATGCAGTTTTCCAGTATGGAACGTTCATTATATCGGAAGATTTTTCAAACTCGTCTCGTGCAGCAATTCTCATAGGTGTGTTCATGCTTGGAATCCTTTGGCTGCAAATCACTGGAGCCATTCGGGAGTGGGCTTTTCTTATGTTTCTGGTAAAGTCGCAAAGACATTGAAGTAAATTCAATAAGTTGCGTATATGTATGTTCAGAACTCTGCCTTGTTGGGATACCTGATGGTGCTTGGTGTCGTGCTAATGCACTCCATTCAAAACGATGAACAACGCCTAAACTCACAATTGTACTACGGCCTCTTAAGCTCTTTAAAACGCTATGGAGAAAATTCAGAGATGGGTGCAGCATTTAGGATAGGATGGAGTCATGTTCAGCGATCGGTATGTAAAATAAAAGTACTAATTTGAATACTTATACCAATCCTAATTTTGGATGTGGAAATGATTTTCAACTATTTCAATCAAAATTAAAGAAAAATTGTTGTGGGACAAATAACTACACAGACTGGGAGGACGTGCGCATGATAACCTATGACCCACAAGTCCCCATTTCCTGCTGCAAGCATAAAATTTCATTTTGTTCGGATAATGTCACATTTTTCAATTCAACTGAAGATTCTGAATTCATTCATACTCAGGTATTCTTACGGTTAAATTACCTTTATTAACTGGTGCATTAATTATTTCGACATGAAAATAGGGGTGCTATTCTGAAGTAAGACAAGACATTCCCCTTGATCGTCTTCTGCTAGTGATATTTCCGTTTGAAGTCATTGGAATTTTATCAGTCATAATGTCAGCCTACCTTTCTTGGAAATGGAGGGGAAGAGGAAGGGAAAATAGAATGCGCATTATACGAAATCCAACTGGTCATCAAAATTTGATCGAAGAAGACTCAACTTCACAAAATTAATTCGCAAATAATTATGCGTTGGGATATGTTAAAAAATCCAAAAAGAGATTTATGAATATGTAATAGCACTGTTTCTCGAGTTGTGCTTATACTATTCTCCTATTTGAGAAGATCTACCAATATTACTCAATCTCCATTAAGTCTATACCTCGATTTTATATGAAATATGTACATATTTACCTCCTCGCCCAACACGAATATGACGACAGAAGAGTTTCATTTGTTAATTTTCATCATGTGATATTTTTATTTACATTTTTATGGGCTTTGAAAAATATATTACTTACTACACATATACATATAAACCGCATAACGATAATCACTTCTTATTCAAAGGGCTTTTTTCATTGCTAATTTTTAGGCATGAAAACATTTTCTCCCAAAACTTGTCCACATCAAGACTGTAGCAAACTGTGGCGTTGGGTTCTTTCTTACTCAATCCATGCAAATCGCACAAAGTCCTTCCAGTGCATTTCTCCCCACTCAATTCTACATCCAAGAAAACGTTAACGGTTTTAAATGATTGTGGATTTATACAATAGAACACTGCACATGGATCATGCAGTGGGGGAGAGTCAAAGGAAAATACATTTTTATACGTAGATCGAAAGAACGTTAAAAGTTCGACACAACATTTTGCAAAGTTTGAGGAACACTCTGGAATTTTTAGGTTGGATTCTTCTCCATCCGTCAGCTCCTTGTTATTAATATCTTTAATGCGCTTATAAATTTCATCACATTCTATTTGCAACCTTTTTCCTAAATCCTGCCCAATATTGCAAGTCTTTTCTTCAAATGACGACGGACTGAAGGCGTCAATTCTTGCAATCGTTGCCAAAACTTCTGGCGTCACAAGAACGCTGTGCGTTACTTCGAGCGGTACCATAACCAGTGGAATTCCTTAAATGAGAAGCATGCATATTTAACAATCATTAACAGCATGCAAAATTTAAGTCATTAAATTTATGCAAAGTAATAATACCAGAATGGAAAACTACATGGGCAGCTTCAGGATCAATTTCCATGTTGAATTCTGCTGCCACGCCCGTGTTTCCAAGACCAATTGCTCCCCCCATGAAAACTATCTTTGAAATGTTATCCTTGACGGTAGGAAATAAGCGGATAGCCATCGCTAAATTAGTTTGCGCCCCTGTAGCCACAATTGTGACTTTTTCTGGATACGTAGACACAATTTCCACCATTTTCAAAACTCCATTCTGCACAGAAGGCAGGTTAGTCTGGTCGGCAAAAATTTCCTCGTCTGGAAAATTGAATCCACACATTCCAGCAACACCATCTTTCCCTGAAATTATCACATTACAATGAATTTCACAATTACGCCCCCTACTGCAAATACATAAGTATCGCTCTGCATGTACCATGAACCCCATGAATTTCTGGACAGTATTTCGCATCTCGAACAAGGGGACGACTTACGCCAGGGAAGACTGAAACCCCTTGGATGCCACAAGCCCACATAAATCTCTTGGCGTTTAATGCGCAATGCGCCACGGTGTCATTTCCATGAATAATAGAAACTCCTAAAACCTTCAATTCCAAACTTTTAACTGCTAGTGCAATTGCAAATGCGTCGTCGTGACCTGGGTCACAATCTAACCAAACGGGAACAGGTGAAAAAGACATGATGAGGAAATATTTAACTACTCTAAAAATATGACTTATCAAAGTGTAGCTGCCGAATAACGATGATAAATTAAATTAACTGCAGAGTTGAATTCGAGCAATGAGATTTCATTTGTATATAAATACTTTGATCACAACTGTAAAATGTCTAAATATCACAATTAATACTGTAGTGCAGTGTATGCTTAGCTGGGATTATGAATCAAAGGTCAAGGACAAAACGTCGTGAGACAACTTTTCTTAACTCTTATTTATTTAATGATGTTTATCCAGATCGTTTAACATTTTGTTATCCGTGGGTTCTCCTTATGAGAAACCACGGATAGTAATAAAACCAGTATGGTATTAATATCTCATCTGATAATTTTCTAGGCAAATAAAATATATATAAATATGTACAAAACGGTATTGTCTTAATTACAGAGAGATCAGAAACTTTTATCATATTAAATACTCACTCTTAAATAAGTAATGTCAACTTTAAACACATATTTCTAACTTTGCAAATCTATAAACTAATGAATTTCTACAATCTCTTACTAAAATAAGTTTTCTAGGATTCCAATCGCATTTTGCACAAGCGTTGAACCACTCCTTCAAACCATTGAAAGTACAATATCCGATTCCAGAGCATTTGGCAATGCTATAAGTTTCTCTACCAAAAACAATAGCACCAATTGGAGTTCTACTCATATTCTTGAGTATTTGTTCGCTATCGGGCAACCAAAGGGAGTTAATTGCACTATTTATAACTTGAAGTTTATCACTGCTAAAAGGTGTCAAATCTATGGGTTGCCCGTTACAGTTTTTCTTTCTTAGTTTTTTACGCTTCTTTTGCATAAATGACTTCATACGATCCCTTGTATTTCGTAGGTCCTCTCGTTTTTTATGAGCACTTGCATCGTCACCGACGGGTTCTTCTAGATTGTCATTTACCTCATCAACCTTGTTGTTCATTTGCACAATATCTGTTTCGTGTGGAATACAGACGATAGCTCCAGGACCAATTGATCCTTTTCCAACAATGGTGAGACATATTTCAATCAGTAAATGCTCGGGATTGGATGGATCTTGGTTGAAAATAGTATTTTTGTTGCTTGAAGACAAAGTATTTCTCAATGCTTCCAGAAAAAATGGATTCCTCATGATATAAAATGAGTCGATGTCAACAGTATTTTTTGCACTGCCAAACTTCAAGAGGCTTCTCCAATCTATCTTGAAAGGGAAAGGACATCCTAATTTGATAAAGTTGGGGCGTTTGGCTGGAGGATATTTGAAATAGTTTATTTGCAAGTCACTTAATCGACCATCTGCCTCTTTTTCACCAGAAAGAGAATCCGGAGGAAGAAATCCGTCTTCATTAGAATGAACTGATGACCCACTCTCAGATTCGAACGTTTCAGATTCTCTTAGCCCTAGGACCCGAACACACCTATGTATCAAATCAGTCGGTCAAAAAAAATTATTCTTAATTATTCTAAATTATTAATTTAAAAATTATTGCTCTTCATAATGCTACAAATACTACGCACCCAAAAATCCTGTCTAATATTCTGCGTCATATATGCTCAATAGATGTAACATGTTTGATTGTTGTAAATGTTGATACCTGTACACTAAAGCAATCCAAATCGGCATTGCCCAACCGGCTGGAAGAACTATATCCCATCCCCCATTTTTAAATCTTGTGGATGCTGTGTTCGGGCGATGAATCAGAATAATCGGTACTTGATTTTCTTCTACACCTAAATTTAGTTTGGAACCTGGGCAGAGACGATGTCATTTATATATCTTACTTTGTGCATATCGATAAACAGTAAATTATACAAACCTGGTATCAATAACTGGGATTGGCGTTTGTTAAATTCCTCCTGTGACATTCTTTCATCTATTGCTTTCGTTCTCGTTTTTTCGTTTAGTATTGGATAATCTACAGCTTCTGATTGCAACTGGTCCAACAAAGGTCCCACGTCGTCAAAGGATTCTACTACTGGTTTGGCTTTCTTTTTCACTACTGGGTCAGTCTTATTAGGAATAGATATTCGAGGATCGTTAAGCGTAAGAGGAATCACAGAATGACAAGGAATTTGACTAAAAGACTTGAGCTTTTCCCACAATTCACACTGCTTGGTCAAGACCTCTTGTTTATCTTGATAATAATTTAACCACCAAAATTGTTTGTTGATATTATCATTATTGGAAATATCTTTTTCTAACTTTGCTGGTGATAGAACTTGAAACACTTCTTTCAGAGTTTGAGTAGCCAAAGGCCCATAAAGTCTAAAACGATTAAACACACCCTCTAAATCTGTCAATATTACATTTGTACTGTAGTTGATCCATTTCGGTCGATGGCATAATTTCTTGGGAAGAAGTTTCCTGTCAATATGAGCATCATCATAGTCTTTAGGAATTTCCTCTGATATTTCAGTTTCATCAGATGCAGTATCCATTGGTTCATCTTTATCTTTCTCTGGTCTTCTAAAAACTAGATTTTGTTTCGACATGAGCTCAAATTCTGCACATATCTCGTTCAGAATCTCATCCTTTTGTGCGGGGTGGACCCAAAGGAATAACGACGACTGGTCCATCTTCCAATAAAATCGGACTCTCCCAACATAACCGAACGGATAAGATCCACTCCGGTAAAAATGGAAGGTCCCTTCCCTCTTTCCGCTTTTGTACATTTCTGAAGACAAGCTTAACGGGTTTACTTCTGTTGGAGCGAAGGAAGTGGAAATTTTGGACGAAATTAGTTGGAAATTTCCTTCAAGTTCGAAACAACTATAGTAGGAGATATCCCTCATGGCACAAAATTGTGATGCTGCCCTATACCCTGCTCGATAACCCTTCGCTGTAGGTTCCTTGGGTATTCGATAACCCCATTTGTTGAGAATATGAAATCTGGAAGGAATTATCACACGGCTTAATTTTAAACTGGGCCATGTATTACAAATTGTAATTTAATACCTTTTTGCATGCCAAATATGCGTTTCTAGCCACTTGTGTTCCCTTTGACGGCGATTATACTCCTCCGTCAAGTTTGAAGGCCTTCGTCGATGTCGTCGACTGGGTTTCTTTGCTTTCTTAATCACCGAGGACCCACTTGATTTTTCTACCTGATGCCGGTGAATCCCTTGAAGTCGTTTTGGAAGACGTTTTGGATTGTGGCTTACTGCCCGTCGTCGCATATGTTTCGGAACATGCTGAAATGCCAGTCCTTTGCTAGCAGGTATCCCAGAAGTGCCTGAAATTATAAAATAAACACCAATTACAATCGGTGCATTCTACATACGAAGTTCGTATTAACAACTTACTAATTTGATTAGATAATGAATTAATTTCTTGGATTCTTGCTGCGAGGAAGTTGCGCACCCCCAAAGACTCCACGGTTTCATCGACCTCCATGATTTCTGCAAATTGTGTTTTAAACGGATATACTTAAGTATTCGGAAAATTTTGACAAAAAAGAAAATGTGACAGTGTATTTATTTGCACGTGAGGTAAATAAATCCCGCATTGGGTTTCATGAAACGGGGCTTGTTGCATAACGTACGGATGGAAGTGGATGCAATAATTAATTGCATGCAACAAATTTACATCATTTACATGTGTAATGGAAAAGTTCCATATGCTATTTAGTTATTATTTGCTCATCATTTGACAATATAAGTACGCGTGTAGGATCCTTATGCGTCAACGCTTTACTGCGATGCAGATTTCCCGTACATTCATTCTTTCTCAGGTGGTTTACTAATAAGCTTGGGCCGATATTATCGGTACCAATTTATGGTTAACCTATCAGTTCGAATTGGGTGCATGGTACACACGAACAATTTGTTTTCCATGCACTTGAGTTAGATTGAGAAAAATGAACCAGTATGATGCGTCGTCACCAATAATATACTTTACAATGTCCCATTAATTTCGAAAGAATAAAATTATAAAAATGCTTTTGTACATTTTTGTAATACAAAAAATATAAAAATATCATCAACTCAGAATAATGTTTAGCTTACACGCTTTATACTTTGCATGACTCACTACTAATTGCATAACAAGTATTCTTGCTTACGTAACCAGCGTGCCCTATGCATTGACAACTTAATTTTGGCATGTTCAAGTGGGGTTCAGATTACAAAAAAATATGTGACAAAAGATAAGTGCCTCTGCATCACCAAAATCGAACATAAAATGGGGATGACAACTAAATTTAAGCTTACTTATTTCACTTCAATCTGATCTGATTAGTTGCACAGGCATATGTAAAACTTGTCATTGCAAAAATGAAAATTGCACTATTTCTTCTCATTGCACTAGCAGCAATAGCCCATTGCGGCACTGTTCCTAATAAAAAAGACAATGTCTTTGGTGTCGGAACTGCGGTTGAACTTGAGGAAGTAGACGAAGGTTAGTGGGACATTCGTGCACAATAAAGAAAGAATCAATGTAGAAGGCGGCTGAAAAATTAATTACCTGTTCGATAATTTTTAGGCTTAGTGTCTGCACGAGGGAGAAATAGCGAGGAAAACGACAGTGACGATGACAGCTCAAATAGTTCAAGTTCAGAGTCCGGGTCGGAAGAATCGGGCGAAAATGGACCACCGACGACAACAACTCGTCGGACTACCACTCGAAAACCTACCACGACACGCCGGACTACCACGACTAGGCGCCCACCTACCACCACGCCCACCACGCCAAGACCCACCACCACGACCACTACGACCACTACCCAGCGTCCCACTACCACGACCACTACAACACCGAGACCTACTACGACTACGACTACGACAACCACTCCCAGACCTACCACCACTCCTACAACGACGACAACTACTCCAAGGCCCACAACCACGACACCACCACCACCTCCTCCTTCAACCACTACCGATCTGCCTGGAGAATGCAAAATAATTTGTCGCGTCGGGGATCACTACTTGGTTAACCCTGCAAATTGCAACTCTTTCTACCAATGCTCAAACGGCACACCCATCTATCAACCATGCCCACCCGATCTTGTGTTTGATCCGAGAATCAACGTTTGCGTGACAAGGGACACGTACAACTGTGTCGAAACTTGTGATCGAGTCGAGGTTCTTTACAGGACAAGGGCTGGCTAACTCAAAAAGAGTGTGATCATAATTCATTTGACAATCATAACCCAAGCTCAAATAAATGCACAATGTTGAAATCATGCTCATTGCATCTCATCAATATTTCGAATCACTTGTTCTTTATTTAACATTTACACACACGAGCAACTGAACTAAAGTTAATGCACGATTAAAGAAAATTGCGTTACCATATGAAAGAAAAAGTTTAGTATTAGAGAATATTAGCAGCAAAAGTTGAAATATTTCAACTGATCTGTGAATTCCCCACTCTGCTTCAGGCGCACCTGACGTCAGGAAAACCTTGCAATTATCAATGATGAGATAAAATTAATCCACTCTACTGAAGTTTTGTCACAATTTTGTCTCAAAATCAATCAGCCAATACATAAAATATGAATCTACCAGATATAGAAAAGTCATCTTCAACGTCACCTTTGGACGAAAATTCCTTCCACTCCTTAGTTTCTCAAGAACGGACCACTTTAAACCCCAATGCCGTGTGTTTCGACGCCCCCTCCGAAGTTTACAAGCTTTCCTGGCCAGAACTTCCACCCCAGTTGGATGATGGTGATGGTGGAATAATGAGTGAAATTATTACTCCTTCATTATCACAATCTCCATCGAAGAATGATTTGACTTGCGATGGACCTGGGGATGACAGCAATTATGATGCACCCATTTCTTCACCTGCAGAAAATGCTGACGGAAACCAACCAGAGCCAGAAGGTACTGGTGAAAATTCTCCCATTGCATTCAACTTGTACCAGCGACAATCTCAGATTTACGCAAATTTGCACCACTTACCTGTTCTTACACAACACTCGGTCCCCGTGATCCTACCTCCTACGGTAGAACTACAAGGTCAAATTCTCTTTAATTTGGAAACCGACCCAGTTCCATCAGCAACGGGAACAATGCAAATTCATTCAAACTGTTCATTTTCAACGAACCAAGGGATGCCTTTTCTGCAGCAAATGCATGGATATCACGATGGCCCTGTGTTTGAAAACTACAATGTTTCAATCCCACCACCAGTATTCTACGGTTATCCAGTACCCGATGCCGAAAATAAGAACGAGATAAATCCTCAGCATCGTTGTTGCAGTGGAGGAGAACAAGTTGTTGAGTTTCAAACACCACAAAAAGACAATATCAGCAATCTCCCAATCAAAATTCCATCCTGGGCCAAACTAACTTTGGAGGAGGAAGAAGAAAATGATTCGAATGTGTTCCCAATTTCATCGTCTTCGTCATCCCGAGCTCCAAGACTTGTGGAATACATTGGTGATCAGTATCACTCCAAGAACCCACATACTCGACGAACCATATTGCTCAATCAACGCCGGTCTTCCGATGACGATCCAATCGTGCTGTATCGTTTTTACCAGTTTTCTTGCTCCTGTCAAGGAAAAGTTTGGTTTTCACCTTTGCATCGAGCTCGAGAAGGCTGCTATTGCAGAGATTGTCACAAGTTTGTGAAGCCCTTCGGACACGTACGATTACTTATTATGCCAAATACATTCATTTGTTTTATTAAGTTTTTCAAGTCGACTTAATCATCATGTTTTATAACTTTACTAGATTGATGGATTGACACCATACATGGGGCACGAATTGTGTTACGCCAAATTCCAGTGTCACCACTGTGGTAGAAGCTGGAGTTGTCAAAAGTCTCGTTCCAACTTTCCCGACAACTGCTTTTCCTGTGGACGAATTGTGTATCCGTATTACCAAGTTTCACATGTAAGGAAATTCATTTTTTTACCACAATACGAGATATTGCTTCACATCCTCTGTATTAATGTGTAAATAGTCCGTCCTACGTCGGAAAATCACTCGTCAAAGTGACAATGGCGCAATACGCAGTTTTCGAAACTGGACATATTCTGCGTCAAGCTCTTCTGTGGATGATGATGAGTCATATCAAGAGGTACTCCGACATGTATCGCCACAAAGTCAGGCTGCTGCTGAAGTTACCCCGACTCGTACTCCAATCGGTTCCGGTAAAATTTCCGTCGGAGCATCTGAAGGAACTAGGACTTCAAGCGCCTCAAACGTCTGTCTTCTGGAAACATGCAATCAAAATCAAAATCGGATGTTGCACTTACCAGGAGGTAAACGATTTTCGCTACCTTGTCGTTCTTTATCCGACACTGTCCTCGTGATCGGCGACCGACACCATGTACACCACTCCCACCAACAACGAGGGACTTTGAACAAGGGGGAGCAAGGTCGGACTGGGTTTGGACTTCGTCCCCATCATCACCACCGGAAATGACAATGGTTTTATTCTTGTAAAACAAATATGTATGTAAGATGCAAAGTCAAAATTTCAAATTGTACTCACAAGTTCATCCTCACCCCGTATACACATGTATTTACATACATATATTCACAGTAATGATAATTTATCTACACGATGCGTATGAAATGTGAAACCAAAAATTCATTTCTGACACAGTTTTGTAATGTGACATGATGACACTGTAAAATTTTGCTCAAATGGAGATGAAATTATTTAAATAAAATTTAACAACACGTTTGTAGGGCAAGTGCACAAATAAATGCTTTGAATACAAAATCACTTCCTGGAACGCACTGTTTGTGTTTGAATTAATGAATGAGATATATTTACATTGTATTTATTTGCGCCATTGGTAGTGCTTGAATTAATTCTATAATGAATCATATTGGATTTATGTTTTTGTAATTAAACTCTCGAGTTATGAAGCTTCGTCACAGTTTGCATTTTGTTACAACCTCGATCATCAAGACCTCGTATTTCTACAGTTTGTTCCTATTACTGGGGACATGTATTAGAGTTGGCGACGGAGTGTTCAGATTTTGCCATCGCGGAATGTGGCATGAATTCCAAGAAGGCGATTGTCCATTTGGTCTTTTATTCAACGAAAGAATAAACGCACCCTGTTTTTACACATTGAATGAAAATTCTTCAGCAAGGTATGCAATTTATGTTCAGTTTGTACCGTACTATTTATACCCGAGTTTTACTTTCCTGAACAATATTTTCAGAATTTGGCCAACTATTTGTGACGATACACCTTTCCTCAGTAGTAGTCACGAAAAAAATCTCGGGATTTTGGGCCAAGACTTTGTTCTCGCTCAAAAAAATGGCAAAGTAAATTGCTTATTCCCATGTAGTAATCATATTGGTAATGTAGATTTTTTGTTTATTTATAGATTCAGCTAATTCAATACGAAGGAGTAACTAATTTATCTATTCAGACTCAAATATGTAAGTTTCGTATTTCTATTTTGTACTTAATTACTGAATAGTAGCTCAAACGAGTAGTAAACTGTGAATACAAAATACTTTATTTTCAGGGAACGACGTAGTGGATATGTCCACTTGTGAAGATTTATGTTACCGAAGCATTGAAAATGACAAAGTTCCACCGAGTCGAACCTCTCACGAGGAGGGCGATTCTGTCGAAATCTTGCCCGTCCATCGTGGAGAAATCAATGAAACGCAGAGAATGGCTGTAACCGATCAAACCCTCCGACTTGGTAATAAGTTATTGTGTTACATAAATTTAACTTCAGTTTGTTATTTGATGTACACACACATGATTAAACTTGATTAATAACTTGACAGGGGATTATTTATTTGACGAGCTTAATACAGAGGAATTCAACAGAAGGTCAGATGGATATGGGCCGGATTTAAGAATTGTCCAGTTGTATAAAACCAGTATCAGAATTCTTGCCAAGACTTGTCCCGATCCATTCATCCCTGAAGATTTCAGAAACCGTAAGATTTTATAACACAGCCAAAAATTGCATATGATATGAGACTCCATTACTGTCCTAAGTAAATAGAACAATTAAAGAAGAAGGAACCCACATTTTTCGATTTCAGGTATATTGTCTGGATTCCTATTTCTGGTTCAGGACACAGGAATTGGCGAAGTTGACGATATTTCGGCAGAAGAATTTGAAGAAATTATGGCTGCTTTGAGATCTTGTGAGAATATGAATCCCACTTTTCGTCTCGAAGGAACAGTCTGTTCCATGAAAACTATTGTAAGCATTACACATGCGTGCATGATTTAATTTCCACCATTAACAAGTAATAGGATTGATAATGTGTAACTATTCTGGTCTTTGGGGTACCAGGCAAGTGAAATCATAAAAATTCTACCCGACGGGGAAGAGCTTGAAACATCTTTCAGGCCGGTGGACTGGGATAAATCGATAACCGCATTTCCTTACCGACATTACGACCCTTTTGCGGAATTTGCCTGGCAAGCAGTGACCGTAGTGCATGGAACTTGTTTCGCTACTTTTAAACCTAATGCAAATATGCACCACAAATACACGGCATCGATGGAAAAGCTATTCGGAGACAAGATTCGGTTCAGGTGGTATGCTGCAACCAGTGCTACTCTTTTAATCCTATTATTCATTTGAGATCATTCTATTACTATTGCTGTCATATATTTACAGGGAAAATCCCACACAGCTAGAAGACTCGAGAATGTGGGGGACTTGGTTCCTGGCAGATTTGGACACGACATACATGAATTTTGGAGCCTGCATGTCCGGAGCGTATGAAGGTACATTCAGAAATATTTGTTTATGACCACTTGAAGTTTTTAACCCGTGTGAACTGATTTTGGCCAAGTTGTTGTTTAAGTAGCGCTTGATTTCTTTATGAGTATCTCACTGGTCATACAGTATTTTAAATTGTAGCTTGAGATAATCGTAAAATACGAGCTGATGTCTCTTCAGTATTTAACTGTATTTAATTTTTTACAACGAAGGAGCCCCCTTTGCAATGAAGCTGGACAGGCCGATTGACAAATTGCGGAAAAGTGGAGGACGAAGATCCCAAAGGCAGCGAAGGGACGCGGAACAAGCACCGAGTAATGATGACGCCACATACATTCCCATCGGGTCACACGTCGAAAACAAGCTGACCAAAATCACTGCCACTGAAATGGACGACGGGACGGTCAGCACTGAGAACGACACCGATGACGACGCCATTCAAAGCTATTGGAAGTACTACCGCTCAACTGGAGGCGTCACAGAAAAGTTGAAGGGGGATGTACAGTGTTTTCACTCGGCGGAAAAGAGGAGCTTGGTTTTAGAAGAGTTAAAGGAATCAATGTGCACATCAAGAAGGGAAGATTTATTAATTACAAATGACGAGAAGAGATAATGATTAGGTTAAAAAATAATGTAATAATTTGTAAGAATAAATGAAAGTAATTTTTATAATAATGCAATTATATAATGCAATAAAAATATTGTTAAACTGTTGTACACGGAATAATCACGTTTAGGTCAAAATACCCATACGTCAAGTAGTACATCATTTTCATACGTAGGATAACTCAGGATTAGGTCCCGGCCTGACTAGGCAGGTCACATCGCCAACACTTACAAATATGTATTTATGTCATTAAATTCTTTGTGAAATGAAATATTAAATGCAAACTTATTTTCATGTCGATATACAAATGCGTTATATTTATTTCTTTGAATATGGTAAATTCACGTCAAGATAAAATACGTAGAATACAATATTTTTACGTGGTACGCAAATGTAATAAATATGTTTATGCGTGGTTTCGTAAATTATGATTCTACTATAACCACTTGTATAATACTTTCATAAATATTATAGTAAACACGTCTGGCAATTTATGAGTTTAACTGAGTAAATACCAAAACTAGCAATAATTGGTTTTATAGTTGACTGATTTATGGATGGTCATTAAACCCAGTCTGAAAATTATGGGCGTTTATGCATATATGTATGTATTTGTAAGGCTTTCAATAAATGTTTTCTTTCATTTGCTGATATACATATTTATTATTCAGAACTGAAGTTTAATAAAGTTCCAACTACAGATAATGCACATGTTTATAATCCCAATGCCCGCTTGACATTAATCCTACCGTATCCGTATGCGTTATTAGGGTACGTGGAACTTGAGGGTTTTCCACAAGATAAGTCGTTCGTAGCTGGCTTATCAGATTGTCCCGTTAATGCATTGTAGACGTCAGCGTATTTCCACGTCGGATTAGCAGATAGCATCAAGGCAACAGCCCCAGCCACGTGGGGGGCAGCCTGCAATTAAAATTTATTTACTGTACCAAACTATTGTACTTTAAATACGTTTTCACGCCTAACCATGCTGGTCCCACTAAGGTACACATAGTCACTCGTCCCCGTGTAGTAAGCCGAAGGAATTTGGTCACCTGGTGCGGAAACCTAAAAACATGAAATACTTTGAGAATATATTTCTAAATATGAATCAGGGACTCGTGGTTCATGTTTTTAAGGAAGGTAGTTTGTTACCTCAGGCTTCAGAGCCCCACTAGATGAGGCCCCTCTGCTGCTGAAACTGGACATGGTGTCATCTGATTTTGTGGACCCAACACTAATGAGACTTCCTGGCAATTGATCCCCAGGAGAATTCGCGGTCCGACATTGGCTCCCACTGTTACCGATACTGAAAACAGGAATAATTCCTGCCGTCCTCCAGGCATTGATGACATCATTGTACCAATTTGCTCCCTGGCCACCGCCCCAACTATTACTCACGACGTGTGGTTTTTGTTGGAGCACCCACTGCCCGCAGGACTTGAGCCAAGACTCACTTCCACGCCCATTGTTGTCCAGACCCCGGCAGGCGATCCATTTAGCATCCGGGGCAACACCGATGCCGTACGACCGCCCAACAATGGTCCCTGTACAAAAATGTTTAGACTTTCAAGATGTTGTAATTACCCAATAAAAAATAAGTAGAATATACTTGCCCATAGTGTGAGTTCCATGTCCTTGTCCATCTGTGGGGCTTGAGTTCCCATAAACAGGGTCGTGCCATTTGCCTCCATAGTTGTCCTTAAGCGATTCATGTTCCCTGTAAACTCCTGTGTCTATTCCTGCTACCACTACATTTGCTCCCCTCGTCCTGGCAGACCAAACAGCCGGTGCCTGAATCTTACTAACGCCCCACTGCGCCTGAGTTTGGCGAGAAGCTCGGTGCAAGGTTTCAGAATCTACGTTGGATCCAGGCCCGACAGGATTGACTTTAACTACGGCAGGTTCTCGGAGAGTGAAAACTCCTGGTAGCGCAGCCAATGTTTGGATGGACTCCATATCAACATTCTTGAGATTTATGTCATTCGAAATCCAGAAGGGTGTCGCAGATTCGGCGAGGCCAAGTGAGGAGATTACGCTCATAAAGGGAGCCTGGGAGGCAGATGTAGCTTGTTTCAGTAACGAGGTCATCATGTTGACCTTTGCAAACCCAGACATCATATTGAGCAGTGGGTTTGAACTAATCACGTTCCCAAAAATGGATGGCAGTTCAAGGATGGCGTCGGATTTTTGCCCCCCTTCCAATTTCGACATGAGCCCTTCAGAGATAGAACCTCCGTTGGCAGTAGACAGGAGGATCATGGTCAATGCCACCGACGAGGTGACTAGACTTAGCAGCTTTCTGGACATGTCAATGTGTTTTTTTATGATATCTGTAAATGATGACAGGAAAGGGTGCTGGAGTTCATTTTATACCTAGAATACGTGACAGTAATTGTCTTGCGGTTTGGGCCAGCCCTCAATAAATTATTCAAGACAAACAGACACTTCAAAAAAATACGTCCACGTTTTTAAAAACTTTTGCGGTTTTCGGATAAGGATGTTTTTATTCATCAATTAATAATATAATAGGTACATCAAACTGACAATATCATTTAGTCGAAAGCATACGTCTGCATATTCTCCGAATTCTGTTTCTGTAATTATGCGTTTTGACATGGGTTTTCGTGGGGTAGCAATTCTAGTACAACGCATTTTGTGACGGCATTATACTTATGAATTTATGACGATACTCGAAGTGGCGTGGCATTCGTAATGTCGTTATTGTACTTGGATTACTAATTATGATTTAGTTATTTGTTGTGCAGCCTACATTTCGCTCAAGGAGAGAATATTGCGTCTTTGAATATTTTTACGATGGGTTACCAGTTCAATCTATAAGAATTACTATTTTCCTAAAAATTAACAGCAAAGATGAGATACATCGATACATGTACCGTACATGATGTACCGATATATGTAGTATGCAATATGCATGCGGTAGGACTGTCAACTGCGCGAAGAATATTAAGCCAGCTGGCTGCTGACGATGTTGGTTTGATTGGTGTTCCTTTAAGTTAGAAGTAAATATTTTAAATATGTAATTATTTCCTACCTTTTATTCTTAAGATTTTCATATTTGAACTCATACATTCCTTTACATACATTCCAATTCTGTCGGTTCGATGGAACAGAGATTCATTGATTGCTTCATTCATTTTGTATTTACAGATTCTGCTCTGCTGCTTGTCACTTGTACATCTAAATGTACGGAGGGACATATTTTAGGCTTCCACCACCGCTGAGGTATTTGCATAATTAATACTTTCTATAATATAATACGATTGTCTGGAAATCATAATTAAATTCTTGCTTACGCCACAGTTCAGTTTGAAGACTTTAAAAAGTTAAAGACTAATGGAGTCACCATTGGCTGTACATTCCCCACAGGGGGATGACGACAAAAAGAGTAGTGCAGAAGAGACAACATCACTTGTCACTGGTTTGACTGAAATGCAAATTCAAGAAAATAGTATGGAGTCACCATCCGATCTCGTCTCGTCGCCCGAGGTACCTTGCGAGATGAATAAAACGTTTGGAAATCAGGATTCGCCAAATACTCCTTCTTCTTCGGAGAGCCGCCGTTCTAGTGAAAAACAATTTTGGTCAAAGTACTACGAAATTGACGAGAACACGAAGCAAGAGTTTTGGTTACGAAAATCTACACCTCCGGCAAAGGTGGAAATTTATCCAGTTGGTGATCCAAGGAATAAAGGATTACAAACGGTTTGGAAGGCAACACACCGTGAATGTAATTACTTTGATGTGCAACGATTCATCATCAAAACAGGTGACCGACCGGACAGGTGTTGCTAAAATATTTACCAAGAAATATACGATATGATTGACTTTAACTTATTTTTTGCAGTGCCATCTCAAAATGTAATATCTACGAAGGATAGAAACTTTCAGGATGCCACTCATCCCAATGTTGTCTACAGTGGGAAGTTTGTTCAAGATTGTCTACCCAGAAAAGACTGTTTTGAGTTACTGTACCCGTTGCTGCCGGATAAGAAAATGACGTATTTAGAGAATTTAGTTTCAAAATATGGACCAACGGTGTGGACTCGCGTTACCGAAACATTTGGACATTCACTTGCAAAGATTGTGATGAACGTTCAAATCCGAAGAAGAGGAAAGCTGAGGTTTTTCTTATTACGAATTAGCATTTCATCGCATTTTCCTAATACAAATATGTTTTTTCCTTGCATTGACAAATTGACATACAGGGTCCTCATTCTGGCTGGGTCAAACTTTCAAGGGTCGTCTTGTGTTGTTGCTGCAAGATACTTGGCGTCGTTCGGAGTTGAAGTTTACATCTGTTTCATTCCAACGCCAGGACTTGAAGACACGTTCCCGGGGTCTACTTCACAAGATCTGCACTATGAAGATATTCGAATCGTCTTAGACTTAAAGGGTATGGAACGGAGTTGCAGAAATTATTTCATTCATGAATTATCCTGCAAAAATCTGGCTTAACTTTTCGTTACAACATAACTTTTTGTAGGAATAAAGGATGAAAAATTTCACATTTCAATTTTTGGAGTCGATGACCACAGGTCACCCACAACCACTCTGCACGTCTACAGAGAAATTATTATGGGAAGTGAAGTTATTTTCGTCGAACCTCCAATGATACCACAGTCATACTTCAACTTGATTAATGGAATTTGCTACAAGAGAGTCGGGGCTTCTATTATTGTAAACGCCATCCGTCCGTCCCCTTGTACTCTAGACGAGAATTCAATGATATTTGTTGTGAATATCCCTACATCAAATGAATATCCCATATTTGGAAATGGGGATTACTATTTGATTAAACCAATGGACAGGATGAAAATTCATCCTCGAAAACCTATCACCCTAAATGATAGAAAAAGTCGATAAGCCCATAAAGTGTAAATACAACTACATGCATATTATTCATTTTTAGTTGTAACGAGATCTTAAATTTATACATACAGACGTACGTACATATGTAGTTTTTTGATGGTACAAGTTGATCTATCGTCTGTTGTAGCTTAACGATACGCCAAATAAAACCTATTTCGTTTTAATTTGTTCGCTAGACTGAAACATACAAGTTACCGTGAATTAAGCGATGGTATAATAAGTTTTTTTCTTGCACGTGTTCTAAATTGCTTGCAAAGTTGAGTTGGTTGACATCCTCATCATCAGCACCAACCTCTAGCAAGTAATTCTTGTTATTGTCACGTATTCAAACTTGTTTCGCAGTGGTATCCCATAATTCTGGTATTATTCCATAGATTTGATGAATTTGGGAATGAGTAATATGCATTTCTCGATGTTATCAGCCTTCAAAAGCACAATTTTTCATGGGTTTAACCATGAAACCATCGCCATTGGACAAAATATTTAATTAATAGACATGCCTACGATATTACATATTATGTATGTAACTTCTTGGAGTACGGTACACAAAAAATTGCGTATTTTCCAAGTCACTCACCGTGAGTGGATATTTTTTGTCAATCTTTACTTACTGGGACTTCAATAAAGGCTAAGTAAGTTAATTATGCTTCAAAAATGGCAAAACACACAGAAAAACGCATATTCACAACCAAGGACATCCAGCCGTCTGGTTAAGTTTTTTGTGAAACTATGAAAAGAATTTGACAACTAATAGTTACGCAATATATAAATATATTAGGTATAGCTCGTACTTATTCAGTTCATGCATGACGCTGGAATTGTTGGAATTGATCATCTCAACCGGTTTTTATTCATCTCCACACTAGTTGTTGTGATGGTCAATAATATTTTGCCCGTGCTTATCCTTCGATAGGTTAATGTTCCTAAGATTAAGATTGAAAATAAGTGCGGAGTAGAATTCTTTCCTTATAGGTCTAGCAAACTTGTACAATAATGATTAAAAAGTTTTGCAAATGATATTACAAAACTATAAAAAAAAACTCACGTAGACAATCTTTTAGGCTGGTCATGCAAGATCTTTGAGTGTAATTTTTTTTAAATAAATCGTATGATTTTACAAGGGGAGGAGATATATGTAGCATGTGCCTATACATTCAGATCATGTGCATATGTATAAATCCTCATCTACAATCTTCTACACATTGATAAATGTGTCTTAGGATATACTTATGTTCCTTAGTATACATATATCCCTTGAATTACATAATAACAAAAGAACTCCATCCAAGACAGATAGTTTTGATATTTTTTTTATCCCGAACTACATATTTACAAGCAAAATGAATACATACTTCACAATTACCGTCAGTGTTACTTTCACTGTTTTAAAGAAAGCATACCCATTGTCATTTCAAATCATTTGTATAACAAGCTTTTCATAATGTTGTTCGAATTTTTGGCGATATGTGTAATCACTGCATCAATAATTTTGCTGCTGAAACCAAAAGTAAACAAGAGCTTGCCTCCCGGTATGAAGTTCCGTTGTGCATACAGAAAATGAATTTCATAATTTAATAGATTAATATGTAAGTATCTGGTTTGGATAGGTCCACCGAAATGGCCACTAATTGGGAACATTGTCGAAATGGCTTTAGCCGATTCAAAGTATCCTCATTTGGCGATGGTGAAGCTGGCCGCAAAGTATGGGGATCTGATGAGCGTGAAAGTTGGGGTTCATGACGCATGTAAATTATTTAATTTTTCTGTAATACGATTAGATGGTACACGTTACGATTCATCATTTTACCGTTTTTCATGCATATGCTCCTAGGTGTGATAACATCGTACGAAGCTTACAAAGAAATATGTACCAAAGAACCGGCCCAAGGCCGCTACATTTTTCCTTTCGTGACAGATAGAGCGTTTCACAAAGTGTTAGGTAATTCTTAATGTTGATCCGACTTTTCTTTACCGTTGGGTTTGTCGCATGTACAAGTTAAAGAATTATTCCAATTTGTAATAGGAATAATTTGGTCAAATGGGGAATCATGGAGGGACCTTAGAAAATACACGGTGAAGAATTTACGAGAATTTGGCTTCGGAAAAGTCAAGTCGATGCAAGTTATGATCCAAGAAGAAGTTGGGGACATGATGGATTTTTTGAAAGATACCTCTCGCGAAAATCGTGGAATTATGGAAATGAACCCACACGACTATGCTGGAAGTGTAGTGAACATACTCTGGTCGATGGTCGCAGGCTACAAATTTCCTATCGGGGACAAAACAATACATGCAATTTTGGAGCATGGTAATCGCATTTCCGAGGTCACGTCCCAAGGCAATATCTACAACGCTTTTCCGGAACTCAGAAAATGGTTTCCCAAATTAACAAATTGGGACAAGCATATGGAATCTCATACAGAATACCAACAGTTTGTCAAGGTATGTTATGCACATTATGTAGAGCTTAAAAAATATTCGCATAAATACGATTGCGAATCACGATGTATACCAAATGGATAGGGCATGATTGAAAAGGCAAAGTTAGAAAGATCAAGTCGACCTGACCCTGATGCTCAAAATTTTATTGAAGTATTTTTGGATGAAATTGACAAAAATGCTGGGAATCAAAATAGCTATTTTACGGGTACGGCATCACTTCACCAGTCATTAGATTATCTCTACGAACCTGTGTAGTAATAAATACCGCTTCAATTTTCAGAGGAACAACTCATTGTGGTGCTTCAGGACTTGTTTCTAGCTGGATCAGAAACCACAGGTATGTGCGTGTGTAGAGAATATTTTTTGGTGGATTTTTTTTAAATATGTACGGAAATACATATTTTATGCACCAAATTTTATATATCTTATTCTGCTAACCGGTTAGAATTATACTCTTTAATGCAGGTACGGCCATAACGTGGGCAGTCCTTTTCATTGTTTTAAACCCAAGCGTCCAAATCAAATTACGAGACGAAGTCAATCGAGTTTTCTCTTCTGGGGAACCAATTACTATTGCTGAGCTTAAAAAGTGCGTAACACATAAATATGTACATACGTATGCAGATAAGAATATGAATGTCGCAAAAATTCAGAATTCACTTATTACTTGTAGATTAACATACATGAAAGCCACACTGTACGAAATTTTTCGAATGGGAGATATTGCAGCCGTACCACCCCCTCGCATGGCTATGGAGGATATTCCGTACAAAGAGTACATAATTCCAAAGGTACCGTCTCATAGTTATTTCACGTTTATGTACAATGTGTACTGCAATACGTAATGTGGTAATAATTTTATTGAACAGGGCAACCTCCTTCTAGTAAGCATGCACAATATCCTAAACGATCCCGAGTATTGGAAAGACCCCGAAACCTTCAGACCAGAGCGATTCTTGGATGAATCCGGGACTAAAGTTGTTAACACTGAACGGGTGGCCACAATTTTTGGAATTGGTAAAGGATGAAATATTTAGCAATGGTTTATACGAATTTCAAGGTATTTAACAATTTAATAATACATACACAGGAAAACGAGTTTGCATGGGAGAAGGTTTAGTGTGGGACGCAATGATGATGTACTTGTCTGAGATACTGAGAAACTTCAAATTGGATGTAATTCCTGGACAAGAACCGTCGGCAAAAGATCCAATTGCAACTGGGACGCTGAATCCACAAAAGTATTCCGTACATTTTACAGTCATTAATTAGTTTATTAATTTAGTTTGGATCCTCAATAGTAATATTCTAGAATAATAGTTAAATGCTACCAATTATTAGTAACTAATAATTAATAATAAGAAGGAAATCAATTATTTTAGGAAATAAATATGACCTCACTCGAATTTTGTGCATAAATTTTATCATCATGACGCAATGAGTTTTCACCATTCATCAATTTGACATCACAATGGATGACTGAAAATTAATGTAACTAATCTTCTCATAGTGACGTTAATACACGTATTAAATTCTCTTCTTATCTATCACGTGGGTACACGCAGAACGTTAGGGTCAGAATGTGGAATCGTGTCACACAGGGTATAACAAATTGGAATAAAAATACAAGCTCGGACACTGAAAATTAATCAGGATCTCAGTTGCCTGTATTTGTTACACGTGTATATAATTCGCATAAATAGCGAGATCTGGGTTAGAACAAATACCAAATCGATTTTCACTCTCGTCTTCTAACAAGTTAAGTACTACAATAGCCACAAAATTTTTTCTCTCACGGGTTATTTATTATTGTGCTATCTATAACTAAGGAAGAAATTACAATGTTGGGGAAAAAGTCTCAAACAATTTTGGTAGCAATACTGTCCATCCTTTTTTGTTTATCCAGTGTTTCGAATGGAGTTTTCATTGATATTCAAGACGGATTATTTGTCGTAAACGCAACTATGGAGAACGACACACTGCATGTGTCAATCGTAGCCGAGACGATAGGCTATGTTGCATTTGGTCCATCTCCTGAAGGAATGATGACGGGATCGGATGTTATAATTGCTGGTTATGATCCCATTACGCAGACATCATACATCGGGGTACTACTTACTTATTTCTCAGATAAAACCTCACAAAATACCCGCAACAATACAGCTAATTAATGTTTCAGGACCACTTTTTTAATTTCCGACCTCCACCAATCGTGGATACCATTCAAAATGTGAGACTACTCTGGGCCTCTGAAAATGGGACTCATACATCAGTTTCATTCACTCGACCACTGGACACTGGCGATACGCTACAAGATCTTCCAATTCAGGTGATGATGAGACTTCATTAAATGTGGTTTTATATGCATCAATATTTACATAAACATGACTTTTGACATAAATTACAATTTGATTACTCTCCTTAAGGTAGAATCAAACACAATTTTATATATGGGCTACGGGGTCCGACGATGCACTTGGATTTCACAACAATAGAGGATACATACAAGTCAATTTGTTCGATGCCTAAAATCTCAATATTATCAAACTGATTAGGGCACCATTGTACCGGATCAAGTAAATTTTCGAAATCCAATTACATGTATACGAGACAAAGGCATAGATATTAGGGTTATATTATTACGTGTAGTGTATTTTTCGGTTATATATTCTTGAGATAACCAAACTTGTACATATCATACATATATACAAAGTAATAATAAATACAGAAGTATCATAAAAAAACAAAAACTGTGGCTCATGTTTTTATTTTGTTTAAAATTTAATGCGTACCATAATGTCAGACTGGTATATGTACCTATTGTGACGCAAATACTTCATAGACGAGGTATGTATGTATCATTGAATGTATTTACGATTTCAATATAGAGTTAAATTATTGAGAAAAAATTACAATTATGTTAAATCTTCAATAACGTAGTTTAAAGCAAGCCCATCATAAATATTTTAACTCGGCAATAATTTGATTAGACTGAATGAAATTCAAGGTAAATATGTAAGAGCCTATAATTAGAAGAACTTCGGTTCGATTGTCAGTTCTATGAGTTCGAGGCTTTTAGGTCAACATCCAAACAGAGACAAATTATTCCAATTTGCTTATTATGCCCCCAATTTGAAAATAATTCAGTTTTTCAATGAGAAAGCATGTCCACTCCTCAGTCAGTATGTATTTCAACGTCCCATGATTTGGTATAATTACAATTCATTTACTACTGACTACTTTCCTAAATTGTTGCTGGTTTAAAAATAATTGATCTCCGTGATTACTCTTTTCATGAATATTTTAAATATATCAAATTTGTCATTTCCGTTCGGTTTAGTGATACAGAAAGTTGTTTAAAAAATTAATCATTCATCAGCTAAATAATTCAGCTCATCTACTTATATTTGCATATTTACTTAAAAAAAACATTAATACTAGTCTCAAAATTTAACCGAATCACAACAAGCATAATGCTTTCAGATTTGTATTTCCAAGTTTTTGGTTGTCTTTTATCGCTGGGAAATAATTGTGGCGTGACACCAATCCAATGGGACCCAATTCGTCGTAATTTGCACGTCTCTCGAAACCCATATCTTATTAGAAAATGCTACGGGGTTTTTTCCGTCTACATCTTCAACGGGTTGTTCTGTTTGTTTCAAATTTGGCAATATCGTCACCCTGAACACATCAGGGATCTTTCTTATCTCCTGATTTTCCTCAGTCTCCAAATACTTGTTTTCATTTCTTTAAGTTTGCCCAGTTTGTGGCCTGACGATGTCACAGGAGCAGTTAACTCTCTCATCAACTATTTGACAAATTATTCGGGTACTCATAAATTAGTCGTAATTAATAAAATAATCTCATAAAATCACTTTCAATATTATTTTCAGCAACATGGATTGTTCCTAAACTTGATTCTTACACACGGCGAATTTGGATCGTGCTGAATCGGCTGCATCGTGCACTTTCACCCTTTCTTTTTCTTTGTCCCTGTATTTTCTCATTACATCCACTCCTATTTCCCGAAACCCCCATTTACATGACGTCGTACCTTCCACAAAAGAACATTTTTGTTGTGTTTCCATTCGTTGTTTTTTATTTCTTTGGATTCTTGTGTGCCATCACTTCATTTTATCTCCATATTCAGGTTCTGCTAACCTATATTTTATTTGCATGTCCCATTTTGTTGAAAGATTTAAGAGCAAATTTGCCCACGTATCGAACCCACCACAGCCTCAGGTCGTGTCCTAATCTGGTGCACGAATATAGGTGCTTTGAAATATTGCATGTCATAGGGATGGGATTTTACGGTCCACTTATTCTACCATTCCACGCCTTTTTGTCAGTACTTGTAGTTCTTGGAGCTTATCTCATCACTCGCCATTGGATGGACATGGATTACATAGCCATTTACATGATGTTCAACTGGGTCTTTATTTTTTTCGCCGTCTGGGCATTAGTTCTCCAATTTAGTGGATTTTACTTTCTTCAATGTACCAAAACCTTAAAATCCTGGAAACATTTCAAATGGAACAAGAAAGATTTGAAGGATTTGAAACGTTTTACAAAATCATGCAAACCACTAAAAATTGGAGATCAGATACGTTTTAACTTTAATAATTTGTCAGTTCTGTTCTTTATAAGAGGAATTTCACGTGGAATTGTGAGAGCTTTGTTAGCATTGAAATGAATAAAACCTACAGCGTCCTTTGCCCTATCTATTTATTATGCTGTGAAATATGAATTATGATACGTTAGATTTCAGCAGAATTTTTTTTATAAAGTGGAAACTACCAAATTTTTATTACTACTCACAATTATTTTTGAATTTATTTTTCTAATTAAGATTTAAGTCTCATATACATATAATAAACTGTGATATTTAATATCTCACTTTTCTTAATCACATATTTCAATTACATAAGAACAATCTTATTTTGCAGTATTTATTCTATTCAGCATTAATCAAGGTGGCACAATACTACAATTAAATATTCCAACTGATTTCGTTATAGTTTAAAGAACACAACCCACAGAGTTTGTAAAAAATGCAATAAATATTTCAACAATATTTAAAATGCAATAAATATGTAAATGCTAACCTACACACTTATCAGAATTATGTGTTGACTAGTCACAGCGTCAAACAAGCGTCTCATATAACGGCATATGTACACTTATGTATACTTATACATTAAAATTCTCACTAACAAATTGCAACCACGTATAATTATAATACAGCATTGCCTTACAACCTTACATGAATTCACATCCATAAATAATCAAATCTAAACTTTACTTCAAGTAATCTTTGAGAATGTGAAGTAATTCCTGCGCTGCTTCAATACGATTCAAATCGAGAGATCCAAGGGAAGGGTCCTTGCACTGGCTAAGAAGTTCAGTAAACTGTGGAAGTTTTGCCTTGTCGTTTTCTGGAATAGAATGAAGAAGACCTGGTGCAAAATCTGAAGAGAGTGGGTTGGGTGCCAGAATTCCCTGAAATTGGTCATAATTATAAAATGCGCATCAATCTGGTTGTTAAAACGAATTTCTCTTAACTTACAGCACAAATTGCATAATAATTATGATCCGTCAATGGTCGGACGCTATAAAAATGCAAAAAAATTATGAATATATTCAGGGGACATTACTTATCTAATCAGTTACTTACCAGAGGTCGTCTGTAGAGAATGAAAAACATTTTGAAATAGCACCTCCTTTGTTCTTTTCACAATCCATGGATTCTGACACTAGAAGTTTATCAGCATCCTTTGTTTTGCCTAGATTCCAATGCATCATTATTTCGAGCGTTCGTTAATTTTTAAACTCTTTTAAAGTATAATTAATAATTATGCATTTACTCAGTATTAGTTCTTCTTTATCCACCACAATAATATTCTCAAGATCAATCATCTTTAGTGAATTTGTGTTTTCGTTCACGGCAAAATTGTCCGGAGATGGATCCGTCATATACAGAATGAAATTGGTAGGATTTTCTCCAAATTTGTTTACCATCTCAATTAACTGTAATGCTAGGTGTGCTAAGGCATAAATAAGTGCATGAGTCAAAATATGATTTAGCAGGACGCCAGCATTTTCTATCATTTACTAACCTCGTGTCTTAAACGGTTCATGCATATATTGACTTAAACTTCGGCCAACGTATTCTTCTGCTACAATTCGTCCACATGACCTATGATATATATATATATATATTTATATATGCACAATGCACATAAAAGTACATTCAAATATACATTTAGTAAATACTTATACCCATAATATTTTGGGAATGGCCACCCATCGCTAGCCGTGAATGCCTACAGAGAATAGAAATAACACATTTATAATAGTCTGTAAAATGCGCATTACGAATATTTATCATTGATAAATTTATAGGCCACCCACTTCCAAGATTAAGGGTTCAGGATTGAGCAAAATAGTGGTAAGAACATTTGCCAATATGGTTTTAGGATTTTGTCCCTTATTAAACTTTTTTGCAGCAGCCACAAGAAATTCCATTTTCCTATGCGATGGGCACAACAGAATATCAGACCCCTCCCCAATTTTCCCCCCGTGCAAAATGTTTTGTCCAGGATGAACTTGTGAAGCGTGGGAGTATTCATCAATAAGATATTGCACAGATCTTGTCACATCGCAAGCATGGTCACGACCATGTCGTTCACATATTGTTTTGTCAAGATTATCCAACTCATTGTCATGAGCAAGCTTCTTTAGGATGAGCTGCATAAAAAATATTCATTACAAATATTAATGTAACCTGACACATATCACTTCATTGCCTGAATAATTTGATTTGCATACTTTCGTCTCCTTCCCACGAATATTCCAATCGGCATAAAACACATTTTTCTGATTCATCAACTTCGTCACGGAATACTTTGTCCAGTCGGTGAGTTTAATTTTTCCTTGTATCATTTCAGGACAAAGTTTGACCCCGAAGCATGCCGGGCACTTGTTTCTTTCTGTGAGTTGGTCCAGGTCGAGGTTCAAATTGAGAGCTTTTCCAGCCCCACTCCCACCACTCCCACTGAAGATGAGGAGGAGGAGGGCTAAAAATGCCGAGAGGATGAAAATCATAAGCAGCCAGCGCTGTCTGGTTTTCATGGCGTAGGATTGTCTCAGCCCCGTAGACTGACCAGAATGACCAATTCCAAACCAACGACGTCCCCCCGGATCCCCTGAACACAGAAGTCTGTCACACTGACAAAAATAGTACGCTTCCTCACACCGATTCCTCCCGTCGTGAAAATCACCACCAATGTCGTCGTTAGACGAAGAATTTAACATTAGAATAATTGACACAAAAGATGGATTGACTGACTAACTAACTAACTATATATAAGCTCGTAACTTAAGAGAGTAATATTATTATCTGTTGATAATATATGATATAACTCGTGACAAGTTATTTGACGAGTATAGAAATAAGGGGTCTCTATATCTTAAAATTTATAATGGTGAGTTGTATTGGTGGGATGTTATTAAACTTGAGAAAATCTCATAAATATGATTTGTGATTACAGATTTTGTATCCTTATCTTACAAACAGGCTTATCAATAATGGAAAGTGATTAGACACTAACCAGATAAGTTTTTCGGTCTACTGTGAACGAATACTGAACGCTGTTTACATTAATTACAAACTAGATAACTCATATCATTAACGGGTTTACAACAAACGTTGACTCAGAGCTGCATTTAAACAGGAATGATAAATAAAATTAAATCTTGACACCAGAAGAACACCACCCACGCACAATCACACAAAAATGACTCGAGGTACAGCAAGTTTTCAGTGGGTCAAAGTACCTTCATCATTAACTCCACGCCTGTATTTCAATTTTCTCAGTACATTAAGTACATGACACATTCGGAGAGAGATCTTATTGTATTTTGTACATAAACTAATCTGCAAATAGTGATGATGAGCGATGTTTTATTAATGACACACCATTTCCGTCCTTTGGTGACTGTATATTCCGTTACACTCCAGCCAAAATAATATAATCATATATTGTACCAATATTTGTATTCTGTATGAAGTTATTTCTCTGTTATTCATGTTTTGAATGAGGAATTGATTTCATGCTAATGAGTTTTCCAGTGACGACTCTTCAACAAACAAAGGTTAATGTGACGGTGTAAAATGACACGTTTTTAGAGAGACGTTCACTAGATTTACGATGCAATTTGATACTGATTCTCGCAAACTTTCATGACTTTCAACTTCAATCAATTAACAATAATATTTAAAGAGCTAGAATTTAATACTTTTTACACAATGTTATTCCTTTATTCTTTTTATGTTTATGTATAAAATAGGCAAAATTGCGCCTCAACCAGTTCGATGGATGGATTTGTTTTGGAATGTTGGAGATTCAATGTCAGGCTACATGTTAAAGGCAAAAAAGTCAAACTGTGTCTTCTGCCTATGTTGTAGCCAACGTATAGCAAATTTTTTTCATGGAGGGTGAGATTTTGACAAGCATTGTGTTCTGCCAAAATATTGCAGTGTTAAAAAGTCAGATTGGTATTTATAAAGATGAAGATGATGTTCGAGAGGGCTGAACTATGAGTCATCCACATTATGGAATGGCATGCATGAAATTCTGAAATGTACCATCCGTGAGAAGAAGTGATCTGTGTACAGTTTATTGCGAAAAGTGGGTTGGAAACAATTGAATAGAATGCTAAATAGTCTCTACTAATGCGGAGATTGAATCTATATCCTCATGAAATATTAATGTGAATAATAACACATTGATTGATAAATAAATTATCATCGTTTATACTTGTTTTATTGCAAAGCATTAAATGCCATTGCGCATCGAAAATGAATGTATATAAATATATACATAAGCAAATAGAAACGTCAAATCTTAAATATGTTTAAAAATTGATTTAAGACGAAAATAATTCACAATAGCATTAACGAAGAATATTTGTAACATTTCGTTTGTTGTGTTTTGTCTAGGATATGCTGGTTGACGAGATCATTTCGACCAACTTGCATAATATCTCGCTGTGGCCTCTCATGAGTTTGAAAAAAAAGATGACATGATCGGTCGGTGGTTGAAGGTTCAGAAAGAAAAAAACAAGAGAAAGAACAGTATGATTTGCTGTATATCTTAATTTATTTAAATATATTGGTCAACAAAATATTAATTACTACATGATTATGTAATGCATACGCTGCTATCGGTCGCATAGTTTAAATCAGATATCAAAATAAGCAGGTCGTATAAAATTAGCAAAAATGCATAAAATCATTCATTTTAATGAGTTCGATTGATAAAGGTTGATAGGACTTAAATAAAAAATAGCATGAGTTCAAAAATGGATATGTAAGAGATTTTGGTCGTTTGGGAGAGAGGCGGGGCATCATTTCCTGTATATAAATAAGCAAGATAAATGAGGGTGAAGATAATGGCATCCAATTAGTTAGTATGAGATGAGAAAACCAGATAAGGATAGGTATTTAATAGTAAGCATTACTTCCATGGAACACGAGTAATAGAATTTTCAGTTCGGATTGTGGAGCGATTATAACTCGTAGAAGAACTAGACATCCCGACACTAACTCTGGTCATAGAAGGCCGATTGGACGATTTAACTGATTTTGAAGTAGGGGCTTGACTGTAGCGCCATTGATTCATACTTGAAGTACTCGAAGGAACTAGGAACGTATCTGTACTACCTTCGGCAATATTTTTGTTACGATTAGACGCTATTGCAGAATGCGGTCCGCCTCGTTGGTTCACATTTCCATCTAAAATTAATTACAGTATATAAATTGAAATTTTGGACAATATTATTATGTGCTTACTTTTCGTAGATGATGCTCGAGTAGTTCTATGCTTATCACCACCACCACCCATAAAACTCATCCGACGGCGTTTAGGGCTAACATTGTAACTCTTGACTCCGTTTGGTTTAACAGTTTGAGATCCCAAGGGTGGAAGCATTGGTTTCAAACTTGGCCTTTGAAAACGAGCAGTCGATATTATTTGATTGGCTTTCTTGCTTGGAGATTTACTTCTGCAAAGTAAGCAACACAATTAAATATTATAACCTCGCATATGTAGCTCACATACGTATATCAATGAGCAAGTAATAATGTCACATTACTAACTGGGATTGCCGGCGCTCAAAACTTTTGAGTGTAGCACTTGAAATATTACGTTTAGAAGGGGATATTCCACTACGACGACTCAATACATTCCTTAAAGCTTTAGCCCGAATTTTTTCTCGGTCATTTGCAATAATTGCCATTCTTTCCTTGATGGATATTTTGAAGAAAATGTCATTGAATGAGGAGCACGCACCGGTCAACTATTATAAAACCGAAATGTGAATGAATTTTAAATAATAACAATTTTTTCTTGCATATACAGTATCAAACTTAAGTCTATCTAGCCACGATTTACATAGGTAGGACACCAATTGAATTTACTCAATAATCATTTAATATTTCAAATCGATTTTTGGACTACTGATTGGCAATGCTGCATGCAAAGTTTGAAGTGAATCGAGTCAAAAATGGATAATCTATTGATAAACTTCTCCTCTTGTCAATCAGAAGAAGCGTTAAGTTCGATACTGTATGTATTGCATTTACATAATGTATTATGTAATCCAAACCTGCTGTATTAGACCATGGTGCAAAACTTGGTCTAGCTCCTTAATTTCAATTAGACCTTGATTATTAGGTGGATTCTCTTCGTACAAATTTAGCAGCAATTCTACTGTGTCTCGAATTGTTTGAATGATAATTTGTATCTTCTCGGTTTGCAAAAGTCGTCTGGTGAGATAGCCTTTCACCCCAGCAGTGAGCTTGTCAAACTTTAATTTCATTGCAGGATCATGTGCCTACACAAAACGCAGGAAAAAATATTATAATAGTTTGTGCTGTGCACTTGATAAATTAGATTTATTAGCAATATTATTAACCTGTGGTGGAATTTTCAAGACGACCGAAGACCGATCTAATGGGTCGGGAAATACAAGGCCTTTGAGCAGAGGGGATCGAACATCTCCAGGGTGTTTCAAAAGAGAGGGGTTTATTTTCTGCATTTTGCTTTGGAATTTCGAAAGTCCAACTGCGTTAGACACGTTTCCTCCCCGTGAGCTAATAGTTGGACTTTGTGCAGGGTCATGATGCATCCATCCACCTTCAGATGAAATTACGGTCCGAGACAACATGGAAGATATCTCGATATCTGCAGAACTAACAGGTGCCGAATGAGACTCTTTCATACGCATGTGGCTGTCCACTGAATTTGTAATGTAGTAATTTCGAAGATTTGAAGTGTCCATCAAAATAGAAGAAGAAGGGGTAGAGGGCAATAATTTTATTGTTTGATCCGTTGAAGAAGGCTCTGAATTCAGATTTTGAGGTGGCTTGATTGAAGGAGTGGGAGTGGGTGAAGAAGGAGGAGGAGCAAGTTCCAATAGAATCTTTTGTTTCTCTTTTTCAAAATCTTCGCGAATTTTTTGTGCTTGTTGTTTATAAGCAGCCATTAATTGCTCGAGTTGTTTATGATGTTGAATTTCAATTTGTGAAATAACATCTTCATGGTGGGCTTTCTTATTATTATCTTCAAAATTTGTTGCAGTAGTAGTCTGTTTATTACCATCTGCTTCTACTTCTCCGAGATATCTTTCAAGATGAGCCTTTTTCCCTTTTCCAAGATTTAACTGTTGCAGTTGTGAGACAGCAATCTGGACCTGTGACATCAAAATTTACAATTAGATATGTAACAATTATAACAATAATATTAATCAATATTATTTTTCTAATATAAATTTGAAGTTGCCAATTACTTCAGGGGAATCTGTCCTTGTTTCCAACCTTTCCCATTCTTTATCTCCTTTCATTGGAGTTGATTGTGCTGAGGAGGAAATTACCACGGAACTTGTAGCTGAATTAATCACAGGTAAAGCCTCCATTCCAGACGCTGCTAAAAGGGCTGCACTTGGAGTCAAAAGCGTATAAGACAATTTTCGAACATGTTTCTTAACATCCATTTCTGAGCTGTGGTTCTCTTTGTCACTAGAATCCGATGGGCAGGAAGTTTCATCTTCATCTCTGTGAGACTTTGATGCACTATTTGCAGCGGATTCAGGGATTTCTGTTGTCAGTATAAACTCGAAATCAGGGTCTGTAACCCTCGTTGTTCCACTTTTAATAGGGGTTAGTAGAGTAGGAGAGATGGATGTAAAGGACAACGATTTCCTAGATTTTGAGACTGAGGATCGTCTAATCCCTCGTTTACGTGGAGGAGTCACTGATAGAGCAGCTTGAGCAAAGTTGGTGTTAATGGTGAAGGTGGAACTGACGTTTACCGTTGCATTTGCATCTGCAACAAATTCGACAACAGGAACTGTGCACGGGAGTTCAACGTTAAGTATAGGCGTTGGTGTAAATGTAGGCGTACAAGAGGATATGTATTTTGAGAGACTGGTGCTTGACGTTTGAAACGTGCACGTATTGTCATCCTCGGATGAAATATTCATAGTGGTTTTTACAACAGAAAGATTTTCTTTCTCCTCACTTTCTGCAACAGTAAAATCTCCTTCATCATCGTCCACGTTGTTATCAAAATATCGAGCTGGACGTTTCCTTTTTACGGAAACAAGGCTCGTGGTATCGAGCAGACCTCTTGCAGAAACTGGCTGTTGTTCTAATTTTAATTGATTATTCTGTTGTGCACTGCATTCGTCCTCCTCTTCTTCTAAGTCCTCTACTTCACTTTCAGATTTGGCAGTAGCTTCATCCCCTTGTTGGACGTTATTATTGATGATGAATGTCCCCGTACTAGAACCAACTGAGGCAAAGTTTCCACCTTTATCATTATCATCATCGTCGTCGCTGTCATCACTATCTTGGTCATGGCGCACATCTTGACCAATTTCCTTGGACTTCATTATCATGTATGCGTTTGGAGTAGAAGTCAGATACATTCGATGTGGTAATGGAGTTTCCGTTTTTGTAGTTTGTACACTCATCAATCGTCTCGCAAGTTGCCGAGCTTGTTCCCTTTCAATAGCGAGTTGGCGAAAATAACGCATCTCAGCTCTCTTATTGTCACTCATCTACACAAAAGCAAAATATGCTTCAATTATCCATGTAAATGTGTGGATTAATTATAAAATCTGTACCAATGGAGGCAATATTGAAAGTCCATCAACCTTGATGCATGATACATATGGTTGTTCATGCTCCTGTTGTAATGTGACTGATGCGGAAGTTGTGTCCATCGTAAACTTCCAATTTTCCTCTACAGTAGGCAATTAGTCAATTTGAAATGGTAACGAAATGACTCCTGTTACACGAACGTCGAACAACATTAATTATCTAATAGCATCTTTACCACAACTTTACTTTTAACCATATTGCTTACCTACGTACCAGTACCAACCGTTACAGAAAAAACAATTACTAGACGCGTCCTTTCATTTATTAAGAAATCCGTAAAGAAATGTAGAAATTTGCACTTTCACAAAATTTTGTTATCCAATATTGATATTTCAGTTGCCAACTGACAGCAACGGCTCCGCGCCGGTGGTTCTCGTTAACTCACTCAACGAGTCAACGAGGGGCGAGTCGACGTACAGAAGTTTGGCCTATGAAAAAAATTGTCTCAATTTTCATCTTCCCAATCTAATAGCCAAAATAAAGCTCCTCAGCTATGCATTTTTATTAAAGTTTGTCATTATATTTATACGCATTTTTAAAATTAGAATCGATTTCATTTATCTGATGGAATGCTAAAAGTGATGCAAAGTATATATGTATACAGTGAATGAAAATCCTAGTCCATGTCAATTCAATTTGTGATTAAATTAGGAAGCAAATTTTAAGTAACAACATTTATTACGATAATACAAAAGTTAAGCACAGTAACAATATAATTCCAGCTTTGAATCTTTAATGCATGTAATATGCTCCTTGTTTATTGCACTTATCCTATGCACACTCGGTTGGGCGTTGAAGGTTGAGTTTCCCATAAAATAATCGATTTCGACTTCAAAAGTAAAGTCACCAGGCTTTGTGGTGAAGGCAACAATGAACCTTTTGACCAAATCTTTGGAAAACTTGGTTACTACCGTCCCCGCAGTGATTGCTTTTACTTGCAGTGGTGCACAAGGTGAGTTGATGAGATCCTGGTTCTTACTTTCAAGAGCAGCTAACGCTGCTTTTCTTAAAAGGGGGTCGTCTAACAGAACTTGTTGAGGGAGGTAGCATGCACAAAAATCGTCAGGAATTCCAACATCCGCGCAAGTATTGTCTTCTGGGAGGATTTCGAAAAAATTCTGAAGAGTATGCTTTCGCGGAACTAATTTTCCAGATAAATTTGCATTTATTGAGTCGTGTGGAGGATCGATGGACGAGAACATTTCGAGGATGCGGTTAAGCGTCCAGTACATTGTGAAGGGAGAGGATAATCTCCTGAAATATACAAGAAAATAAATTAGACAAATTCTACAATTACTCAAGTATTACATTTGAGTTAGTATATGTACTTATTTATACCTGGAATTAATTTCTAGTGCGGTTTGCCACTCTGGAAACTCTTCTTTTATCCATGGTGGAAGACGAATCCACATGTTTGGCAGCTTATCTTCGTAATATCCTAAAATGGTTTCGCGAAAGGGACCGTATCTATAATTCAATAAACTTAGTTGCAGCTATTTAAAAATAAATTCTTATTTTTTTAAAAGAAATTTTATTTTTAAACCTATAGCCATGATCCCCCATAAATATTAGTAGTGTATTGTCCAAGTATCCCTTCTCTTGAATTCTTTTGAAAAAATTAGCATACGTAGCGTCAACTAGTTGAATACCGTTCGAGTTCCCGTGAGATCCCTCCGTGCTCCATGAGACGCTGTAGATTGGAGTCTTGTTTCTGTGCCCGATATCAAGTACTGATTCAACGTAGGCGAGAATTACTTCGTCATTTGTTTGCTGTCCAATGCATTTCATAGCCTCGCTCTAATTACATATGGTCGTATAAATTTATTTACCTACAATATGAACCACAATAATTGACATGTACATACAACGTACCCTACCGACATAAAATGGGGGGTATGCATAGTCCTGAGCTGCTAGCATGATGGGTCTGTTATTGAAATCCACAGGCTGTTGTACGAATCCAGTCTTTAGGTAATTGTAAATTGCGAACGTAGGCGCGTCTTCGGAATGCGCAGTGATGTAGTTGGCAGAATCAAACCGTTTGGATATGTAGGGACATTTGTCCTGGGGTGTTAATTTGGAAAAATAGCAAACCTTGATCAAATCGTCCTCGCTGTATCCTGCCGACAATGCAACAAAGTTTGGGAATGTGTTCTCTCCAACTATTGCGACAAAAATGAAAAACTTGTATGAAAGAACGGTTGAGATTTGGCTTGTTTGATTTGTTGTTTGTTTGATTTAAAGTAACCTTTTGTGTATCCCAACATTTCTACAGCTCCAATATTTTCTAAAAACCTTCTGGTTTCAAACATGTTCCTGCGGAAATTCAGTCTCGATGTTGAATCTAATCCAAAAATGAGAACGTTTGGAGGCAGTCTCTCCTGTCCAGCATCTTCAGATTTCCAATGGAGGATTTTCTTTTCCACATTTTGTGATTTTTGAGACCCTTTTACGACGGCACTTGCATGAAACGCACGATACCTTACCGCTACTGGAATAAATTTTATCGAGCCACATTCAACCACGATGAACTCATGGTGCAATTCCGTTTCTTCATTGTTGATGTCGATGCAACTTGAATACCTAAAGAACAATTAATTTAATTGCAGTGTTGCTGAAGAGTACCAAATATGTAACATGCAAATCACACAATACAGTTTTTGAATCACACGTCACTTACTTTATTAAATTGTCTGCATCCTTCAACTCACTTATTGTTCTTGCCTCAATGTTTGACAGCGTAACCCTTTCCACAAATTTGTAACAACAAAATCCTTTGTACAAGCGGTAACCATCTCGTTCTATTTGGCGTCGATTTATCACTAATTTCTGAAAATGAATGGATCCCACGAACCAATTAATCTTTACATCATGTAAAATCGTATGAGACCACATTTCCTTACGTTATTGCGCACAAACGACCAATTATAATGTGTCTCATTGCATTTTTCATCCGGTTGAGCAACTTTTAGGAATGGAAAGACATCCTTATCCCAAACATCAAAGTCTGGAATTTTGCATGCAGGCGTGTCCACAATGCGCTGCAAGTTTTTGAGCCGGTCAACTTGTAGGAAGTCTGCGTACAAACTTTAATTAGAGGACTACTGGATAAAGAGGCGAATTACAGGGATGCGAGTGGCTTTCTTTGAAGCAAATATATACTCAACTTACAATTTCCGGAAGAAGCACGACCTTTAAATGATTTATCCTCACTGGTCTCCCCACTTTTTGAATTATTGACTTGTATTGATTTGTTATTTTGAGCAATTTTGTCACTGGACTTGAATAGGTTCCATTGGTAGTCGTCATTTAGTACAAAAGTCATAAGGCACACGAGGTAAAAACTCACCGCACAAGTGACCACAAGGTAAAAATTCCTTGCCAATGATAACGAAAACCTATTCCTGAGTTTCCCGTAAATTTTCATGGTGTATAATAAATAATGTGTGACTTAACCTCTAATCTAAGGGCGGCTATATGGATTTATATAAATTATTATTTCACATTTCGGTTCAAATTGTTGAGGTCAGGACAATGCTACCTACTAAATCAGTTGTAGTTTTAGTTTGAGTGAGAGGAATAAGGAACACTTTATTTTGCAACTGACGATGGAAATGTCAAAGTCAGCATCAGCGAATGTATTATATTATTCGAGTCGTGATGAAATCACCTTCGACTTCTACTCAACTCGCATTACTATCTCCATCTTCACTAATCGAGTTCCCGAGAATTTCGCCTATTCCTGACGTATGCATAAATACATTTTGAATGTTACCAATCAATAATGTTTATCCAATTAAATACAACCACAAAGAGAGAGTAAATTATTGTGTCCACTGCACTGCCCTGCTTTTTCTAGCAAGTTGCTGTTAGAAATAAATACTTCCATGGTGCAGTCCTAGCTTAATGCACATTGGAAAATCTCTGCGCGGTGTGGACAAAGGAAAAGGGCGATGACGAGTCCTTCGTTCGCCCATTCCTGTGCCAAAAAATTCTAGTTCCATATCCATTGGCTGTAACAACTAGGGTATTTCATCTTTTAGCCTCATGGACAGTGTTACAGGGTCATCTTAGGTCAAAATAATGTTGATTTCTGAAATACCCGCCATAAATAAAGTCTAAAACTGTCAAATACAAAATTGAGACAATTTGATCTTTGCTCTCATTTAACGGTCACAGGATCATAGTAGATCAAAATGACCTATCCAAACCTTGAAAATTACTGTCAATTAGACATCCCACATGAGTTGTTTATTGGTAAAAGTCTCATGTCCTTTGCCCTGGCGCCCTGACCTTTTGACCTAGAGGGTCACCCAACTAATTTACCTCAGTTCTGACCCCTTGGTATCATTTCAAAAAAGACAACTTAAAAAAGTCAATTCCTTCGAAAGTTGGCATGATATGATGGACGGACGGACAGAGCCGATGCATAAAATGGCTTCACTCCTAGCGAGACCAAACATAATAAAATCTTTCAGTATAATATAAATACTTATCATGAAGTGATTCAAGATAAAATTGACTGGTCCATCTTGACCATGGTTGGCTTGCAAAAGAGTGAAACTCGCCTTGAAATGAAAATAAATATTTATGGGCGGATGAAGTATCATGTTCCCGAATGCATACTAACCCATACCCCTATTCATGATTTAATTTTATGCATTATTCTTGCTAACCATTCAACCAGTCGAGGGTGTAAATATGTAAAATAAAAATCATAATACTTTCTGGAAGTTTTAACATTGATTTAATCTGATCTGACCCACAGCTGTATATCTACTTAAGTATTTATTCATACTCACAAAAATAGTGCCAGTAAAAGAATATGTGTAGATCCTTAGCTTTGTAAGTTTGTACATACATAATCATTAATCATCAATGAAAACAAGTGGTACACGCTTCATTTGTCATACTATGGAAGAGTGGACGAACTTTCACGTTCTTATCCTTTCTATGGCATGCTCATGCGTATACTCAAAGAAATCGGTATTATTTAGGTATCAATTAAAATGGCATGATGATACATTATGCAAAGACCTTTTCCCAAATATTTCTGCATACCCGAACTATGCTTAAAATAATTGTGTAAATTAACCGAGCGTAGGCAAAGGCAAACAATGACCTCCGCCGATGCTTCAATTCATCTCTCATGAGCCAAGTAGCCTCGGGAGGTGTTGTCTGTTAATGCGGATTTATAGCACTATATCTAATATATTTTTACGAGGGTTGTATGTACATATTGCAAAAAGTGCAATTTCTCTGTTGTAAATACACACATGCTTAAATAATAATGAGTGTCGTTTATAGATATTAGTAATTTACTTTTATCACTGCGCCAGCACTTTATTTTATGTTTCTCAAAGAGGAAGCAGTTTTATGAGTATTTCAGTTCAATTTCATCTGCAAAATATATCTAGTACATAGAGCTCTTTTCAAACATTGTAAATATAATTCACATTTAACAGTAGTATAATTTAGGTAGTAAAATCTTTGCAGAAACAAAATAGCTCGACCTTTGGATCCGTAACACATTTAACATGTCTCTGGTCTATTTTGCTAGCTCTTTGTACATTTGGCACGCTACTAAATGTATTGTTTTTGACGAAAAAATCAATTTCAGCCTCTAAAAGAAACTCTCCAGGAAAAGTAACAAAGCCAACAATATAGCGAATTATCCCATCCGCGTACATTTTAGCACCAGCCGTTATTTTTCCCACAGTCAGTTTAACACATAATTTTTTACCTTCATCACCTTCAGGGTTGAGATCATGATTAACTTTTTCTACTGCTCTTTCAGCACCTTCCAGCAAATTCGAGTCTGAGAGAGGAAGTGAGACTACGGGATAACAAGCACAATAGCGTTGAGGAACACCCACGTCTGAACATGAATTTGTTTCCGGGACGGATTCAAGGAAATTTTGAACATATTTGCGATCTATGACAGCTCCAGTTTCGAGATCTTTTACAGACTGGGGTGGTAGCACAGAAGGAGAAAATGTTTGGATAATGTGATTCAAAGTCCAGTAGAAGTGGTAGGGGGATGTTAGCCGCCTAATAAATAACGATGCAACATAACACCATCATTAATAAAAAATATAACTATAATGTACACACACATACGTAATCCTTGTAATTAACGAGCTCACCGTGAATTATTTTCCAGACTTTTTTGCCAGTCTGGATATTTTTCTTGAATTCTTGGAGGAAGACGGATCCATAAGTTTGGGAGTTTGTCTTCATAATAACCAATAAGAGTTTCTCTCACAGCTCCAAACCGATATCCATGATCTCCCATGAATAGTAGCACGGTGTTGTTGAGATAACCTTTTTTTATCATTCTAGTGAGGAAATTTGAGTAAGTTTCGTCCACTAGTTGAATCATGTTTAGGTTGTCGTGTGCCAGAGTAGTGCTCCATGAAAAACTGAAAATCGGGGCTTTGTTCTTGTGAGCAAAATCCATACTGGATTCCATGTATGTCGTAATTGCCTCGTCGTTAGTTTGATAACCTACGCAATCAATGTGGTCTCCCTAAATCAAATAATAATAAGTGCACATTGTTGTTTTAAGCTATGCAATCATCATCTTGCATGCATATACAGGTATCTAATTTTGTTATACCCTGATCATATTCAGCGTGTATGGGAGTGAGTAATCAAGGGCACCCAAAAATAATGGACGAGCATAGAAATCCACTGGTTGATTTGCAAATCCAGCTTTGACATAAAACTTTTTGTTAACTTTAAGTTACTTTATGAAAGTAAATCTATATTACCCTTCTTATAGTTGAAAGCCGTGAAGTCGGGCGAGTCTTCGGTTTGAGCAGTCAAATAATTTGCTGCATCCAACTATTTCAAATTGAACAACAATTATATGTAGAATTGTAGACGATGATTTTTTTCGGATTGAATGAAATAAGAAATGAAATATATATACCTGTTTCCAGATTGAGGGACAGTCATCTTGATAATCCATGTAGTCGAGCATGCACACTTTAAATACATCTTCAGCACTATAGCCCAGGAACATGGGGCAGAAATTTGGGAATGTATTTTCGCCAACTTTTGTGTATCCAAACATCTCAACAGCCCCCAAACTTTGAAGCACTTTTTGCGTCTTGAACATATTTCGTCTAAAGTTTATTCTGGACGTGGAGTCAATTCCGACCACAAGGATGCTCGGTGGTAACTCTTCATCCTGCTTGGAAGATTTTCTGTTCTTCCAAAAGTCAACTTTCCCCTGAATTTTTGCCTTGCGAGCATTTCCCTCAGACGTGGCTATCCCATGAAAACCTCGATAGTGCACATTCGTGAATCGACTCCATGAACATTCTACTACGATAAATTCTGAATCAATTCTCGTCCTCTCATCAGTTATTGGAACGCATCTTGAATAACTGAAATGTGATAATAACGATATGCATGAATAAATGAGTTCTTCTTATTGTTAGTCACGACCCGACATCAGAATTTACTTTGGTTTGTAAAGATACTTACGAGATACTATCATCTGCTAGTTTTTTAGCAATAAGATTATCATCACTTTTTCGGGTAATAGTTTTGTAACAACAAAACTCATCGGTAAATACGTGACCGTCAGCTTTCATGGCCTCGGCATTCATAACGAGTACCTACATATGTACAAAATCGAATTTATAATTTATCGATTCCTAATAAAATTGAGAAATGATAGTTCATTATTTGTAGGTGTACTCACATCGGCTTCAATGTAGGACCAGTTATAATTGGTCTTTAAACAGTCTTCTAATGGTTGTGCAGCCTTGATAAATGGGATGATTTCTTCGTCCCATGGATTAAAATCAGTGATTTTGCAATGTGTCGTATTAACAACTAATCCCATATCTTTTAATCTCGCAGCATTAAGAAAATCTGTGGAATATTAAGAATATGGTTAGCATGAAATGCTTATCAAAATTATTCCTAAAATAAAATTGAGTATTCAAGTACTTTCAGTACTCACAATTTTTGTAGCTCTTGGATTCTTGGGGCTTATTCCTATCCCACCTTCCAGAAGAACCTCCCCCCACCCCCGTCGTAACTTGTTGTAGCCATTTCTCCTCGCAGATAAGAAATAGCAGCAGACTTAAAGTTGCAAAAGTTAATAGTAGAAAAAACTTTTGAACACTTTGAACCCTAAAATATGCTCCACAAATGTGTTTCCTGTTTGGAAGATATGACCTTTTCATAGCACCAACTACTTTTCATATGCACCTACGTACATATCCTGTCTCTGTACCTATGTAAATATGATTGATTATCTCATTTCATGTCACAGACTTGATTTTTGTATAATCTCAACTTGGTTTTACAGAGTAAAATTAACTCTTATAATTTAAATAAAAACCATCACCGAGTTTCTATCGATAGTAAACTGGCTGTCTTCTCAGGATCAGTGAATCGCTTATTTTCACGTGCAAGTGCTTACTACAGATTAATAACGCATCGCAAAAGAAGTGATCATTGCTCAATTTGCCACATCATGCTGTGCAAATATTGTACTCAAACATGATTCTCACTTCTGTAGACGCGAAAAACATGGACGGATGCGAGATGATAATATCCTTTTGAATTATTATTAATGTGTTAGTTTGTGAGTCATGGATTGTGACAAGTGCAGCCTGCTATTGGATAAAAGGACATTGCTTGAGTATTAATGCATTAAAAGGTACACGCTGGTTTATCTTATCGCTCCAGCCTCACGGTCTGTTGTAGATATTCGACAAGTATAAAAGTACTTAATCACAGAATGAGTATTTTGTGTGATGAATGTATGTTCGAGTCGAGTCTTGGTTGTGCTTTAACCCTATGAATACACATGCCCAATTATTATGCGACACGATTTGCACGGAAAACAGAACAAAAAAAATATTGGAAGTGGTTGTTAACCACAAATGTCTAATAAATAGAATATTATTAGTGTTAGTGCCAAGTAGAATAAGTGCGGAGATGATGTGCAGCGTTGTTGACGTTGTTGAGTGGACCATATATTCTCTCACGCACTAATCCTAAGTGAAACGTACATAGGTGGGTCGATATATGTATGCCAAAGGTAAAACCCGGGTCCCGGCAATTCCCGATTCGGGTGTTCCGGCTTTCATCATGAACTTTATGATGTGCAATTCAGCTTTGTCACAGTTTCACTAAAAATCTTCTACCTAACTAGTTTATCTTGGGTGAATTGGCGTAATAAGAACACATGCTAAATGATAAATATGCCAGTTATGATTTCTGTGTTTGATGAAAGTATAATAGCTTTAATTTAATGTAATGCTGTAAATAAAATATTAGAGAATGATGTACAATAAGTTGAGATCAGGTCGAGAAAATAAATTATCTTGCTATATAAGTTGCATTATTCATTATTGTATACACAGATTTGTAGTATTACGTAACGGTTGAAATGGTTCGTTGTACTTGTCCTTTACAGAGAGGTCTCACTTCGAGGAGGGTATTATGGTAGGATTGAGCAACCAGGGGATCACAGCCGAGACTTCAGTATAAATCCCTGGGTAGCCAGATACTCCACAAAAAAATCCACTGGATGCCACACCCGCAAAGAATTTGTAGCCAGGATTGCTGCAAATTATCGCACCTCCTGTATCACCCTATAAAAGTAAAATAGCGTGAATTTAATTCAAGTGTTTCAATGTACTTATTATGAAGCACAATTCTTATGAGTTTAAGTACCAAGCACATGTCAATTCCTCCTTCCGGTCTCCCAGCACAAATTTGGGACTCTCCGTCAAACACGTCATAAATTCGAGAACAATCGTCCTTTGGAACAATGGGAAGCGTCGCCTTTCGCAGGACATCGGACATACGTGTGGTGTGTTCGGTCGCACCCCATCCTGCGATTTCGCAAGTTCCTGAAGCGTTAGAATGGGCCAACGACGCCCAAGAAACATAGTCTGTTTCTACAAATTGACTTGTAAATTCGATCACCGCAACGTCGTAGCTAGATGCTTCCCTGAATAATTAGATGAGTTTAGATGAGATTGGCTCAAACTCTTGGGGAATTTGAGATTTATAAATAAAATTGTTAATTAATTACTTGCTGTAAAGATAGTGCACGTAAATCTTCGAGGGTTGAATTACTCGAATTTGTTTCCAATTCTCACTGGCGGAAAGGTTGTGAGCACCCGCAACCACTTGAGTGCTTCCCAGAGGATAGTTTCGTAATTCTTCAACGCAATCTAATGAATGTTCCAGTAAAATAAAATGTGTGAGATGTCATGTATAAACTATTTGTCATTCGTACAAATCTACTCACGAGCGGCAGTGACGACTTTATTTGGCGAAACTAACGTTCCTCCACAAGCATGATCGTGTCCACTCGAATCTCCCTGTAGAATTTGTACCAGATCATGATAAATGAAAATATTTACTATAGTGCAATACTACAAGTACAATGTTAGAGTAGGTACCCGAGGAATTTGAAGGGAAACCATCCATGGAAAGTCGCCTAATCAGTTAGATAGAATATTATGTAGAGTTTTTTTTAAGTTCAATCGTCCTTCGAAGGTTTTCCTTATCTATGTGTTACCTGGGGTAGCTTCTACCCCTCCGTAAATCAAAGTTTCCATTGGCATTCCATACCCAGTTTGGATCAAAAATGCAATGAGGAATATCAATGCAATCGAGGAAACTTCTTTTTTTCTAGGTTTTCCCATACTTTTATTTCGATTTTGCACTTTGTATAGAGAGGAAGCTTTATTTATTGTTTGTTGCTGATACGTCAAATGGAAATAAAACAGTTGACAAAATCCTACACGATTATATTATTTCAAGAGCTTGAGAATCGTTCACTCTTTGTGTGATACCACTGACGCTGTCACTCAACACTGCGATGATGATAACTGATTGTTCTTGATGATAACTTTATTTGTCCACTAGATTATTCACTTGATTGTTCGCTATATTAATTATTGTCCAATGAGTATGTAAATAGGGTTGCGTGCAAATTTCTGCGCATTTAAAACAACGTTGCACAGGGTTTCAAAATTGGCAAGCATTTTCCATTTTGGTTGCTCCATTCATACACAACATAAGTAGCGACTGCATGTGAAGCTTGTCGTGAAATTCATTGAATTTCTGAACTCACAGTCACCGGTCATGGTCACGTTGTCCCCGAGTGATCAGGGCATACGACACAATGTATCTGTTCAGGTGCAGCTAATACCTTAGATTAGTTCGTTTATGCAACAAAGCAAACACATGCACGGTCCACCATCCATCATTTCTTATTTAGCATTGTGTCAATAACAACTGATTCACTAATTCACAATATCAATCGAATGAAATAAAGCCTGCATGGACTTCAGTCTTGTCTGCATAAGTAATCCAAGTTTTATTTAATCATCCTGCTTACTTTTTAACGTTCAATGACTGGAAAAAATTGCACAGTGAGATCATGCACTTGACACAAAATTCGTACACCTGAAGTAATCTAATCGCTATTTTTAAAACGGAATCCTCAATCCTCAGAACTAATGACAAATGACAAAGGTCACGGCTAAAAATATACCGTTATGATACAAATTGTATCGTACAATGAGAGTGCAGGGCAGAAATAGAAAAGAATCACGCACATTTACATATTTGCTGCTTATTCATGTGCAGAAAGTCCGGTTGTCTCCATAAATGCATGCAGATACTTATTTGTTGGTTTCAAGTGCATGCATATGTAACGGGGTTCGTAATCCAACTGTAGCATTATCTTATTTAATAATAGTGTTATTACAAAACTAGGTAAACCCCAGATAAGTAGATTAGAAAGTGGACAGTCCAAGTCAAGTTCAAACGTATGACTGAAAGTTATCGGATGAAGCGTATTTTTTATTTTTTGTTTCTCGTTTTGTGCTAAATGTATCACTAAACTTGAGCATCACTTACAGAAGCCGATAGCGTCAAAATGATTGTATGGTATGTTGCCCATCTTTAAAACTTTAAATTTTTAGTAGTCGGTAAATTAATTAACAAATTAATAATCTACGGTCAACAGAAGTATCATATGTCGCATAACTTGTTGCAATCATCAAAGTAGAACTTGGTCCATTTTAAGGATGAAGTAAACTGGACTCTTCAATGTGGGCTAATTTTTTGTTCGAACGAGATTTCTTGGAAAAACGAGTACGTCTCAAAAAGTAAGTCTTTCAAGCAAGGGCGTACTTCTTTACTAGTAATTTTGGCTATGGTACTAAATACCTACATATATTCTACCCAAAATATATACTACATATAATTTCTGAGAATTAATGGACTGATTTGATTTTATTTATTGCTGTCTTCTCAACCTGCTGCCTGATTGTAACGATTAATGAGTTTCGATATACCCATTACTCTACTCTTCAATATGTACATACACATATGTATGTACAATGTACATGGATATGCAAAAACAACCAGTTTTTCTTTGTACCAATTTCACCTTTATACTGCCTCTGACGCATCTTCTTCACTGGAAATCGTTGACTACTCCAAATATGATTGTCTTATGCAAATTTCTAGATGTGGCAACAAAAAATTGTTGATTTTGGTCTTTTGGCATGTCATAAATACTTGATCCTGATACCTGACTGAATCTTCTTCACTCATTACGTTTCTCTTAGCCGTTAAGGTTGTCCATATTTTCATTCTCTCGATATCCAAAGTAAAAATGCACTTTAAGTTGTGCCTTCCCTTAGTTGGATTACTTGCCTCTGTGTGTCAAGGCTCTGGTTATTTCCCTTCAATTGGTGGCCCATGGAGTAGATATACGACTACCACCCCACCCCCTGCAGCAGAATCAGGAATTAATCTTCTACCTCCAACCACCGAGGTCCCACCTCCTCCATCCGTCACGTTTGTCCCTCGTCCAAGGCCAATCCAACAGCAGTCAAATAATGGGAACAGGAATAATTTGGACAATTCACAAAATCAAAGTGAAGAAAACAATCGGATAAACCTCCGCAACTTTTTCATTGTAAGTGATCCCATGACTGGAGAACGGTTCTTGGTGTCGAAGCAAAACTTTTGGGACCGGTATAGTGGAAACTACCAGGAAATATCGCAAAATCAATACAACAGGGATTCAGCACAGCAACGCCGAAGTCGTAGATCGATTGAGAGTTCTTCAGAGGAAGAAGCTATGCAAAATGTGCAACATTCTGAATCTTCGGAAGTCGTTGATGGTGATTTAATGCAAGATGACAGTGCTGAAGATAGCCCTGCTATCGGCCTAGTTTTACTGGAAAATTTGGAAGAAAACGACAATTTCGACAAACCAAATATTCTTCGCAATGAAATTATTTCGCAAAATTCCGCCCCAGATGGATCCAACTATAATTACAATTTCAAATCAACGCCAGATATTTTTAAGCTATTCTTTCCGTCTTGGAACAATGACAATAATCAAGTCATTTACAAGTATACTTTATTCCGACATGTTCCAATCATTGATGAAAAAGAAAGCGACTCTAAAGCAACAACTGTTGCATCAACCACCGAAACCACACCCACCAAAGCTGAAACTTCGACAGTGGCAAACCCTGAAATCCCTGAGACCACCGCAACAACTGATGCTGAGGAAATTCCTCAGACAACTGCATTACCAGAAATTGAAAAAGATGACGATGCTAATCCAGATGAGAATGTGACTCCAGTTGCATCAAGATAAATAATTAATATTTAATTACGGTGTAATTTATTGTTCTAATGACTTCTTACTTCTTATTGTAATACAAAATAAAGCACATGCACATGTATCTATTCTTTCAAAAACTTTTTTATTTCACTATAAACTACATATCATAATTAACACTAACACACAAGCAACACTCCATATCCATGTTTTTGCATCTTCATTGTACGAGAAGCTGTTACTAAACTAACTTAATTTCTTTGGGACAAATTTGAGGGCAGCAGAATTAACGCAAAATCGTTCCCTTGTTGGTTCCGGTCCATCTTCGAAAACGTGGCCAAGGTGTGAGTTACACTGAATAGGACATGATCCGGTTAGAATACATTTATACATAGTACATAGTGTCTAAAATTAATAAAATAGAAAGGGAAATAATTTTCACTTGCATTATTGCACAGTATTTCATTCCGAACCATCCCATGGCTAATGTCCTTTCTCCTTATCACATTAGAACTGCTATTCCCAGTGTCTTCGATGGCTGAATGAAATGATGGCCAACCCGATCCTTTAGTAAAAAGAAATAAATGCTACACATGGTTTGAAACAATCTTTTGTAGTACCACCAGAATGAAAGAGGACAATTACCAGAATCATATTTCGCTTTACTAGAAAAAATGTCCGAGCCACAGCAAACACAGGTATAAATCCCCTCTGCTTTGTGATTCAAGTATTGGCCGCTGAAGGGCTGGAAATTTTAACAAAGATAAACATTCAATTTAGAAAATCTTACAATAGATAAGCTATATGAATTTGATGAGTACAAATATGTATTGTGTGTACCGGTTCTGTGCCACCTTCTCTCGTACAAAAATAAGATTCTGGAGTTAATCGCTTGGCCCATTCCTCGTTAGGAATCAGCTTTGGATTGTCTGCCCATTTTGGATCAACTTCCGCATCCGCAACTTTAAAACATGTCCCTAAAATTTGCACATAAATGACCATATTATACAAGAATTGCTGAGACATGAGACTTAAATTTCTGCCAAATTATGTGTACATAATACGTCTGTAAAAGTTCGTTACACAATTCTCTGTGAGCATCCATGTGACTACGAATGAATATGTATCTATATGATGCATATGTATGTATGTATGTATATGAGATGAAACTATACTGTCCCATGGAAATTTTTTGACGGAACCACTAAGGTGGTGGAAATATCTGGATTGATAGAATGAATAAGATTGACCTTTATGAACTGAGGGAGGAAAGCAGTAAATATACGTACTGCATATGAATATATGTATGCAGAAATAACATTAATAAATATGACTAGAAAGGACGATTCTTCATATATACATATATAAGTTATAAGGGAAATACAATATTCTCATTTGGGACATTTTGTTATCTGTCAAACTTCGTATTTAATTAAATCCAGCATTTTAGCAGTATACATACATATATCAATAGCTAGAGGTCCCATACGAAAAGACGGAAATATATAATTTAAGAATGAAATTTTATGAAAGCCGAAAAATACGTACTTTTTAGAAATGTCATACTTACTTGACATATGTAACCCTCGAACAGAGCTCCAACTGGCTGCTGGAGGAAGAAATCCGACTGTACTTTTTGCCAACAATGCCGACGATGACAGACTCCCAGGACTGCTAGTTGCAAGACATTTCACCACCAACGTCGACACAGAGGACAAAACCTTTTGACTAAACATTTTGTAGAATTTTTAAAATTTTCTATGTATAAATTAAGCTAGCACCAGGATGAGAATGAGGTCCACTACGAAGATGACGAGTGGAGTCTGATTTTAATGGAGAGAAACTAGTGACTGCTGACGACGATTTGTTTAATGTAAGGAAATCGTCTTCTTCTATGTGACATGCAGTATGTCTTGTTGGATAATGGTCATAGCTCTCCGAGCATATCCACCTAAGATACGATAGGCAAACACTTTAAGAGGTCTTTAATCAGATTAAATATTCTTGGTAGTTTAACCCATGAAAAGAAATGGGATTTTTGAGTACTCAACTAACTTATTGACTTTTTATATGAAACTCAGGAGCAAAGCTATCGTTCTAAATTATACTAATTTTTGTTTACCAACAAGTCAATAAGTGAGAATATATTTTATTACATAGATAAAATATGAATTTTAAGTGATTTTATACATAGACCACGCAGATTTCAGTATGACTTCACCAAGCAGTTACGCAAAATGAATACTTCTAATCATAATAAATGTGATTTGCTAACTGACTTAGTTGGCAATATACTTATCGTCATTTTTTATGATGATGATAATGATGACCTATCCCTGTCAACTTTGAGACCAGAATTAACCAGTTAAAAACTGGTACGTTTTAGACTAAAATCATTCGTTTGAGGTCATTATTCCATGTTTATGTCCTTCTGGCTAATATTTCGTGTAGCCATTTATTTCTACATATTATATTGACACTATCCCATTTACTGAATGTAAATCTGCATAATGTCAACTAGTGTCAACTAAAACTGGATGAAAGTTCTGTGATTAATGAACGCAATAAATTTTCATTCCAATTTTGCAGCGGAAAAATTATGATGTTCTTATCTTAAATACTAAAAATAAATGCTATTTATAACTTCAAAAAGCTGGTAAAAATGGATACAAATCTCAAATTGAGATTTCCGAAATCTCATGAAAAAAATGCAATCTCAAAGTTTACGTTGACATTGAAGATTGGCAACAAAGTCAGAGATTGGGAAGAACTCGAATTTAAATTTTCTTGCCTGTGTTTTTGTGTTACTTTCTCCGAATTATTTTTAGATAAAAATCTAACTTAAAAAATTGTTAACAGCAGCTGGAAAATCTCCTTTTGGACTGGGAACTTGTCCTAAAAACGACCTTGAAACCTATCAGCGCAGATGAACAGCCGAAAATCATTTGCAATCGCTAGATTTAGTAAATATTCCAACTTTAAGAACAACAGTCTTTTTACTTCGTGTGGTACAATAATCAAATTACAACAAAGAACAATGGCATCTTCATCAACGCCGAAAAATGAATCAAAATCTGCTAAAAATCGTCTTCAGCACGAAAAGGTAGTAAATATAATAATATAATGGCACAACTTTCACTTTACGTTTAAAATTCAATTCTTTGTTCTAAATGACGCAAAAATTTGCAATTTTAGTCGCCTTACCTCCTCCAACATCAGTCCAACCCAGTGAACTGGTAAAGCCAAAACTAAAGTAAATTTTTTATGTTGTAATCAATTCATTAAATATGCTCTGGGTTAATGTTAATTTCACAGGTATCCCTGGTCGAATGAGGCTTTCGAGTTGGCAAAATCATCCAACAAACCTATTTTCCTCAGTGTTGGCTACTCGACGTGTCACTGGTATTTTCACTGATATCTTGAAGGTAGCAATACTTAATTAAAAATTTGCAGGTGTCACGTCATGGAAAGAGAGTCATTTCAAGACAATCTCATCGCCAAAGTCATGAACGAGAAGTTTATCAACATTAAAATGGACAGAGAAGAAAGGCCAGACGTTGATAAGATATACGTAAGTATACCTTTCACATTACAATTAATTTTTAGTTAGTACAGTAGGATTGTGTCTATTTAGATGACCTTTGTCCAAGCAATTAGTGGGTCTGGAGGTTGGCCAATGAGTGTTTGGATGACTCCTAATTTAAGACCCTTTTACGGGGGGTATGCAAAAAAATCTATTAACTAACTGGCAATAGTAAAAAAACGCCATTACGTTATGGTATTAAATACCTTAATAATACTTGTAGAACCTACTATCCACCCGACGATCGCTACTATGGCCGACCCGGCTTTAGATCAATTTTAGAAACAATTTCAGATCAGTGGGTTGAAGACCAGGAAAAATGTGAAAATTCCGCAACAAAAATATTGGACGTTTTAAACCGAGCAGCTAATTTGCCAACTGGTGAGACGATTACGAATGGCCAACCTGCTGCAAGCAGATGCCTCCAACAGCTAACACGTTCATACGAACCAAGTAATTAATTCATTGTTTTGCCCAAATTCCCAATATATACATGTGCATAATGTTAATTAACGTTTATTACTTTGCAGGTTTTGGAGGATTTTCTGAACACCCAAAGTTTCCACAGCCGGTTAACCTTCATTTCTTAATGGACTGGGCTATGAAAAACCCAAATGATCCAACTAGGTTTTCCGTTATCAAAATGGTAGAAACTACACTAAAAGAAATGGCCAAGGGTGGAATTCACGATCATATTGGGCAGGTATATTTTGCAACATTTTTAAAAAATCAACAACTTGACTTGTTTTTTGGTTTGTTTAGGGGTTTGCACGATACTCGACTGATAAAAAGTGGTTTGTTCCCCATTTTGAGAAAATGTTGTACGATCAAGCTCAACTAGCTGTGGCTTATTCAAATGCCTACCTTTTAACAAAAGATGAGTTTTATACAACGATCGTTCGTGATATTCTTAGTTATGTTGGTAGGGATTTAACCCACCCAGAAGAAAATGGAATATATTCGGCTGAAGATGCGGATTCAAAGTTTTCATTTGATTCAGTAGAAAAGAAAGAAGGTGCGTTCTACGTATTCACAGATTCTGAGATCGAAGAGATACTTGGAAAGAATAAACAATTGTCAAACGGAAAGGCACGAGTGGCTGATGTCTTCAGGATTCGTTATGGCATAAAACCAAATGGAAACGTCGATCCCTTAAGTGATCCACATGACGAATTGAAGCAGCAGAATGTTCTCTTCGAAGCAATGACAATTCCAAACATTGCCAAGAAATTTGATGTATCAGAGGCTGAAATTTCCAATGTTCTTGATGAGGCTAAAACAGTCTTATTCAACTACAGAAACATTAATAGACCCCGACCTGGTTTAGACACGAAATTTGTCACGAGTTGGAATGGTACGCATACATAATATGCACAAAATTTCTAGTTCAAATTATTATACTTTTAACTCTAATTCTAATTCAATGTGCTCATAATCCTGTATTTATCTTTGTAGGTTTGATGATAACAGGTTACGCCAAGGCAGGAATGGCACTGCAGTCACAGGAATATATTGATCGAGGCGTCAAAGCCATGGAATTTTTAGTCAAATATGTCTTTACAACTGATAAGAATGGAAAATTTGATCTTCTCCGATCATGCTATCGGGATGAACAAAACCAGGGAGTTTGTAATCTTCAAACACCAATATTTGGATGTGTGGATGACTTTGCCAATCTTGTTGCTGCGTCTATCGATTTATACCATGCTACTTGCGACCTGAAATATTTGAAGCAAGCGATTCAGGTTAGAATTTACTGGATAATGAGAGTATTTTTGGGTGAAACCCTGTACATGATCGCTATGTCCGTCCGTCCGTCTGTCGATCCGATAACTCTTAGCCAAACAACATACAGACTTGACACTTGAAACTAACTTATTTAGGTCAAGGGACAGACATGATTAGAAAATAATAGGAAAATCCTTAGAAAATCATAGGTCATGATTTTCTTAAATTAAAACATTATGTGAGGACTCAAATCGATAGTATCTTCAAATAACTATGGGTCATTTTGATCTGCGGTGACCGTATGGAAGAGGTAAAGGGTCACAAATGTCGAAAACAGACGGTTCAATTTTTTTTAGTAGATTTTCAGCAGGTAAAAATAACATGGTCTTCATTTTGACTTATGTATGTATGGTACATTATTTTCACGGGTTGGTTACATGAGTTGTTTCCGTTTATTGAATGGTATATTTACTATTTTATTGTGCTTAATTACGTATAATAGTATGTTGTTCTCACTCTGATAATTGTCATACTTTAGTTGCAACAACGACAAGACGAGTTATTTTGGGATGATGCAGTAGGAGGATATTTCACAAGTAGAGCCGGTGATGAATCAGTCATTATCAGAATGAAGGATGGTAATAATATTTTAGAAATCTGAGAATCTTCACGGCTATTAAATCGTTCTAAATAACTAGAAATTATGTAATTATTCTTCTTTATTGCAGATGACGATGGTGCAGAACCTTCGTCTAACTCTACATCTGTCATCAATTTAATTCGCCTTAATTCATTTCTTCAAGACGCGTCATACTCGTCAAAGATAGAAAAATTATTCAAACAATTTTCCGATAGAATTTCAAAAGTCCCAATTACCCTTCCCGTAATGACGTCAGCTCTGACAACCAACACCAAAGGGGCACACACTATTGTATACAACGCTGATGACGCCTCAACGAAAGAATCTATTCGGAAACAATTGCTTCCTTTGGGCACAGCGTTAATTGGATTGGAATCTAAAAATCACGAGGAGATATCTCAGCTACTTCCATATGCCAAAATTTCACTAACAAAAGACATCACTGGAAGAAAATTTTGTATTTTCTCAAAAGGACAAGATTCCCCAAATGAGACGATTTCATCCTTGGACGAACTGGATAAACTGTGGGTGTAGTGCAATAATCAGGCATAATATAATGTTCCACAAAGAATTTTACAGCTACACATCTGTTTCTAAACCCTATTGTTTTAAATAAAATGTACGTAACATAATATTTGACTTAAATAGTGGAATGTGTATATCTGCATACATCATCAAATCATATGCATTTACTTCAAGCTCAAAACGTTTGCCAAGTGCAGGAAATTGCAATGCTTCCAGATAAACTGGTTATACATCATGATAATTGGTAGGGCTCGGTAAAAATGAAAATTACCAAAAGTACGTGTGTTGACGCTCGATCGACACCATTAATAAAAACTTCAATCAATCAATCAATCAATCAGTATGAATTTCATACTATGAAAGCAAACTATAGTTGTAGCTGAAAACTTTATTTGGCTTCTGGTGCCGAACTGCCCCAGCTGCGTTTGCGGCAGTTGGTGGTTTGGTGCTCTACGAAAGGTGTTCATCTTTTTGCGTCGATAAATTGTAAACAATTTGATTAATCCACTCCTAAAAATCATCTGATTGAAATGACGTGTGCTAATTGTAGCACTGCATTTGGGGACGAGATCCTTATCTCGCGTGCAATTCTGTCCACATGGAACAGTGGATATGGAGACGATTTGACGTGAGAGAAATTTTTGCTTGTTACATAATTAATGACGTATATATATTTTGCAAATTGTTTTGCTAACTATTCTGAATTTAGCTCTACACCTTTGGTTAGGTCGGAGTACACCAGTGATATGGAAATCACACAGTCCCAGGAGGAGGATCAAGATGACACTTCTTGTAAAAAACACAAGGAAACTCCTGGATCAATACCTTCCATTAAACCAGCATCTACATCTCATCATAATGATCGAATACCAATCTTGGAAGCGCTCTCTATAATTTTCGAAATTTCACCCCTGCGTTTGAAGAAATCATTACACTTTGATGCTAAAGAGTTCAATGATGTAGTCCAAGTATTCAAACCCTGTTGGAATAGTACGGAACAAGCTGTGGCAAATGAATCTACTTACAATGCACCAGATTTTGCGTTATGCTCAGATTGTGGAAGATCACTAACTGTGCTTTTTACAGCATTTCGAGATTTTGTCCACATGCTCAAGGAAGATGGTGAATTGGGGAAAAAGTTGCAAAATTTAGAGGTTCGAAGGAAAGAGTTAGCCACACTTATGTCGACTAAAGACGATGGGAACCATGTGACTAGCAAACAGCCTAGAAAAAGAGGACGACCCCCCAAAACCAAAACCAAGATTAACGAGGACAACGACCAGCCAGTGAAAAATGTCGCTAATGCAAAGAAACGGAAACGACCAAACCGAGCTTCGATTAGCCCATCTCGTTCAGCATCTGATAGTGAGTCCGAGATGAAAAATATTATAGTCATAAAACCCGAGCCAGGAAATGCAATGGAGATGGAGTTATCTGATTATGTTGATGAAGATGAAGAGTTGTTACACTATAGTTTTCGGGGTGGACGAAGCAGCAGTGAAGATGATTCACCCCCAGATTCACCAATAAATATGGGTATAGTGATTTTCAATTTTGATTATTCCGAGTTATTATTTTACAAATGTAATGATGTGAAACTATATATAGATCTAGAAATACGTCCACGAAGCCCCCGCCCAGTTCGCAAGACGTCGGCAAGGAACACAGACTGGGCCAGACTCTATAAATCTGAAGAAGAGGAAGACGAAGATGACATACTTCCACCAAGAGATGATCAACATGGCGATATTGGAGCTGGCAATGAAACCGAAATAACTGCAACAGAAGCTGAAGGTGAAGACGGTGACGAGGAAGAAGAACAAGAAGAGGTACGTCATCCAGATGATGTGGAGGCTATCCTAAGCAAAGTACAAGTCGCGTGGAAAGAGGAGCCACAAGACTTGGAATTTGATGATGACAGTGATGAAGATTATCGTCCTGATTCAGATCTAGAAAATTTGATTGTTCCAGGTAATAACTTTACTATAACAATGTTAAGTAGTGGTAGTTATGTATAAAAACGCAATTCACATGTCAGTAAACTTTGATTATGTAGATACCCGATCCACAAAAAGAAAACGAGTTCGCAAAAAGCTGGCAAAACCGGAAGTCTACTCTATGGACATTTTCGAGTGCAAAGAGTGTGGACAAGTATTCGCCCATCGAAAGAGTTTACAAATCCACTGTAGGACTCATTTTAATGACGGATTATATTCATGTCCGACTTGTCTCCAAGATTTCCCTTCAAATGAGCTCCTGAAACGACATCGTAGGCAATTTCATGGGGAATATATTCCATATCAAATGAAAGGCAGCAACATTGACTTTGATTCTCTGATTGAGAACGCAAAGAAGTATGAATGTCCCGTTTGCCATGAGCTTTTACATCGATTTGACCTTCATACCCATGTTAGTGAGCATAATGTTGAAAATCCTTGGAAATGTCCTTCCTGCCCACAAGAGTTCTCAACTTTAGCCGATTATACTCGTCACAAAATTTTACTGCATACGCAACGATTAAAGCATCCTTGTTCCGTGTGCAATAAAGAATTTAGAAGTAGTTATCATGTACGACGACATCAAGTTGTCATACATAGCGTTAGATCTGATAAACTCATTATTACGGATGACTCCTCGTCAGAGGCCGAAAATCAGGATACAGACGACAACGACGATAATTGCGTAACCAAAACAGACAAAACCTTGAAGAAAGACACTCCCCCAAAACGTCGAAGACACAAGTGCACCGAGTGTGAGAAGAAATATTTCAGATTAGACCAATTAGTCGAACATCTCATTACACATGGCATTGGCGAAAAATTCCAATGCGAAATATGTGGTCGCGATTTCACCCACAATAGTAGCAGGAAACGCCATATGCTGCTTCATGCTGACATCAACCAACACCGATGTAGAGAAGATGACTGCGAAAAGGCGTTTTCAAGGAAAGATCATTTAGTCCGACATATGGATACTATTCATGGAATAAAATTGACCTGGAATGAAATTGACTCGGTTTATGATGTACCAATAAGAACCCCCAAAGCTAAAGAAATCCCTTGCCCATATTGTCAGAAGATGGTGAAGCGTGAAAGGATGAAGCTACATTTGGTCACACACACTGGAGAGGTGCGTACAAAGGAAATAGCTGCAACACAATCTTATTACTATTGATTCGTTACATTTAACTAGCTAATCACTTACTCATTTATATTCACAGAGGCGACATGTTTGTAAGCAATGCGGCCTGAAGTTCGGTTTACGGTAAGTTTGCGAAACAACACAACAATAAACAAAAGTTTATTATTATTAATGATCATGAATGGTATTGAATTATTTTTGTTGAAGATTTCCAATAATAGCAATATGTTTCCTCCTTAGAACAACACTCAGGACTCACATTCAATGTGTTCATCAAGATCTTCGTCGCTATGCATGCAATTTCTGCGATAAAGCCTTCAAACGTTCTAACCATTTAAAAGATCACTTGAAAATTCACACGGAAGCTGAAAACAAACCTTTTCAATGTAAACAGTGCTCAAGATCATTCAGGAGAGAAAAAAATTTGAAATCTCACATGGTCATTCATTTTGGTGGAAAGGACTTTGTGTGTGAATTATGCGGCAAATCATTCAACAGGTAACTAAATACTTTTTATATTAATTATATTAATAATATTATAATTATAATTACAGATTGGATAACATGAGGGCTCATGTAAGATCTGTCCATGAAGGTATTCAAATTAGAAAGAAGAGAGCCTCTTTGAAACCTCAAGGTTCAAGAACAAAGAATAAGTCCTCACAGGAATCTGCTGAAAAAACACTGGACGATAATAATGATGACGAAGAACACAAATTTTTGCCCTTGGAAAATATAGTTATAGATGAAGTGGATTCAACCACCATTATTACTGCAATGACCCAAGATGGCGAGCATGCTTCCACGTCATCCCCCTCAATTACAGATTCAAAGATAAAAGCAACACAACAGGGGCCGTCATCATCCAGAGTAATAGCGCCAAGAAAACCATATCCAGGTCGAAAGCGTGGAAATAAAAATAATAAAAATCCTCCTCCACCAAGTGAAACAGTTGCTTTATCCACAATCTTAAACTTGGAAGTTGAACCTGGAACGATTCAAGTTCCTCCACCAGGAACCATTGTGACCCTTGCAACAACAATGGGTAACGTCATCTCGGCTGAAGGTTTGGGGCTTGAAACCGTGCAAATAGAAGAGATTCATGCGGCTGTTGAGGGGGATGATAATACTGACGCATTTGATGGAGGACAAGAAGGACAAAGAACGACCATTCTGCAATTAGCACCGGGACAAGTTTTTCCTGCTTCTTCTGGCCAGTACCAAACGACCTATTATCAGTACACGTATTATCAGCAAGAATAAATAAAGCGGGTGAGGACAGACAGACTTTTGCGACGTAATCCGTCATAGTATGTATCATAACAATAATTCCATGACTCGAGACACATGCCATTAGGTTGTCTCATGTTGTAAAAAGTTTTATTTTTTAGTTAATATGACTTTTGTTTTACAACTTAATTATTTTATATATGACATAAAATGTATGCACAGACGTCATGCATGATTACAACACGGATTTTGAAAATCAATTTACGTGTCATGTTATGTCAGTCAATTAAATAAAACTATTTAATTTTGCATTCAACCAAATTCTTGTCGTCATTTTCACATTGCACACGCATTATTCATTGTGTGAATTATTTTCATTGAACGGAATTAGTTGACGGTGTAGCTTAGTTAGAAAAATACAATTATCACATCAAGTTCGCCGAATTACTTTTAGTTGCAACATCCAATTTATGCATTACTGCCCTATGGGTAATTCCAAGCAGCAATAAGTAGTTACAAATACAGATAAGCGAAAACAAAAGGCCACTTTATCGCTTACAAGTATATTATCGTTATTGAATATCCTGATTAATCAACCAGTTGAGGTTGGAGTTTGGAATGATGACTTCAACTCAAAGTTCAACTTGGGAAGTTCACGCAGTTTAGGTGAAAATGTATGTATGTATGTATACTATAATGGATAGCGCATACATACGAATATACGTAAATATTTAGCTAGGATATCCAAGAAATGGAAACTTACTGGACATCCAATCTGTTTACTGATTCGGATACAATGTCGATTAATAGTAGGAATATAAAGATTAGCGATAAAGCATAAATCTGTTATCGGACATATGAAATTCCATCTCTACGTACAATTTACCAAACTTAATTTGAGGCATCATTGCATCAGACGCATTTTTCATCCAATAAAATTTGAAATGACTTATTTTCAGACACAGACACCATTAATTGTCATGTTCAACATGCATGTACACATAAGTATGCATGCACATACATATTTGCATATGCGGAAAAGAGATTCTAGCAAATGGCGTCTGCATTTATTCATTAAATTCGACACACTATGCTCTAGTTGCGCATACATATACATAAATCACAAAGCATACATACATATGTACTAATTTCATGAATGACAAGCTCCACACATCCTGGTCGTGTCAAGTCTAAATTGAGAGTGATCTGGATTTTGAGATTTACGGCATATTTATAGCCTATTCACTGCGTCATCTTCTCGGCCCATCCGCCATACTCATCATCATCCTATAGGTTATCAGCAATTATATTTTGTAGTCGTTATTCATTCCAGCCACAGCCTCAGATCAGAGAGCTGGACATGCAGGGTCGTCGTCGATGTCGTTCCTCCTTGTTGTGCTGGACTCGCTGGACCAGTAATGTCGTCCGTGATGATCAGAAGCTCCATCCTAATTTCCCGTCGTTTTGGTCATGGTGTTCAAACTCGATTTTTATCACTCATCACTCGATTGAGAGAGAACGGGTTCAAGGCTTATTATTTTACCACCAATAATGCAGCAGCAGAGCTAAATACTTAATAAACAGTATGCACCACTATACAAGCAAGCAAGTTCTATCCAGCAATTTAAACATTGATGTTAATTGCAACAGTCAAATTCCTCCTCCAGTTACTTTCCACCGCACTGACAATAATTCTTCCATTCTATGTATAAAAATACATCCAAATGCACAGAACAGCAACCGCATAAAAAAGCCAACACACACAACACTCCAAAGTACAAATTAAATATTTCAACTCGCTAACTTTGTTCAATTGCCTTCCTGACGCGATGTATAAATATTTAGCGTCATCACTCCAGCAAAATAAATCATTCATATCCGTCCCATATCCGCGTATAGCACAAATAAGGGTATTAAAAAGCTGTAATTGCTCATACATAATTATTCCACATTAGTTTGACACCAGGCAATGCACACTTTTCTTTCTACCACTCCTCCATCATCCACATTACAAATGCAAATACATTTTAATATCACTTCAAACTTGGTGTTATTAACAAGTGGAACGAAGTGAAGCGTAGTTATTGCGATCGATTTGTCCGTCCGTCCGTCAGCACGATCAGTTTCGAACAAATTAATTTTTTTAGTTCTGTTTTCGGATATCATCGACATTTAGTTTTAAAAGTAGGAGCGAGTTCGTTAAATGACGTTTTAGGTCAAGAGCCAAAAATGGCGAATTTTTAATCTTGACCGTTTTAGACGTAGTTTGGGGCGGAGACTTCAGAAATCACCATCATTTCGATGTACATCGACCTGGTGAACACGCCAAAGAGGTCAAATCACCAAATGTCATAAAATGTCGAAACGTAAAAAATGCCAAGTTTTTTTTGCACATGATGCATCTCGAGCACGCATATCATTGCACTCTGTTTCCGTGCGTTTGTTATATCTGTTGCTGGAGTTTACTTACAAATATTTGTGTTGCACAAACGAAACGAATCCAAAACACGTATTATTACCTGCGCTCTCTGGAAATATTCATGCAATAAATTCCTCTTAAGCTCATCATCAAATCTGCTGTTTAATATTGACAGCCGACAGATACGCATAAATAAATTTTACAAAAATTACTCACATCCAATAATAATAATCCACATCTATCAAAAATACTTGCAATGAATGACTGCGCATATTATTGCCCGTCTTGTTTTACGTTTACAAATCATAACCAATCAGTACATGCATGCATCAAAAATAAATAACTCAACATCCGTCTACCTTTTTTCAAAATTGAATTACTATTGTAGGGAAAACTTAGGACACGTTTTATGATGATTTATATAATGCACATCATAATTTAGATAGTACATTTGCTCGTATCATATATACAATTCTTACTTGGTATTCGTAATGGTTAGCCGATTACGGAATAATAATTAATGACATTTTGAATAGGCTATACAAGTTGACGACGACAAGAAACAATATCCAGTCGGGTCTGGTTTTATAACAACATTATCGCATCAAATTTGCGTGTTATTATACACATGAGAAATCTTTGTAATTTTTTGCGTCTCAACAATTACAACAAATTACCAGCCAGTAAAATTGTCCGCCCAACATTATTATAAATATTTTCCATCCCATGCTTTTGCCTGGTTAGATATATATATTTTTTTAATTTACACGTGTAAATAGGCAAGTACAAGTTGCGGAACAATTCAATGTCAAATAATGTCCTCCAATTCGCACCTTTCAGTAGTTGATGCATGCATGTGGGTACTATACTGTTAAACCATTTCGTCTTTATGGTGCTAGATTTCCTCTAGAATTTTTCTCATGAAATCAAAAAGGTGACTGTAATCCAAGCAGCTCGGGAAACGCAAAATCGCCTAATGCAATACCACTACTATCTAAATACATAAATAGCTTGCAATTCATGCCGGAATAAGTACAGAATATAGCAGTCTGCGCATGTACATCTATATGCATACGAGTTTATAATTTAATGACGGCATAAAGTTAATAATGATTCAACTCCACTTGAATTGCTCTTGACTCAATAAAGTTGTGTGACTTATATCATCGCATCGTCGTTTTTCATCGTTCATATAATTAATACATACATACATATTATCGCATCGTAAAAACACACTTCAACTTTGCTTTATATATTGCAACGCAACCTCGCAATTTGCTGCACTTTAACCACCGCTCTGACAATTCCTCCAGTCCCATCATCATCCATGCGATGCGACTCTCTCGCCAATTAGTACAGCAAGTCAATCGTGACGGACAAAAGTAAAAGTGTCGCTCGAGAATTGTGAATTGTGAAAATTTTTCATGGAAATCTTAACGAGCGCTAAACCCTGCGAAAGTGGCCGTGTATTAATTTTACATTTTTTCCAAAACTCCCCGAAACACATCTGAGTTCTTCTGGCTCAAGCTCAATTCTTCCTCTCGAAGAATGAGGACTTTGCGTTTATATTTAATTCCAATTATTTTATTTTAATATTTAATAATTAAGTGTAAAAGTAAATTATTTATTTAACCAGTCATTATTATTACTAAAGTTGAGTTGGAGTGAGTGAAGGAGAAAATTAATAATCAAATAATGAAATGGGAATAATTTAATTAAAATATTTATGCAACACATACATAACATAATATGTAATATAACCTTGACTGGATTTACTTTACATAACAACACCCTCACGAGTGTGTGGAGTGAGTCAGACAATACTAAATTTGAAATATGAAAAACTCTAAAGTTACTTATTACTTGACCATGCACAATAATACTGAATTTAAAAGCAATATAAAGTAATAATTAGTAATCGGTGAACTAAAGACTAAAACAGACAACGCCACCGCCGGAAGTGTGACCTCGGGCGGGGATTGGTTATTTGATGCTGCTACCGTCGGGACCAAGCAGAAGAGGAATATCAAGAACCAGTTACGACGATGGAGGTTGGAACGTTGGAGGAGACGCCGAGTTGGTTGTCAATTAGGACGAAAGCAAAGAGATTCACGGCTGCCGTTAGTCTTCAAGTGAATAATAATGAATCGTCGACTGATGATATGTCCCCATCGCGAGAGGAGGAGGACGATGATGATGATGAAGTAGTCGAAGTTGTTGACGGGTCTTTGTCAGCTCAACCAAAGAAGATGAACCGTAAATATCGTCAACAAATGCCAAATTCCAATGTGTCACATGAAGAAGGGGAAGAAGATGATCATCATCATTCTCCAAAAAAGGTTCGCGTAGCCGTTATCGACGGCTCGTCCAGATGCACCAGTACAAGCAGTAGCCCAAGTCCTGGCCTGCTTAGTTGTGGGTCCTCTGCAGAGGATGATGCATCGTCATCAGTGTCAACGTCAACGTTGTCTGCCTTTTCGTCATCTTCTCCATCGCCTAAGCAATTTGCCGTCGGAGGAATGGAAATAATGGCATTATCTGGACTACCACCAAGAAGTTACCAGGATTTGGTATTTGAAGATAATAGGAGATTATTATCCAACAATCCCGGTGGCGAGAGGATGAGCAATACCAGTCACACAACTACAGCATTAGGCTTTCGCCCTCACAGTCTCAATGGCAATAATTTTCAAGACTTTCGGGATAGACTGCCTGAGATTTCTATATCTCCGTTGCCATTGTCCAATCAAATTTCTGTCATCAAGTCCACTCGTAGCTTCCTTCGTGGTGGTCACAATTTGGAGGATGAGAGCGAAGAACCACAAGACTTATCCATTAATAAACCAAAGAGATTTGCAACAACTTCTTCAATTAGCTGTAACAGTAATAATAGTAATACAACAAACAGTACCGCACTCAACTTCTCAACGCCAAAGCTAAACATGGACGACGCCAGGGATGAATGTGTTCAAGATTTATCTCTACGTGTTCCCAGTAATTCTTTCAATAATTCAAATTCCGCAATAACAATAACAACATCGACGCCCACCAATAATCGAACGGGACCAATAAGTAATAGGATGATTATTGTCAACTCCTCGACAAAAAATTTCACTCCCATTTGTCGAGACCAGAAACAACAACAAAAACCTCAGAAGAAAGTAGCAGTGAAAGTATCGAGCTTAATTTTTTCTGATTCCAATAATTCACTTTCACCTTCAAAATTAAAATTTGAACAAAGTGAGGATTCCAATACAAGTAGCGTCAGCTCGTCGTTACCTAATAATTCACAGGTTATCAGTAGTAGTTCCAACAACTTGACGAACAACGATGAGGAAGGTGAAATGGTGATTGTTGATGTTTCACCAAGCTTCAAAACTGTCAATAATCCATTAATTGGCATAAGTAGTGTTAGTACAACCACCGATGCCGATTCACACCCAAAAAAATTCATCCAACAACAATACATTGCACCAATACCGGTGGATACAAAACCCCAAATAAATGGAAAAATGCATGACACGAAAAATGAAACTTCAATGATCAAAGAAATAGACACAGAGACTGGGAATGATGTGGAAATTAATAAGAGTCGTAGAGGAAGAAAACGTAAAGATGAGGAAGCAATAGGTAATACATAATGCATACCTGCCAATAATTTACAATGAAAGTAATATGTCTATAATAAAAGATATTTGTCTGTTGGGTTTTACAGGAACCCGATTTGAGTGCTTTCTCTGCAATTTTACTAGTGTAAAGGAAAATGTATTAAAAAACCACATGGTTCGAATGCATACGGTGAAAGGAAATCGTGGAAATGTCAAGTGCACCGTCTGCGGCTACGCGTGCCCAACACTTGAGGAACTTCGATCCCATCAAGAACTTATTCATGGACAAGGTAGCAAAGAGGACGGAGGTTCAGGGGGAGTAAGTGGAAGTGGAAACGCGTCAGTCGAATCCAAAGTTGCTTTCCACGCTTGCCTACATTGTTCGAAGGTAGAGTTCTAGAATTCATTTTTTGACTTGAACAACTCGAATATATAAAAATACTGATGGTTTGTATTGTTCTGTCTGCAGAAATTTAGAAGTACTCGCCAATTGGAAGCACACCTCCGACTTATTAAACAAAAACTCAAGTGGAAAGATCTCAAAACTCGACGTATGATGTCATGAATATTTTTTTGTCGTCTTCATTCATGATATTTTCGTGATCGGTCTAGTAATTAAGTTTAAATACCTTACTATATATACTTTGGAACGAAAACGTGTATAATATTCTCATTTTCAAACAAGCTACTACTCTCCTGAGCATTTTTTTTGACTGACCTTCTCTAATCAACTATGTAATAAGTAGTACCAAGGTCTGACTTTTGATAATTTTTTCTTATCGAATCAACATGTCTACGTTTGCGTACAACATAAAATATTGTTCTTGAAATTATCTTGATGCGATTATATATTAGTCAACAAATATATATACACACACACCAGTTAATTAGAATAATATTTGTCCGTGTTGACTGCAATAATTTTAAAAGTCAGCAACTTTAAATAATTCACAATAAATATACATGTTATATATGTATGTGTATCAAATAGTGGTTAATAATAATGTTAATTTGTATATAATGGTTCCTAATTACTTTAGCTCAACATTTTAAACGGCAGCAAAAACGAACGAATCAAGTTTTTTTTATTGTTTTTATGTTTGACTTTTTGGAATTTTTATTTTATCTACCGCACAAATAGCCAAAAGTTAGTTGTCGATACACAATTACCTCAAGGTGTTCTAATGAATGACTAGATTCGTGTGCGAGTCAGTGGATAAGACTTTTACTCAACTTATGTAACGATGGTTGAGTTTAGGGAAATTGTTGTATTGAAGACCCTCAAGATAAAATCCTTGTAATAATTATGCTTATGCTACTCTTTACATAGGATTATGTAAAAAGTAAAAGTTGTTCGGATTGTTTTTTGAGATTTACATATATTCCACAATTATCTTTCATCATAATAATCCTATACATATTTAAATAATTTCAACAACCTCTAATACCACTCAGGAAGGATAAGCTATACCTAAATATATTGCTGAATGCATTGTTTTGTTAACATCATTGTTGTGTGTCAAGCTGTTTGATAATATTGTAATTATTAATATTTTTACACCCAAGTAATTAGCGTGGAATGTGTAAAAAAGTAATAATGGTGGTTTTAACTAACTGATACCGATTAGACCTCTTGTCATATATAAAGACTTAAATACTACTCATATTTTACTGTCTGTGTTAAAACAAGTTGCCAGTTTTGTTTGGCACGACTTCCTTGTTTTTGTTAAATATTTAGTTTGTTACACTTCGGCTTATATTCTAACTTTCAATTCATTGACGGCTATTATTTTTTCATGAGTTACCATTCGCGAATCTCACTACGTATGTAATGATGACAGTATATGCATATAGATGCATTATTTCAAAAGAAATGCGTTTTATCGGTCCTTGTGATGCACGTGTAAAGGAAAATAGTTTACTACCTACCCCACCACGCATGAATCACATCTCGTATTTCTAATAATTCCTACACCAACATTTCGAAAATTTCTGGATTCAAGTACATTTCCAAAGAGAAAGTTTGCGCTTTAATGTATTTAATTTATCAATTCGGAGTTAATTACTATCATCAATACCAGTTTTAACCAAATTGTGTTACAATTATTGTTATTTTAAAGTCGTTAAATAAATTGGAAGTACAATAAAAATAACGTGTGATGTGATGGACTTGGACTATATCACAATAGTAATGTCGGCATTTATTGTGTATCCAAAAAGGGACAACATTTTATAAATTAAATGTCTAGTTACTAGAAAAAACCTATCATGCTTATTATTATTAGTTAGTCAAATTTTATGATGTACTTGACACCAGTGTATCCTTTCATGGTATTTTCTAACGCGTCCCGATATTTAGCGAATGGAATGAGCTTGTGTTCAGGAGGAATCCATTTTCCCGTAAGGGCCAGATTACTTAAATATTCCAACATTTCTTTTCTGTCTTCATGTGGCTGGGTCCGATTCCATCTTGTCATCCAAAACCCCTTTAGCTTAACATCATTAAAAATTAGGCTGGAAGTTGGAAGTACTACTGGCTGGCGAGACATTCCTCCATATGTGACCATTGTCCGACCGGTATCTGTATGACAAATAAATACGCAAAATATTAAAAATTTGACCTAGTGGTTGACCTATTTGACCATTGTACGCCCTTCATCTGGAACCCGATAACACATTTTAACATAATATCTACATACTTAACACGCAATGACTAACCCTTAAAATAGACCTACCTAAAACTCTCATAATATCAGTAGCACATTTTCCACCCACGCAATTAAGAGCTAGTTGTGCCTTAAAGTCACGCATCATGCCTCGCAGATCGTCATCCGTTATAATGATTGTATCAGAATTTCCAAGTGTCATCAATTTGGCCTTTAGTTGCTTGAAATCTTCTCGTGGTCTAACTAGAGATACACATTTAAGTCCAAACTCTCTACATAATTGGATAACTGCTTGACCAACGGCTGAATTTCCACCGTTTTGAATCACACGGTCCCCCGGTTTCAAGGTTTCAAAATCTTTCAACATTCTGTAATCAAACGGATAACAAAATTTAAGCATATTGAGAGCTAGTTTCGTTCTTCTCTGAACATTTTGTTGATCTATAGTGCTGAAATGCTACATTACGTTAGAATACTATAAACCAACTCAAGGAGAAGACTGCTATAAATTACAATGTACATACAATTATTCAATCAAATATGTACCTGTAAGCTGTGCAGGGATTCACGCTGAGTGTGGCTGCTGTAACCAAGTCCATTTGAGGAATCTGAAATTCAATTATGTTTTTACATTAGTTGGACATCGTATTTATTTACTTTTTAAATTCCAAATGACTTAATTATTACCAATCACACGACACTACACACACCTTGATAAAGTCTTCAGAGCTGCCATGCACGAAGGCTTGCCAGGTGCCAAACGCTGGGGTTCTGGGGATAACCCAGTCCCCTTCATTTATCGGATCCCTACCTGGAATTGCCGCAGTCTTGATAACAACACCCACCCCTTCGTTTCCAGGAACGGCAGGGAGCTTTGCCGGCTTTACAGGATATGTTCCTTGTATGGTGTTTAAATCTGCTGGGTTTACGGGCGATGCCAACATTTTTACGACAATCTAAAACAAGAGCATCCAATTACTTCAAATAATTAATGGACGAATAACTCTCGATATAAGTAATAATAATAATAATAACTACATGATTTTCAGGGACAGCGTCAATTTGAAACCTCTCCCTCCTAATGACTGCGGAAGGGTCACCAAACTCACTGTACGCTAGCTTGTGTCCAGTTACTGGTAACGTTTGTTTAACTGTTTGTGTTGTGGACGTAGTGGAAGAAGCAGCAGCTTCAACGCCGGATGAGGTCGACGCGTAAAATCTGCCCAGCATTCGAAGAATTGGTCGTGTGGCTGATTTAGACATCATCTTTTCGCAGCTGAATAGAGCCAAAATAAACATTAAGTACTAATAGTATTCGTATAGACAAGTTCATGCATAGGATGTTACCGGTATTTTATTTTGGGGAGCACTTAATACATTATTTACCTTCTTCAGTATAAAGTTAGGGCAGAAATATTGCAATGCAAATGTAAATAAAGTTGAAGATTGACCCGTTCCTTGTATATTTAAGTCTCTGTCAAGTAGTGCTTTGTTTTACATGATATACAAATTTTGTAAACTAATTTATGTCGTAAAGTGTTTCAAGTTGCATCATGCAAAACATGCAGCAAAATAGCTGAATAGCTCAAATCACATTTTCACAGATCACATTTGGCAAAAAATCGAGTTGGTTTGCCTCTCAAAGTCTCATCTCACCTACCACACTTTAGAGATTTTGTCAATAATTCTACTTTTTGGGTTGCATTTTTTATTTTTTTGAAATATGTAAAGATGTATGTTTCTGAAATTGATTTATATGTATATCTGAGCCAGAGCCAGATTATTTGACACTCTATAAGGGATACTAGTCCAGCAAATCTTTGTTATCAATCATTTTGTTGAATATGAACAAAGGAAACGATAAATAGACAATGCAGCGTATCAATATTATTTGACACTTTATCATTCTATACATGTTGCGACAAATGAATTGTTTCCAACACAAATTTTCATTTTTGAAGAAATTAAATTTTAATTATTATGTACTGACAAAATGGTGTGAGTGGACCGTTGCTAAGTTGGAGGATTGAGATGACCCCCTAGGTCAAATCCGGACCAAGTGATCTCACACCCTCCAGTGGGGTGTCAATCGATCGGTCTAGATAATACGATCAGTTTGGTATATTATAAAATTTTGTGAGATAAGAATTGGCTTCGAAATTCCTGAAAAACTTATATTTTGGAGATATTCTTCAAAATAAACATTTTAATTTTCGAAATAGTACACTCGAGATTTTCAGCTTAAAAAATCAAGCTAAAAATTAGGATGATTTCATCCTCAGGAATTAAGTCTCTTTGTCTGCCTATTCAAAAGTTATTCAAGGTTAAAGTCGTTGGGGCAAACCAAAGGACTTTTGCCCCAACGATTTAAAAAATGAAAATTTTCTAAAAAATAATCCATTTGTCGCAACCGTATGGGGCACCACCCCATAGAAACGGTGTCAATTAATCGTGGCAGCGTATATGGCCATATTTTAGCAATATGCATGAAACACGTCAACAAAATTCTTAGTTAGCAGTTTAAATTTAAGTACCCTTGTGACGTCTAAATTTTTAGTAAAGTATCAATCAAAATGTGGGCAGGGAGTCGTAAAACTGGAAACTCAGCCCTAGAAATAGAACTGCGTCAAAAGAGAGCTGGTGCAAACAGGGAGCGTCTCCGGATTTCTAAGGAGTCTCACGTTTTACAAAGACATTGGTCGCAAAATCTGAGGAAACTGAGCTCCCTGCAACGCTCCCTCTACGTCCTCATGGGCCGTGACCCTTACCCCCATTGTTCCAGGGAGGAAGCTCTCTTTGAGGTTAGTTTAGGTTAGGTTAGGTTAGTACTACAAAAGATCTTTGAGTCCAAAAGATTTGTATGGCCAAACATTATACATTTATCATTTCGGATCAATAAATAATTAAACTACCTCATTCCAGTACAATGAACCCGGCTTTTGTTACTCCAGAAATGGACATCCTCGATATTCACGTTCCCTTCAGGTATTACACTGCCCGGGTCTCTATGCAGACATGGGTCCTTAAAAGTTGGTTCCGTTTTTTTCAGGAATCCAAATCACGTCGAATTGTAAACGATCTAGAGGGGAAAGAAGGACTCACTCCCGAACCTGCAATTAATGTGGTTAGCGATAACCCACAAATGTCCGAGGTTTTGTCGAGTCCCGAACTTGTCCAAATTCTTTGCGAAATAAGAAACACGGGAGCAATTATTGCAAACGAGAGCTTATTCTCGCAGTTTGCGGCAGCCCTTGACAATTCCTCATCAAGAAACATGCTCCTCGGATTTGACGGTCCACTCGACTACTTGAAGGAATATAGAAAAAATCTAATCCAAGAGTTCTTCGATACGCTCAAAGTAGAGGCAGAGATGCGGTTTTTCATGGCAAAAGATGACCCGAATCTCTCCTTCCGAGAACAGGATACCAGAAGCTTGCCCAGTGATTTACCACCAGATTTGGGAGAAGGAAGCCAACCCACGAGGCGACAATCTGCTGTTATGGACGTTGGAAATGTTGAGCTATGGAATAAAGCCGTCGCCGAAGGATTATTAAAAGCACAAGAACAGGAGCTCAAACTTCATGACAAAGTCGAAGAGAACGTAGACTCGGCTTGGACTCTGCAACGCTACATGCAAGACTTGGACAATCTTCCTCCACTTTTTAGCGACAAAGCCATCGGACTTCTCACCATAAAATATTTGGAAGAATCTCGAAGAGAAATTATAAAAACTCCGGTTTCAGCTACGACTGAACCTTCAGCCACGCCAAATCCGGAGTACAAAAGAATTCAAGCCCAGAAAAGAAAGGAATTTGACAACTTTGTTCGTCATTTGATTTCTAAAATTGAGATTTTAGACGAGATGGGTCAACACTTACTGGCATTTCAAAGAAAGCGACCCACTAAACATGCATCTCTAATTGATCCACTCGTCAAACTTTTGAAGAAACAAAGTCTGTTCTCCTCCCTCACCGATACTGATTTACAACTACCTGCTGAAGAACTTACGGATGAACATGGTTCCGTTAAGTATTTCAAAGTTCCTCCTACACCCACACGAGAGCATGTCAGCAGAACAACGGTTCCGTCCATGGTATCGATTGCAGTGGATCCTTCTCAGAATGACATTTGTCTACAACAACGACATGTTGGTGGGGTTTCATTTTTAGATGCTTATCACGAAACCAATGGGAATAAAATTTGCAAGGAGGGCTGTGATCTAACCGAAGAAGAGGAAATAATCAGTGCAAAGCACGTACATTTTTTGGAAAATAAAACAATTGATGGTTTTCCTGTGTGTGAAATTGCCAGATGTTTCGAAGGATCGATGCGTCGTGCGGGATGTCGTGCGTGTCGTGAGAAAGTCAAGTTGGCATGCACTCGGATGCAAAAACGGGATGCCCTCTGCTCCAAAACAAAGGATGCGTATTCATGGAAAATTCCAGAAATGTCAAATTGGCCACATGAGTATAAAGACCTTCCTTCAGGGGTTCGTGGACGTGAAAGTGTTCGTAGCTTGAGTGAGATTCGGCGCAAGGAAAAAATGGCGAAATCAGTTTACTTTGTCCCACCCCCAAAATCTATCAAATTTCAAAAAGGTGCCCCTACTCCCCGTTTCCCACGAAGAACAATTCCACCAGACTTATCCGCATTGTCATTTAGGAAGCAGAGTCTGAACCTTAAGGATGGTCAAAATTTAAGTCTTTCAGAAACAGCGACAGCCGGTTCTAGCAGATTATTATTTGGAAAGTCGGAAACGTTAGATACCACAGCGGCCGCTTTACTTTCTCAAACTTCGGTAACTCGATTTCCAGCGAGAAGAAGCTCAAGCAGAATGTCAATTTCTGGGATGAGGATTAAAACCGGAAGTTCCACATCCGGTACTTTGGGTGTTGGAACCAAGTCCTCCACTGTTTCTGATGACGTTAAAAAACACCTTGACTCTTGGTCGCTTCGAGTTTCGAAAATGGATATTATGAGACTTCGTCACGAATTGGAGACTGAAACGGTGAAGGAGAAAATGGCTCAATTTGAAAATAAGTTTTTGAACTGAGCTATGAAAATTTCAAGCACATGAATTTATTCCAAATTCTCAGCTTATGTAATAAAAATTTACATGTAAAATGAACTACAATCCTAAAACACAACGTTTTGTGACGATCAGCAAGCCAACATAAAGTACATAAATACGTATATACTTATGTAGCATCTAGTTCGAATACTTTTCCGGGTATCCACCTTATTCATCTGCTTTCTCAGTCAGTTATACCGTATTTTTATTACCGTGCCTATTTAACCTCGACTTTCACCTACATAGATACATACACGTTACGACACCATCTGAACATGGATCTATAAATGTACATACGCATTAAGAAGATCAAGGTTATTTTTTATGACTCACTTTTGACACACCTACAAAGATTTCTTGTTACCTGAATTTGCACATTTAGTGAAATCTGTAGAAAATTTAAGGATTTGGCACTTACTAAAATGTCATACAAACAGGACAACAATTTGGTTCTGTTGCATATTTTCGATCTACCGGAACTGGTGAGACAATTTGAACTAGTTTTTAGATTTCCGGCATTTATCTAATAATTCAAATAATTCGCTTTCTCCAGGTAATCCTGCAGATATTGGATAATCTACTAAACATTTCTGATCTCAAAACTCTCAGGCTCGTTTCATATGCATCAAAACACTTGGTTGAAACATACATTCCATTCTATACAAAATTCTGGTTAAAAATAACTGATTCCAATTTTACCCAGATAATTGATACTGCATCTATACTGAATTACCGGTTTTGGTCTAATTTGCAGCTAAATTTAAACCCCAATGACTTTGAAACAACTCCTACATTTTATAACTTTGTTCACATTTATGCTAAACATGTGAAAGCCTTACAAGTCGTTAACTATCCCTTTAAAACTTTAAAACTTGAATTCCTCTCACACTTTACTAACTTGAATGCCATATACTTCACCGGAATCTGGGCCATCAACAATTTCATCAATTTTAATCCACCTGAAATCTTAAAAACTTGTCTTATTCATCTACATCTCCAAGTTTCCTCTGACGGATTAAAACCCAATGATTTTAAAAAGTTTGGAGATTTCTTAAATCACTTTATTTCTCTTAAAAGTGTAAGAATAAACTGTAGAGCAAACCAGCAATTACTTTTCCGTCAGGTCGTACTCTTTTATGCAAAGCGACAACAATCCTCTTCATGTATTTGTGACTTGGACTCGAATTTTCTCAGCGACTTTGCAACGTTTCCTAACTCTACAAATTATCCAGAATTGAAAACTTTTTGCGAAATCTGTTATGAAATAAAATTAGATCTCTCACACCTTCCACTATCGACTTTGAACAAACCAGCAAGCTTGACGGACTCATTTTTCTCTAGCATCAAAAGTTTACGAACCATCCTTGTCGGTCACAACGTTACATTTCCACTCTATAAATTGACTAACTTGACTGCAATCACGATCCAGATAAGCAAGTTCAACCACCCAGAATCATTCTGGTATGGGAATAATAGCAAACAATATTTCTCAAGGGTGGAGACATTGCCCAAGTTATCAAATCTCCATCTAACTCTCCATCAAGATTTCCAATTCGTAGAACTCGAGAAATGCAAACAAATTTTTGGATATGATGGAAACCTGGTGAAAGAGCTCGTCCTAGAATTACCACCTCCGGAGAAAGTTACCATCCCAGACAAGGAGGCATTTCTCCTCACCTTCATCTCAAAGTTTAAGCGACTAAAATACTTGAAAATAAATAATAATTGGTCAAAATTTCCAATCCACCTTTTGTCTGTTAGTTTAGATAAAATCGAAATTATTTAAATTTGACAAGCATATATATATACCTTAATTAATTATTCTCATGTGTATCTCTCAATCTCAATTATTTCAACTGTATGTAAATGCTAAATACATGATAAAATATTTGATTAAAATCTAGAAATAAATGACTTTATAAGACATAATGATATTTCGTTAATTTGCCATTGCATTGATAAATTAATTGTACTTATTAATCTGAGGGAGAAGAAAGGAAACGAAGACATTTATTTTCTCTCTTTCCTTTCTCCTAGTTTGATTCATGGGGCTCCAATGCAATAGAGTCGCTCGCAGTCTTCATTCGCTACAGCAGTGAAATGAACAGCAAACAAAACACTGCAATAATTTTTATGCCAAAATTTCTGAAAACTATTCATCCCCACAATCCAATCAATCGAAATAGTGAGTTCTTTCACAGTGCGTGAATACACTTACAATATTGAAATATTTAAGATATTTAATTTGGTTGTGTTTTGTAAAATTAATTAGTTTAATTAAAATGCCTTTATAGTTTTACGACACTGCCGCGTATCAACACGAAATCAACACGATGCCTAAATCACGAATTGGCTTAGACCAGCAGAAATTAAAGAAGGAAGAGAAAATATTGAAGCAAGATGAAAAGAAATTGAAAAGAGGTGAAAAGAAGGTGGCCAAGGAGTTGTCCGATGTAATCAAGAAAGCTCGAAAGGAAGAGCCCGACTCCAAAATTGAATCTCTTATCAAGGCAGCCGAGAGGCTTATGTTAACTCAAGGTCAGGATGGTCAAACAGACGTCGTCTCAGGGCCTTTCAATTTTTCTACCGTCGTTGATACTGCTGCCACTGGATTAGGTGATGACGATGACAACGACAAGGAAGGTTTGGCCCTGGACCTCGTTTCATTCTGTCTCCGAGCCGTTGGAGAGTGGCAGGTACTGGATTCGTTTCAATGTCATCTTCTCAACGTTGAAACGAATGTTCCCATAATGCAACCAGACGGAAATTTGAAACTTGAAATTGAAGTTCCAAGTGGAACCGACAAAATCAAACAACAAGGGTCCACCATTCCCTTGACAGGAATTTCACCAAAGTTTATTGAATCCCTCACTTGCACAAAACTAACGGTTGCCGAAATGTACAAGCATGCTGGGAAAACCGATGCTGAAGAACTGACCTTGGACGTTGTCGAAATACAGAATCTGAACTCATGGTTTGATAGCGTTTATGAAACTCCGCAAACGGTTGAGAACGCTTGGATGGAACCTTATAAGAAGGCGGATGTCTTGAAGGGACTTGACAAATCAGAGATTGAGCAGTTTTACTGGGCTGTAAAATTTCATCATAGGGATACCACCATTGTAGCTGCCATTTTACAGACTGTTGTTCATTTGCGCCAAGTTATGGGATATAAATACTGGATTTTGCCCAATGGGGAGAAGGTAATCACCCAGTTGCATGCTTACAATAATCCCCTTTTATTGTGTATTTATGTAAAATGTATTTTATGGTAATGATAGGTTCCTCTTGATGCCATGAAACTGGGTGTGATTGAAGTGATTCCTCATGAAAAGTATCTTGTTCGGTGCTTGCGGTTCCGTCAAACTCAAGAAGTTTCTGATAACGGGGATTGTTGCAGTCCTGAAGTTGAACCATATCCTGTGGATGCTGATAATACGAAAAACATACCAATTCTTGGAATTGACGCAGAATTTGGTCCTATCTACTCACATTTCATTTTGGAAGTGCCACTCCGAAATGGACAGACCTACATCGTTGACCCAACTTCTATGCAGTTCAACTACCGAGGACCGAAAAAAACTATCATCGTTCATGGAGAGTGGACTGATTATTGTAAACAGTTTCCTGGCTTTATTATCGAGCGATTGACGAAACACGAAGACGCTGCCAAAGACCTTGCGCTACAAAATTATTTCAGGCATCAGGCCATTCTGCTTGGGAATGGAGGTTTGAAGTTGGTTGATCGACTAAAGGGAAATTTGATCAAGTATTTCAGTTACCGCACCTGTAACTACTGTGGCCAAGTTGAAAAATTACACGAGGAGGACGAACAGCAGGAATTCAATTATAAATTCATTAATGTGCAATTAATGTGTTGTGCACAATGCAGGGGTGTTGCATATTGCAATAAGATTTGCCAGAAACTGGACTGGAAAAATCACAAGGCACATTGCAAAAAAAAGTAATTGAACGTTTTAAAACAAAAGAAAGTTGTCCTTTTAATTATTTTGTTACGTAATATGTCATACTTTGTTTATTATTGAACATGATTTTAATATTGTAATAAACAAGTATTATATATATTTAAATAAATAAACACTAGTCTTGTAGATTTTATAAGTTCCTAGTTATTATTTATTTTTTAAGAGTCTAAAAATGTTGAAATAATATTTGCCACCATCTCCGGTTCATTAAGATGTACGTGATGATTTCCTTTCGCGAGGTAAAATTCCACTTTCATATCTTTATTTCTCTTCTTTGCATTTTCCATCGCAGTCTGAAAATTGTGAGAGGCATCCAGTGAAAACGGGTCGTTATCTTGGGCTTTGATAACAAGTAGTGGAGCACTAACATTTTCGCAAAAGATTGACATTTGTTCAGTACTCAACATTGCCATCCCAGGATGCATTCTCAACTTGAGGTCGTGACTAAATCTGTACATGTCGTTAGTTCCAGCAACCTTAACGACACCGCGCCCGAGCAAAGCTTTGCATCCCTCCGCAGTTACCATTCCTTCTCGAACTTTGATTATTCGTGCTTGGAGAGCGTCGTAAGTGGTGGGGTTTGGCAAAGGCGACTTAGCTATGATAGCTTCCACCTCCATGAGCGCATTAACAAAATGGTAGACAGACTGGGCACAATCTTTGAAGTTCGGATTGACCCCATCTAATGTTACAACTTTGTGAATACCGCTGTAAAAACACACAATACAAAAGATATTAAATATTACACAATCAACTGCAAGTGTATGTACACCTCCTTCTTTACAACTATTATACTCACTCTGGAAAGCTGCCAGCATACATGACCGCCGCCTCTGCCCCCATAGAATGACCCAGCAGGGTAATTTTATCCGTTTTCAAGTATTGAACCATCCTATGAATTCCTAGATGGGACTCTACGTGGCTGTTGTAATGACTGGCCTGGATATGAGACGAAAATCCATGGCCTGGCAGGTCAAAGGCGTAAAATGTGCGACCCGGGCGCATCAATTTGGGGAGCAGGGTATCAAATGTGTTGGCGTTGTCTAACCATCCATGTACACAGACTATTGGAGGCTCAGATGATGACGATGTTCCCCCCGTTCCCCTCCAGACTTTGCCTAATAATAATGAAATAATAATAGAATTAGCAAATTTACTTCAATAGTATGGCAATTTTTTTAAAGATTTACACTAACACGCAATTTCGTAACCGTACTGAGGACCATTTGGAATAGTAATTTCTTCAATGGAGTAGGACGACGGATTTTCTTTAGTTTGTGTAGAAAACGACTTGGAATGTTGAGACAAAGGCTTATTATTAGTAATTTTGAGAAATTTCTTGGGATGAAGTAAAAATTTACAATACTGGCGACCAGAGTTTAAAAACATTTTACTTTTTAATGAGTTCATATTCACTAATTGCACATATATTTGTGTGTGTAAACCATGTGTAACTGATGCAAATATATTACACCACATGCACGGCACACATAATTAATTCAAGTCTAAACTGAACTTTGACTAGCGTAAATATGCAGTGCAGAATTGCAAGTGCAAAAAATTCAAGTACATGCAGTCAAACCGGCATGCACCATTCTCTCAATGTCTCAAATCCATCGTCTCAAATTAGGATTCCTAAGGATTAGGAACTATTAATAACTACCAATTAATTAGGACTCTTAATTAGACTACAATTCCTTCAAGTATAAATTAGTAATTGTAATTCGGTTTTGTATTCAACCGATAATACATAATATGCCTACCCAGCTCGTTGCATGTACTGCACCAACGGCTCAACCAATATTTTCCGGTCAGCAATCTGCTTCATACTCATTTCTTGAGCGTCCATGAACCACCTTTACCATGTTATGTTTTAAAACTATGTACATAAATGCATACATATATAATACAGATCTGCAAGGGTGTGGTTTTCCCTCCTGAGAGTGCACATCATGGTAATAAATATGTAAATGCAGATGGCATGAGTACTAATTAGTAGATGACCATAATTTAGGGATGGCTTAATCAGCCCAATTTGAAACAATTTAAAGGAGCGTATAGTTTAGGTTTTTATTTCGTCAATGAGTTAAAACACATATAACGAACAAGGTACAACAATTAAAGATAATCAACTAATTTCAAGAACTGGAAAGCTTACAATTTTGCACTGTAAAGTTATTTAACGGTTGTAAATAAACAAAAAATCACCAGTTTTTGGTAATATAATCTTATGGTAGGAGATCATACTATTAAATAATCAAGTAATTACTATTTGTATCGCAAAAGTTATTTCGGAAGTTGTAATATAAAATAAAAATCTACATTTATATCCGGGTGGAAGACGCCCAAAAATCGTTTTCTTCAAAAGTGAAGTAGTATCATAAGAAAATTTAGACAATGTAAGAAAATAAAATTCAAATATAAAAACAGTTTGATTTGCAGTAGCTACAAATTATAAGTCATAGTTCTAAAGATTATCGGTATTATAGTCTAGAATTTAAAAGTATTTTTTTAAAGTTGAAAAACTTTAGTTTGCAGTCTACAAATAATGCAAGTTATTGAGTAGAGCGTCATGGGTCTCGTTAAGGAGGGCAGTGCCGGTTAAAAATGCCAGTTTGTGAGCATACTGGCAAGGCGCAGGGACAGCAACTGTTCCACTCCAGTTGAAGTATCCATGACAGAGTTTAAACGCAAAGCGCTGCATCTTATCAGCATCAAGCCCGGAAGTATCGTGGATAATATTAAAACCAACGGGTGAGACCGTGCCCTGTCGAGCCGACTGTGGCACCAGGTAGAAATCATATCTGGAAGGCACACCATTAATTAGAATATAAAATAAGTATAATCATATATCACTCTTGTATGATATAAAGTTTACTTACTTCTCAGGACAGGTAATAACATCATCAACGATAGATCCGGGGCTAGGATTAGAGACCCTGTTATCTTTTCCCAAAGCCAGGAAGATTCGGGTATTGATCCTCTTTGTCACAATGACCATTGAGAATTTTGGTTCTCCAACATTCGCGTAATAGTCAGCTATTGAGCTCTAAAAAATATAAATAAATAAGGAATAACATTGGCACACCCACCACCAGTATTACGACAGTCAAGTTAAAGTCATTTTATTCAATTGTAACCTGCAGTGCCACTAGTTCAGTCTCCACCACGTATCGAAGTTGCCCCTCACCCACTCCATCTCGGTAAAACATGATGCTACAAAAAAAAGCACGAAATTTTACGATTGTATTGAAGATAACTTCAACTGAACTAAAAGTTGGAAATATTGATCACCACATACCGAGTGGGTAGCTCTCCTTCGTTCCGGACTCGATACGCCTGCAGACACTCTGCAGAACATGAACCAATTATTTATGATCTTGATGAATATAAATTAAACTATTAATAAAATAATAATATACTTCGCAATGACAATCCTATTTCTCCTGCCATTTCAAGACCCGGCGATAAAGTTAGAACAGTTGAGAAGTACGACGCCAAATTTTGTGAGGTCGTTGCCGTCATAGCACCATAACTTCGTCCACCTCCATGGTGCACATCAAATCCAATTACCATCAACCCCTGCGTAAAATTTATCAAAAATTAGTACGTAAGTTTTTAAACTGATGCTGATCACTATTCATACTTTGAGGGGATTAGCTAGGCCCCAGGGTTGCCCACCCAACTTGGCATTCATTTGAATGACCAACTTTGTGCTGATGGACATGAGTCCCTTGCTGGCAACGTTCTTTGATAGAAAGCATTGCGACGGGACTAAAACACAAACAAACAAAAAATAATCATTGCATGGATATTTTATTACTAACAACGAAAACAAATATTTCGCTTACTCCCGTAATTCAGCGAGCAGGCTTTCTTTACTGCTGCATATACGGATAGGTTGGGAGAGGGTAGGATAACCATAATCATATCGAGTTGTCCTCGATTTTCAGCAACCACACGGTCTATCTCCTTTGTGTATCCGGACTCGTTAGGTGGATTTACCCGAGCCCTAAAATGAATTAACAGAGACGCAGTTAGTAAATTCTTTCATTATTGGCATTAAAATAAGAGGATAATACTCCAAGCTTACTGGATAGGATTGCCGACTGGGAATCCAAGCGGCCGACCAACCCGATCCATTGTTCTCAAGAGGTTATCAATCCCCTCTGCATCTCTGCTAGGATACAAAATTGCCCATCTTCGAAGTGGTTTGGCCAACAGCATTTGATTTGCTGCATACATTAACAAAAATGCATACCAATAATAACGACAAACAAAGGTAATTAATATTAACTATGCGTTACACTAATATAAAAACTTACTTCTAAATGCCATTGTCCAGTCTGCTGCTTCGCCAGAAATAGCCGTGCCAGTTTTAAAACGTAGGGCTTCCTGGTCCAGTAGGCGTCCTGGAACTTCACACGGAACGCCTTGCATTCGCATTCCCCAGGCCAGCAATTCGGAAGTTACCTGAGCAAATAAATGTATCTTCTTAAATATTGCAAGATTTAAAAATGTTTCAAATTGTACGTGATGATGTAAAACAGAAAAAAAGTCATATTTCTCCACTTACATCATTACTTTCAATCATCCGGCGAACAAACTGGACAGTTTGCTGAATCCTTTGTTGTGGTTGCATATGCAAGTGTCCAGATAAATCCTTCATCAACCTGAAATTAGCCCTCATCTCGTCATTCAATCCGGTCTGATAGCAGATCTCGGGAGGAAGAATCTTGTCCCCGGTGTCGCCTCGGCGAATGTCACGTTTCGTCGGGCTGGACACTAGCATTGGTTGTGCGGGGTGAAGTCGGATCCCTTTTTTCTCAAAGTATTCCATGAATGTAATTTGAGTTTCAATGCCTCCACGACTCACAGTAAAAGAGTGGGTGGGTCGGAGGTCCCACTTGATGCCGGTGATTTTATAGGTTCTTTTGTTGTATGCCGTCATTACGACGGTTCCAATTACGGCGGCTTCGATTGCCGGTTTAAAATTTCCCGATGACCTCTCTCGCATTGCTGTCATTAGAGCATAAACCGTCTCAGTCCGACAAACCTTGAAGGTCAAATCTACGTTCAGGTAGACGTCGCGTTCCATCTGCCGGATAGAGGTGACAAAGCCGGGCCAGAGCTGGAGACGATGTTGAGCAATGTGGATCTTCTGTTCAGAGTCGAAATAGTAGCGACCTAGCAGTGTAAGGGACAGCTTCTCTTGAGCCTTCTTAACGAGGACGTTATACAGTTGGGTGACGACAGGCTCCCTGCGGTCACATTGCCGGATAAAGTCGATGTTAACAGTCCAAACTTCCTCAGGTTTGTCTGGGAAAGAAGCTTCGAATCTTAAGTTTTCGATTGGAATAATTCTTGTTGTGAACAATTGAGTTCCTTCGAAGAGATATGGTCCTATATCTGATTCCCGCATCCTCACCAAAGCTTTTCGTTTAGGGATGTGGTCAATCTCCGGATCAAATGTGACCAGATACAGGCGAAATTCAATAGTTTTCTTCATCTGCAACTGAAAGTAGTTTACGAAAAACCTTTGGGCAGTTCCAGATTTTCCTTGTTTATCCAAGCCTTCAGCTCGGGTACGAAGTTCTTCAAATCCTCGTCCGAAACCTAATTGCAAGTTTCAAATATAGAACAAGAAATGTCAATTAATTTAATTAACCTGATGCGACATCGAAATGGTGAGCTATCTATAAATAGTAGTAAAAAGGGTAAAATTAACAAATTACGAGATTCATGTTGCCTTTGGACCCCTCTTTCTTGTCGGGGCATGGGCTCATCTCTTCCGCGACCTCCGCGACCCCGTCCCCTGGCAAAAGTCTCTTCTTCAGGGCTGGAAGAGCCGGCACGTCCATCTTCACTTCCATTCCCGTTGTTCCCGTTACTGCTACCATTCCCATTGCTACTGCCGTTACCGCTTCGATATTCGGATACTAGTTGTTGAAATCCGGGATCGCCGGCAAGTCTTTGATATTGGTCCCCAGGCTCGATCTCCATAGGGGGAGGTGCATATGGGTCCACTGGGCGAAGTTGTACGGCCTGCGGACCGCCTGTTACGCTCCTTGGGCGTGACCGACCTAATAGTATAATATTAATTCAACAATAAAAATACAAATAATACAAACAATTAATGCTCAAATATAAATTATGGAAAACTGTCTTACCTCTTGCCACGCCACGTTCTTCTCCCTCCTCCGGACTGCTACTATCATGGCTCCTCTTGCTCCCTCCAGAAGTATTCATTTTGTGAAATAAACCTTCAACATAAGAGATGGATGAAAAAAGTTTAAAAATTATTACTAACAAGTACGAGTTCAAACTTGGATTGGAACCTAAAAAAATGCACCTAACCTCGTATACCTGTAATGACAAGTATGGGTTCTTGCCACTTTCTGGAATTACAGATCGGAAATTTGGAAAACTCGACCGATTGTTTCTGGAGAACGTTGATGATGATGAGTGAGGAGAGAGGCAGAGATGAAGCTTCCTTCTTGACTCGTCCAACGCGACTGAATGGAGAGACCACGACGTATTCTGTTGAATCCTCAGCCGCCAGATAGGCGCCAGGGGACTCAACTCGATCTTCATATAGTTATATGGAAATAGTCGTCGTTGTATATATTTAGCTACGCCTCATCCATGTAAGTTTGAGCCATGGCTAAATCTAGCCCCATAAGAAACCCCCGTTTTTAACGTTGCTCAGTTAGTATTTAGTAATCCATGCTCAAACTCCAAGGATGAAGAGTACATGGAGACGTTGGAGGTGCTATAGGCAGCCACCACCACCACCACCCTTATACTCTGGAATGTTCTGCGTCTCAAATTTCGTAGTCAACAAACACGTTAGATATGCGTAACATAAATTATGCAAATAAATGAGCAGGATTACACATTTCCAATTTTTTTCGAACGTTTTTATTAATAATCTAATTTGGAGGACAAACTGGACAAAGTAGAGAGAGAGAATGGTTGAACCTTCGAAAATTACATTGCATTATTAACAAATAATTAATTTTAAAAACTATTTAACCATTTTTGAAATGTTCAAATGGCCATTCTGGAATTTTATATTGCAGCCAGTGCTGTTGAAAGGACACCATTGTTGATGGAAGAGTTTTATCTGTATTTCATACATTCATTTTGTTTGAGATTCTTTCATAGAGCAACATCGGTCACAGAAAAATTTAATCATAGACGACGATTCATGTATGTGTAAAATATTGCATATGACCATAGATTCATAGTAAATAATTGCATATATTGACTGAGCGTCGTTAACTATTATTAATCATGGCAAACTATATAACCCTGAGGTTCTCATGATGCAAACGGACTATTTATGTATATGTCGTTTTGGTTAGTTATAGTCACTCTTATGAATTTCATTACCAAAATGTTCACCGGGCGGAGTATCTATGTGACTCTACTGCCGTGGTAACTTTTTATTTACCGTGCGGTAACTATTTCTAAAGCTACCGACCCGGGAATGATTCATTATAACGAGGTATTAAAAACAGCTTTGCTGAGTAACAACAAAAACTCCTTTGCAGTAATAAATAGTTACCATTGTGTAATGCCATTATTAAGTAGCTTCAGCTACTTTATGTGAAGACTTTGTCTGTCTGTCTGTCTGTCTGTCTGTCTGTCTGTCCGTCAGCAGGATATCAGGAGAACGGATCGAGATAATCGAAATCGGTTTTCGCCATCATACATAGGACCCCAGGGGGAGGATCCTATCAACTTTTGGGGGCAACCGGACCACACCCCCTTTGGCGACAGGGGGTGTGGTCGGGGCAAAATGAGATTTTTAGTGCAATTTAATCTATAGGTGAAATAGAGTAAAATCATGTGTTCCGGAGTTGTGCCACACCCCCTCGGCGCCAGGGGGTGCGGTTGGGGCAAAATGAGATTTTTAGTGCAATTTAATCTATGGGTAAAATTAGGTGAAATTGAGTGAAATTAAATGAAATTAAGTGAAATTAAGTGAAATTAAGTGCTTCCCCGATTGTGCCACACCCCCTCGGCCCCAGGGGGTGTGGTTGGGGCAAAATGAGATTTTTAGTGCAATTTAATCTATAGGTGAAATAGAGTAAAATTATGTGTTCCGGAGTTGTGCCACACCCCCTCGGCGCCAGGGGGTGCGGTTGGGGCAAAATGAGATTTTTAGTGCAATTTATTCTATGGGTAAAATTAAGTGAAATTGAGTGAAATTAAATGAAATTAAGTGAAATTGAGTGTTTCCCCGATTTTGCCGCACCCCTTCGGCGCCAGCGGGTGTGGTGGGGGCAAAATGAGATTTTTAGTGCAATTTAATCTATAGGTGAAATAGAGTAAAATTATGTGTTCCGGAGTTGTGCCACACCCCCTCGGCGCCAGGGGGTGCGGTTGGGGCAAAATGAGATTTTTAGTGCAATTTATTCTATGGGTAAAATTAAGTGAAATTGAGTGAAATTAAATGAAATTAAGTGAAATTGAGTGTTTCCCCGATTTTGCCGCACCCCTTCGGCGCCAGCGGGTGTGGTGGGGGCAAAATGAGATTTTTAGTGCAATTTAATCTATAGGTGAAATAGAGTAAAATTATGTGTTCCGGAGTTGTGCCACACCCCCTAGGCGCCAGGGGTGTGGTTGGGGCAAAATGAGATTTTTATAAAAAATTAATCTATAGATGAAATAGAGTGAAATTAAGTGTTCCCGAGTTGTTCCACACCCCCTCGTCGCCAGGGGGTGTGGTCGGGGCAAAATGAGATTTTTACAAAAAATTAATCTATAGGTGAAATAGAGTGAAATTAAGTGTTCCCGAGTTGTGGTGGGACCGTTTGGGGTGAAGTACGTCTGAAGCTACTTCCGTATGCGCGTTTGCGACGGTTTATTACTGCTTGGAGTATTATTAATATAATTTGGTATTATTATGATTACTGCCTTGGGGAATTTTAATTACTATGTGGTAATGATTTCACTAAATTTGGTAGATATTTGTAAGCAATATTTTGTTAAATCATATTTTTATTTATGTAGGTCAAGAGTATACACAATATCCATTAGTTAAAAGTTCAAAAATTGTATATTAAATTTAAAATTTACAACTCCAGTTAGCAGTCCCACGGGATGTCCAAAATAGCAAAGTCTCAACAATGGCTTCAGCAAATGACTTCTTATCCTTAATTACTGATGTATCCCTAAATAAACAAGAAAAGCAAATCGAATTATGACTAATTAATAAACGATGTTTAAAAACAAGCTCACCTTTATAGCTTGACCAGTTTCGCAGCAAACTTTACAGTGACTAAAAGTGAAATTTACATTTAAAAGATGAATTAGTTACACTTTGACAGAATTGAATAATAAATAAATTACAATTAATCTAATTACCTTTAAATCTACCTTTAAGAATCAATTTTCTGGCTTGAAAATAATTTTAAACACGAAGTAATTTTCTGGAGATTGTGCTTCTTTTGTATGAGTGCGCGTTAACTTTATTATCGAGTTTGGAAAAATATTTACCGGAGTAGTAATAAAAATACACCGCATGAAAGTTTTAGCTCATTACCCGCTAGCTAAATGATTTAATACGGCGCAGTATTATTCATGTTCTCTCACTGCAGTATTAAATTAATATAACTTGGTAACTTTACGATACCGTTCGAGTTTTCCCGATAATACCAAGCAATAATAAATACATTTTTTGTATTATAATGAATTTTGGTAAACAATTTTATTACTGTGATGGAAAAATCAATGTTTACCAACTGCTCGGTAATAAACGAGTTTGCATTTTTATTACCACAGTTCTAAGAGTGATAGAAACTAATACATTCTTTGTTACGCTATCATATAGCCATTTTTAACTTTTTTCAAAACTTGGCCATTTGAATGAATTCTGAAATTTCATATTGCAGTCAGCGTTTTTGAAAAGACACCATTGTTGATGGATGGAACTATGGAACTATTTTGGATGAAGAATTTAATCTGTATGTCATACATTCATTTTGTTTGAAATTCTTTCAAAGATTAAAGAAAATCTATGAAAAATTAACCCATACTGGTAGTTACGTAGATATGCATACCTCTGAAATGAAAATCAATACTGTATAAAATAAATAATGAGAATTAAATGAAAATCAAGTAACCCAATGCAGGAAAAAATGTAGGCTTTAAATCTCAAATTTTGCACATGAGCGTCATTACCTAATTAATCATGCCAAACTAACCCTAACCTTTTCGTGATGCAAGCGGACTATTTATGTCGTTTTGGTTAGTTAGTAGAAACTAATGCACCTTCTTTGTTATGCTAGTGGGATATGCATATGTGGTTTGATAAAAATAAAAAATTGGCCATGTTTCAAATTCATTCAGTCAGCCGACAAAATCGGATACAATTTCAGCGAGTGTGTTAGATTTATGTGATGTTCCACCACATTCACACATACAACATATCATTGTACGGCGAAAGGTGAATACTATGCAAGGATTTAAAGTCAAAAAGAGTGTAACACTTAAATCAATAAAATCATCTCACATTTCTCATTACACTTGAACTTTGAACTGCCATTAAATTACCAATATTGCACACCCCCCTCTCCCATTCAAGTACAATAGATTTCTCATAAATATCATGTCACAGGACAAGAACACAGTTACATTTCTCCGAATAAAATCACAAGATGGGAAAGATCTCAACTTGTTCACGGGCATTTACTATCATGTTACAGTTAAAAGTATTCCCAATGGAATCATGGCTTTTGAATCTGAGCCTCGACAAGAAGGATATCTGATTCAACTTGCTCTCAACAACCTGGAAGATTTTGACACAATTATTGATGAAGATAATGCACCTCAAGCAGGGTCACTAGCAGCTCAGGCCTTGTGGACCATCCTCCCGGAAGTTAACAGCAAAGAAAATGAGTATCAAATAAAAGTTTTATCACATCCGGAAGGCAAATTAACCTACACTCATGGTTCCAGTTGGGGTGGTAGGTAAGTATATAGTAAATATATATCTAATCCTCTATGATATGTACTTATCGAAATAATTGTATGATAGAATTTGATGCATATTGAATCAAAATTAAGCTCTACTTATTTTTTTTACATAGGTACATGGAACTCGATTTCACAAATGCGGAAAGTTACGATCCAGGTGCAACCATGTATTCGTCTTGTTTGTGGTATTTTCGTCCCTGTGAATTTTCAGATTATTTCACAATCCATAACTCAGATCCCAGAAGGGATCCAAACTTTGTCACATTTTCAAACGAACCATCCGAACGGGGACAGCTCATGCAGCTAGGAACAAAGGAGCTCGACAATTATTCAGTCAAAGGCGTGTTTCGTCAGGTGAGGTGATCGGATGCCATTTTCCATTATGCATTATTTTTATTTATATTTATTATTACGCATTATTTTCTATTATGTAGGATGCATTATGGCAGTTTAAACCCAAAAATTTTCAACTATTTGCCCACATAACGGACTTTCACTTTGAAGTACCATCAGAGTCCCAAATATCTGACGAAGCTTATCCAGTTGTTATAGCGGAGGAAATATTCTCCTCGTCAACGACTAACCCAGAAAATTACAAGGTTAACTTTACCACTCAAATTCCAGAAACATTCAAACTTAACTTTTTGCAGTCCTTTAAACCCTTCCCCGAAAGAAATATCACAATTGACACGTCCTGCTTTGTTGGGAAGAATAAACTGAAATTTCTGAATGTGCAAGAACCCATGAATTTTGAGAAAAAGTTTGGATCAAATACGCAATTTATTTGTTTAACCGACACAGAATATAATATCCAGCAAGATTTTAAGTTTCCACATGAGGAAGATGTAGAAAAACTAAAGGTGAAAGGTTATTGCAGTATTGTGAAAGAATTGGAGATTCCGTTTATAGCTACAGTGAAAGTGAAGGCAATTGCTGATTGTGTAAATGCCACAAATGGGCAAAAAGTGGATTACTTTCAAATCGAGGATTCCCAAGTTATCGAGTATTTGCTAAAATTTGAAAAATTTACAGGAAAAATAAAAAATACTCAAGAAAAAATCCAGAAAAATGCAGGTTTCGGCAAAAAAGTCAATATCCAGCAGCAAAGTGTCTGCAATAATGACACTGCTGTAGATTGTGAGGTGAGTGGGAGGCTAAGATGTACCTGTGGGGTTGATACGTACCTAGATTTCAAAGTTATTAGTTAACGAAGCTGTGTATTATCTTTATTTCTGATGAAATTAATAATAATAACTGATCTGACTTAATCAGTGATTAAGGTGATTAATATATTCATATGCATTCTTATTTTTTTCATGATTTTTCATGATACACTTGTGTCAGCATTGCCTCATCGGAAGCGCGTTGCATTTTGCACATTAGGAAATTTGTTGACATTCATTTCATTCCAAAAAATTCTAACAGATTTGTTAATTTCAGTAATTTCATAATAGTTTTTCACTTGACTGATTTTTCTTCTGTCCTCATAAATGTGCACATATTCTTAAAATTCGTCAGTGTGAGACACCTCATCGCTCAAATTTGCAATGGGCAAGAATTTGGAACAGCCGGATGACCAACTATATTGGAGAGATAAACGCCTTCGTGACCGCTTGGGATTTGCTCTGGAACACGATAAGCTCTACAAGGATATACATTTCCTCCTCGGAAAACAGGAAATCCGAATTTCTGCTCACAAATTAATCCTGAGGTAAAAAATTCAAACTATACCCAAATTATGTCAGGCAGGATTATATTCAACTTACCAAAATTACAACAGACTCAGCTCAGTCGTTTTTGAAAATATAATAACTGCCCATGAACAGCAAGGAATTGATGAAATTCGACTGCCCAACACATCACCAGAGGTGTTCCGTAAATTATTAAAAGTATGTTCAAAAATAAATGAATCAATAAATAAATAAAGTTGGAGTAATTGTGGCTAAATTGTGAATTTTCAACAGTTTGTCTACACGGACGAAATAGAAATGTTCGACTTGTCCAAATTTCTCGATGCGGCTAGGGAATTTGGTTTCTCGAAATTGGATGAACAAGTTCTCCAGGTTCTCAAAAAGACTAAACTAAATGTGGACAATGCAGCATACCTACTCGACATTGGAAAACAAATGAACGACAAGGAACTGGAGAGCAATAGTCTGAATTACATTGTAAAGTGGGTCGACTATAATGAATTTGAAGCAGACATCAACAATTTATGTTTATATTTTATAATAATTATTATGATATTGCATATTTTCAGCAATGGGAAACAAGTTTTAAATTCGTCTAGTTTCGTGCAAATCTCTCATCTTGGCCTTTGTCAGATCTTACTTGAAGATAGATTAGCTGTTGACGAGTTAGAAGTTTTCAAATCAACTATGAGGTAATAAAAAATAAAAATCAAGTTCAATTACTTTGTTACCAACAGACATGCATTGTACATAAATTTTTGTAGATGGGCAGAATTTCAATGCACTAAATCAACTTTATCTCCAAGTTCGGAGAATATCAGGGAAGTTTTAAAAGATGCTCGGCTCTATATACGTTACTTTCAAATTGACTATGAAGATTTCCTATCTCAAGTAAAACCAACAGGGATTTTAGCTAGTTCGGAATTTATTCAAGTTTGTAAACATTTTGCGGATCCTACAGTGAATCTGTTAGGGTTGCCCATAAAACCACGAGCTGTTTTGCGTAAGTAAAAAAAACAGAAATATTTCACAATATTTTGTCAGTGTTCGTTGTGAGAAGTGTTTTCATGTGACTCTACTTGTTACCTTTGCAGCTTCAGTCCAGAAGAAGCAGATAATTAAACAAAATATTGAATATGACGACATGATACCAGCCAAGTTAGCGAAAGTAGATGACAAAATTTCGAATGGTCCACCACCACCGGAAGACGACCGAACAACAGAATTTCGAATGTTTTCAACATTTATTGACTTTCGCGAATTACTCGATTCTATTCAGCAGCGATATGGAGTTTCAAAAGTGATACTCCACGATGTAATCGTACAAAATGCAGAGTGTTATCGAGGTCGACGTGTACATTTACCCAATTTGGATACGTTTTACTTTTACTTGAAGCCAGATGATCCAGCCCTGGCACCTCCTGCATTACTCCCTGATCGAAGCTTTATGTGTGGACTAAGTAGCAAAGATTTCCTGTTTTTCGAAAAGAATAGAATAGTTCCATGGGAGTTTAAAGATTTGTGGGGATTAGGTATTGAAATTCTTTTACATGTCAAGGGCCTAAGAATACTAGACATAAATCAATCCAGAAAGGAGCTTACCTTATCATTTCCTCATGTAGTGGAAGCTGCAGAAATTTTTTACAGCCTGACCGAAGAGACTGAATTGAAATCATTGTGCGTAACTGCATCAAATTTTGCCGAAGTCGAAGATGCGTACATCAGCAGCATGGATTTATGTAGCGTATTTTCAGCCACATCCAATAAACTCACAACTTTGGTTCTTCAAGGAGTGGAATTCAAGAATCCAATTTCAGCCATCAAGTTTATAAACCTGTTTCCGAATCTCAAATATTTAAGTTTATACATTGTCAACAATATTTCAATCGATTTCCAAATAGATTTACAGCAACGAGCAACTCTTGAAAAAATTACTTTATCCAAGGTTGATATCAAAACTTACAAAAAAAGAAAAGGAGTCATACCATTTGTTAAATGTGAAGAATTATATCTAGATGTATGCTCATGGCCTCCAGTTTTCGGAGAACACTTTTCGTTGTTATTTCCGAACCTGAGGAAAGTTGTCATAAGATCTATGGGCCATTGTCGTTGTTCAGCTCGGTTGTTTACGGAACTACTGGAAATAAAACCACTTAAACACATTGCAATATGTACATATCCTGGTCCTGAAGATCCTGCTTTCAACAATCCAAACTTGAATATTTTCTTGCCTCCCAATGGTGTAAGTAAAAAAGCAGTGTTCAACTTTCTTACCAAAGCGGGTGTGCAACTTAATGCGGAAGGACCAGAAGTACCAAATTTCATTCTGGAAAAGAATTTCGACGCAAACAAATGGAAAACTATACCAGACGCAGAAAACGACCTACTGGATCAAATGCACTTTGAGTTATCCATGTTGGACAGGTTCTTTGATGATAGGTACATAACCAAGTTAGTTCATTAATTAATGATATGTACATTATTTATTATATTATATAGTTATACAAAACTACTCTGTACTTGTTCCTGCATTTACTTTTTATTCTGTGATAATACACCAAAATATTTTCATCATGACCCCTAGTAATAATTCTCATTCGTAGATGATCAATATTTTTGGACCTCAATTTCAATCAGTCCATACATACATATTCTTTCCTCCCTATTTAGTGTCACACAAATTACATGAGGTGGGTTAGCATTAAGCATTATTGGTTAATACATGCATATGCGTATTTGAGTTCAAGTTGTTTTACTGCTCTGTAAGTAAAATCTCTCTAACACATCCGGATAATCCTTGTTTGTTGCATATTAAATATCAACTTTTCTAGGTAAGTCTCCTGACGTCCAAACACCTGACTGACACATTACCATTTGTCAAATATCTAGTAATCCACAACAGTATGAAGTTAACTGGATGCTATTATTACGGTGGTGGTGACAGGATTTTAAAGTTATTCAACTTGGTCTTTTATCCTTATCTCTTGTGTTCATTTGATTCATTCGGCTGGCTGTTATCAAACTCACCTTGTTTCTTTCTACACAGTATTTGACACAACTGCAAGGAACCATGTAATGATACATAATGTATCACGCACATCACAACTGTACTTATTTATTACGCTTTATCATTTACAAAATAAAGTGGTGAACATAGATCTTTATTTTACATACATTCGTTTCACCCAGTGCGGAGTAGATCAATGGAACCCACCTTATAGCTCGCTTTCTACGCTTTGTACATAAAAAAATAGAACTTTCCACACAAATATTTCACAGAATTCTAATTTAAAATGACAAGGGATTAGATGAAGAAGAAAAGTATTTATAAGAATATCTGTTGCTTACATCATCTCATACCTTACGACCCATAATCAGCGTTACGCCGTGACTCCAGCATGCAGTCTTCTGCACAAAGCAGGAGACAAAGGTAAAGCCAAAGCACAAACAGGACCAGACATAGTATAACAATACAAATAATAGCAGGATTTCGTATAAGGTAAGCAGCACATAATACTTAATCCAATCTTCATACATTGTACATTATTGGTTGATTGACGATAGCTTTCCGTATATATTAATGCTAATTTCCAAACCATATTTAGCTTGGGATAATTCAACGAGATGCCAACTGGATCTTTTTTTTTAAACGGACGAAGAGATAAACTAATAATATTAATATTTAATATTGTGAATGACAAACGGTACAATTCATGATGACAGAATTCAATTACATTCTCTGGCTGCTATATATTAGGCTGATCCAAATATGGTTCAATCGTCAAACTGGTTTTTGGGTGGTACGCGATTGATTCTTGACATTCTTCCAGGCAATTTCTTACACTGTGAGTGCCGAGCTACCCATTTTTTGTGATAGTAATTTTAGTGTCATAAAATATGATGCATAAGTTAAAGAGAGGAGATTTGTGCTACTGGAACAAACCTACTTCAACTCATTGTCTCATTTCGTACAGCGTGGAATAAAGAGATTTTCATTCGTCTCAGGAGATCTTTTGCATAGCCCAAGGCAAGAGAATCGACCCACAATCAAACCAAGTCACAAATATCACTTCGCCTTAATTGGACTTTATCCAGCCTCAAGTCAAGTAGATAGACCTGAATTTATTATTATTATTTGTGAGCCACCAAAGCGGTTCTGATTGTGTGTCTAGACGTCACACAGTTCCGTACAAAGTTACAAACCACAATGGCGTCTGAACATTCAAGTGTCAGTGATAACCACAACGCAATCTCCGCTGAGAAATGGGCTGCAATCTGCCTCCTGACATCTCTCTCTATAATCTTTGGACTGTTTCCCTTTTTAATTTTCTCCTGTTATCGACGAGTGATTCGGACTGACACCGTTTTTTACAAAACGGTCCTGTCTTCACTCTCCAGCATTTGTGGTGGTGTTCTCCTAGCTACAACAATGCTGCACATCCTGCCAGAAGTTAGAGAAAAAGCAGCTTCTCTTAGCAATGAAGACGGATTTCCAAGAGTTTTTCTAGGATTCACGGCTTCAAATGAGCCAAGACTTCCTCCAGCCGAATTTCTCATGATTTTTGGATTCTGCCTTATTTACGGACTAGAAGAAGCGGCACAGTTCATGCTGAAACTGAAGTGCAGTTGTAGTACAAGTCTTAGAAGACGTCAAAAGCATAAATATTCTTCACAACATGTGAAACAGCAAGAGCATTTTAGACTTGGAACAACGTATGAATTGGATATGGAAGTTTCAGACAAGAAATATATCCAGGCATCAAGTGGAATAGCTATGACGGAGTGTCAACACTTGGAACTAATTAAACCGGAATGCAAATCATTGCAATTTGACCAGCCTTGTGAATCATGCGACTCTCCGATATCTATTACCTTGTCGCACTCGGATTCGTCCAACTCAACATCTTCTTCTCCCAACAGCAACCTGAAGGGCTCTGTTCTTACCCTGAATCATTTGAAGGAGGAAATTGCCACCCCTTTTGGGTTACTCAGGTCTCTCGTGTCTTTGTTGGCCTTATCATTCCACGCCGTCATGGAAGGCATAGCGGTTGGAGTTGGCAAAGTTAGAAAAAAAACAGTATGCAATCATGGCGAGTTGTTAATGTTCAATATTCCTCTTTTCAGAACCACTCCGACATTTGGATGACATTTGGAGCCATTGCTTCGCACAAATGTATCATAGCGTTAGTCTTAGGTATGGAAATGATGAAGTCGAATATGAACTGGAAAACACTGGTTGCCTCCATTTTCATGTTTTCTATTGTGTCGCCAATCGGAATTTTCATTGGATCGATTATGGTCACTGGGGATGGTAACTCGGGATGGATAGTTGTGGTTGAGGTACATATTTACGACATATTTTAAGCACTTGCATATGCAAAAATAGATGTATGATGATGATAACATGTTTTTTTGTGTATATAAACGACCCTAAAATAGGGACTGGCATCAGGCACGCTTCTGTATATAATTTTCTTCGAAATTCTTCCGCCCACCGATTCCCACGAGAGTTCTGACGAGTCCATCAGCCTAGAGAACAATACCACCGATTATACTTCTGGGATAAAGAGTAAACCCCGTCACGACAAAAAATCAAAGCTTAATATCCAGGGATTGTTAAGATTTGTTGGGACATTTTTAGGTGTACTTCTTGCATCCTATTTAATAAGCATTTTCCCACATGTACATAATAGTCATAGTAGTTTAAGTCATGTCAAAGCGATAGATTCTACTCACTCATTGTGCGGCGAGCATGATCATGTATAGCACATACTTAATAAATATGCAGTTGAAATTGCCATTATGCATTAGTCTATTATACTTCAGCGGACAAAAAAGATTTAGTCAGATTCCTAAAATTTATGAATCATGAGCATAGTCTATGATCGTTTGAAGTTCGAGTAACATATATAATTAACCAAATATAATGACCTGATTATCTGTAATCATAATTATTAATGTATTTATATTTCTGGTAATCAAACAAAATTAAAATGTTATGATTTTGCTAAGTTTGTATAAATAAAAGTTGACAGAAAGTATCTAGATAGTGACGAATATTAATAATAAACTACTTACCTACTTACTGTTACATACTATGTGAGTCATTATTCTATGTAGTTTTGTGTCAATGATGTTTCGGACTCAATTACTCGGCGGATTACCAGCTCTGAGTTATCTAAACAATCTCTAAATACTACCAACAAATGTGCACATGAAAATATGAGTTATAAATTATTATGGATATACAAACTTATTTGTTAGGTTTATTGGAATATGTTGGGGTTTCATTCATGAATGTGATACATAAATATGCCAGTCGCTATATCCATAAATTGCGAGTATGCGAAGGATAGTTATTGCGGAAATTACTTTAATTCGCGTCAATATTTGACCTTCATTTTAGTGACCCAGTTACATCTCTTTCGTGTCCATATCTGCTTTAAAAATCAGTCAAGTCGGGAAAAAATCTATTGATCATGCAAAATGTTTCGTGAATGTATGGTCATGGTCAGATACTTGATCATGACATAATTTCATTTCTTACATTTATGTACTTTACACAGAACTATGTGCACAATTTTAGCATTTATCTACTATGGTCTTTGATGTACTTATATTGTTAAGTAGTTGTCCAGATAAGGATACATTTGGATTACTGGAGGTGGTATAAACTGGACATTGACATGTCATGTTTAACAACCGCTTTATTCAATTGAAGGGCAATAAAATCTGACCATTATTAACATCACACGGATTATTTAGTTAGTTCTTAATTTAGCGTGTCTGTATATTTAGCAAAATGGGGGACTCTCGTAAATGCGAAAAGTTGCACCAAATTCCTGTCTTGTACGTTAGGGGGGACAATTTTACCGTGGGCTATACAATAGTAAGTAGAGAGAATTGGACGCAATTTTAGATTTCAGAACACATAAAGGTATACACTGTACATGATTTTTAAGGGTCGGCAATTCAAATCCTTGATTGAGGACAATCTTTCAAAATCTGACTACTTGAAAAACTCTTTGCTTCCCGTTTATAAAACTGAAGAAGGAAAAACGCTCTACAAAAAGAATCTGGAATTATGCAAACGGAACTTTCCTGAATATGTTCAGGAAATTCAAGGGATGGCTCAAGGGTCAAATGTACCTTTTCATGAAGTTCGTAAATAATAAATACTATTTACATATGTGTAATGATTGAACAATGCGTATCATGGATAAAAATATTCCTGAACCTTCTCTCTATTTCAGCTATTTCTTCTCAATGTCGAAGTTTTCTTTGTCTCTCGAACGGAAGTGTTTGAAAATACGGATCAGGAAGGGAATGGTTGCTCCTCTATTTTGTGTAACGGTGACCAGGTGCATTTTTTGTGACCTTTACTGTTCCTGCTAAATATTCCTCACCCAAATAAAAAATCTGCATTTTAGTTAATGCTGGCACACAACGAAGATATTGGACCAGAACTTCTCAATAACGTCTTTATCGTATCAGCCGAAATACTTGACAATAATGGCGAAAAGGTAGAAAAATTCACAACGTTAACTTATGCAGGATATCTTCCGGGTTATACGATGGGCTATAACGACCAGGGATTTATCTACTCCGTCAACACCCTTTGTCCGTTAGATATTCTGAATGAAAAATCTCGTACGTACGTTTAAATACTCCAATTTATGGTTCGTACAAATAAATTGTTTCACAATACAGCCAGAAATTTCATTTCTCGAGCTCTACTCCGAGCCAAGAATTTGGAGGAAGTTGTAGAAATCATGAAAGACAAAGGAACTGGAATATCTGATGGATTCAGTCTAAATGCTTGTTTTGTAAACCCCAATGGGGACAGCGCACCACAAATGTACAACATAGAAGTCTGCCCAAACAAGAAAGGGGATGAATCAAAAGTTGATGTTTTTGAAGTCAAGCCAGGCGATACTTATGTGCATTGTAACATGTGAGTCTCTAAAATTAAATGCAACCTATTGTGAGTTCCTATATTGTTATGGCTTGCATTTTGAATAGGTATTTGCGAATGAAACCAGCAGAATTGGAAAAGGCTGCTGTGAGAAGTGGGCATCGACACAGGGCAATCGATAAGCACCCAGAACCCAAAACCGCTGACATTGTGCGAAATGTTCTCTCCGATCGAAGCGATCCTGATTTCCCCGTATTCCGATGTGGTGAAAAATTGCCTGATAACGGGATCACAGTCGTAGTTGGTAGGTGCAAAATTATGCTTGATCATCAAGATCTTTGTAAGTATGTAGCTGCACAATTCTCAATAATTTTAAATTTTTTAGGAGTATTCGATATAACCAACCGCCTGTGGAACATTTACAGCGACAGACCAAATTCTTCCAGTCCTATCGCAGTGTTGCCTTTGCAATTTTGAGGTTAAATTAGGTTGCAATTAAAAAAATTACTCATATATCTTTGATGAAGTAAATGAAGAATTAAGGATCCTATGTAACTTATAACTTCATACTGACGTACTCGAAGTACGTTTTGAATATGATTGTATCCAATTTATTTATTCAAGTTGCCATTAAATCTGCTACATACATAATCAGCACGTTGTGCATAATGTAAATATCACTTTTCATTTCTATGATGGCTCGGTGTCGATTAATATAATTCCAATTATTTTCATCAGACCAATAGTAAATACTAAGCACAATTCATGACTCGGATAAAACAGCATTTTTCAAGTATTGTGCATTTAAACAACTCACATTATACATAATTCATGCAAGAGTATGGATATGACGATTCTCATTCCACAGAATCTATCTTTATACACACTCTTGTTGCATTTGTAGTTTTGCATTTCTTCTGCATATTTTATTACTGCAACCGCCCCTCTGATTGACATAACAAATTATTTTCAATTGTGATAGTTAGAACTTGTAAATGGTAAATTCTGATAATTTAAACCCAAGTAGAGTATGAATGCATGACAGTTGTTTCACGATTACTATGCAGATGCAAAATACATCTCGTTAATTGTTGGCAGTGCACAGAAAATACATAGTTGACATCATATAACAAGCAAAAGTCATTCGTTTCGGAACATAATGAAAGACTCAACTAACACAGTTAATATAATTACAAAACAACCTGCCGATAAAGTTCTCGTCGAGTTAAGCATTCAATGTGATCTCAATTCCTATGAGGAAAAATACGAAAAATCCAAAAATAGAAAGGATACCACTATTTTGAAAAGTATTAACAACGTTTTGACATCGTGCTGCATTTATTGTTGTGCCGAGTGCATTAATGCGTGACGTGAAACTTAAATATTTAAGCAAGATTTTTTAAACAAAATTGAGCCAGAATAAATATCCAACATTTTTGTGTTACGTATGTAAGCGCAACAAATTAAATTATGCATTTTCTACTTAAAGTTCCGTGAGAAGTATCTAAACTCAGATTTATTTAAGCAGATTACAAATTTAACATGACATCCATGATGTCACGAAGATGCATCCTTGTGGACTCAACTTCGATTTTGTCTCTAAATTATTTAATATACTTCCACTGATTTTGTACCTTATTTTATGTGCTAGTCAATCAGACATACCTATGCCAATTGGGTTCATTATTTCAAATTCAATAAAATAATTGATCACAAAGACAAGACCTTTTATTCATTGTACTCGTACCTAATTACAATTATTAGTAAGTACATGAGAGCTCGTAAAGCTAACATTTTTTTTATGCAGCTTGATTATGGGAGAAAAAAATAGATAAATTAAACGCAAACATAGCGATCATAACCAAGGTGCAAAATGAAGTTCGAAAAATTGCTTCAGCACCATTACCAGTATTGCAAAAGTCCGACGTACAACAAGTTGAGCACACATATCTGTAAAAAAAATGGCTTGCACCATTAAACCTAAATGTGTACATATGTATAATTTAGTTATATACGAACTCACATTCTGGTCCTTTCCCCCATCACAACGCAACCAGGTTCACATTTGCTTTGTAAAGTACAATTTCTTTTAATTGCAAACGTCTTCATTGGAGCATGACCCGTACCGTTGGAGAGCGAAAAGGCAAACTTTCGAACCTTCGCCAAGCACAATCAAATATTAAAAATTATCGTATTTTTAAGAGTATTAAAAAAATGTACCAAATTGAATACTTACGGAGCAGACATAACTTTCGTTCAGACATTGTTGAGGAAAACCTTGAAAACCACTGCCTGGGAGGGAATCACGAGTCCAGTGACGATGGACCTCATTATTCGTCTCTCCATCATCATCCCCATCCACCGAAATTGATGCCGGAGAAATGGATAAACTAGAAAAATTCATGCATTCCATTCCATTCGTTTCTGAATAGCACTGTTTCAACCAGAAAATGGAAATGTCAACTTTTATTTATGTATTAAAACTGATATCCACACTGATTTCGTACCACGTGGCAAGTCAGATTCTTGGGACGTTCTTTAGGCACCCCTAAAGTAAAAATACAATATACAATTAATTTTTTTGTGTCGATCCGCTAGAATAAAACAGACTTTATTATTACCCAGCTCGTGAAGGGTGACATCAGTTTTGCTCATCCCACTGGAATGCTCGCCATAAACGGAGTCGCTTTCGTAAGAGTGGTCAACCTCTTGGTACTGATAGCTTGGCGAAACCAGAGTCACTGAGGAGATGACGAGGAAAGCCAGGAAGGGGGACGACGGCTTTGGAAGATTTGGAGGTAGTTGCGCCATACTCAATCTTGACACAATATAAACCAATGCTACATTTAAAGTTCAATAACTGAATGATTCCTCCCTTTAGCTACTTACTAGATTCACTGTAGTGATTACATGAATTCAACTTTCTCTCGGTTAAGTACTTTATAAATAATGTGATATTTACGATAATATTGTCATTTCTTTAGGTCAACTGAATCAGATGGAATTATGTATTTTCACCCTCCGTCTCGGGTACCATATACGTTTTATGCAGGAGAAAGTTCTGCGCATGAGATTGCTCTAGGATATCGATCGATAATTTGCCCGAGTAAAATCTCCCCATTGCATAAATACTCTCGCAAAACTCTCTCTCTCTCTATTTTTGCAAACTGGGTAAAACCAAACGAATGGACTAGCATAATATATCACAAGGTGGTTCTGCCACCGCACTTTCGTTTCCTCGATTTTGAACCAACTTCTCCTTTTGGCTTCGACCGCAAAACAGAATACAAATTCCGGACTGAGGAGATGACGCTTCGTAAAACCGCAGAGACGCATTTCCCTGTTGCCTGTGTGCCGTGTTTGTGTGTATGTATACATATTACGACAAACATACAACTTTCACTCACTGAATAACATTCTTCGTCTTCTTTTCATCTTCTCTCCTCCAGCCCAGTATGATTCCTTTCAAGTGTTGAAGCACTTTAATTCGGACCCATTATATTCCAGTCAGCCAGCGAAGCCGTGCAAACATCCAAAGTATGCATAGTCAAAAGCATGTATGTAGAATCTTTTTGGCTAAAATTGCTGAGGAAATAAGGAAGAAAGCTCATTTCCATGCAACTTCAGCCGGAATCAAACCAATTCAGCTTTCTATTTCATTGAGCAGCAACACCGTAGAAAGTGAATGGCGTAGATGAGTCACATCTTTCAACTAGTGTTAATTAGACAGAAAGATAATTCTGTTTATTTATAACACATGCTTAGAATTGTAAATTATGGTTGCATATTCCATGTGCAACATCCAGCACCACTTCATATTTACATAGTTATTAATTATACGACCCACAATCAAATCATGCATATTAGTCTGGAAAGTTTGACACACTCTGGTTTGTCACAAACTCCAAGTTTATGACAATTACTAACATTGCTTTTGATAAAGTTGGTGGTGGCACAAACTTGAATCTGCATAACCTTTGAGCAAGACCTCGCCTAGAGGAGCGCTAATGATAACGAAGAGTAATCACACATCAGCCGCCTTGTTCTGTTTTGTCGCTTGGTTGATATAAAGTTAAATTTTGAAGATAAATACAGAGTGTTCGCAAGAGATTCATGAGGAACTAATTAACTGTGTGTCACATAGCTCAGCCACGAACCAAAACCCTAACACTTTCTTGTGCAAAATAAGATAACAAGTTTTATTGGATTCGATTATTCCGTCCCAAGTTTAGCTTAGAGGTTGGTCCTGGTGGTTCATATCCCTCGGCTCATCGTTGCGTTAGGACCAAACGGTTGGTCAAATTTGTCAGCCCAAATTTGTTTCATCCTCTGGTCAATTCCATCAAGTACAACTCAATTCGAAAACTCTAATCCGTTTAGAGGCCTTAATTTGAAAGAGAAAGTCGACTTGGATGGACAAGGCAGAGGCTTTCGTAACACACATCGACAAACAACAAGCCTCAAAGCCATACGACGATGCATCCTCCTAACAACCCAACCCACCAGCCAACCAACCAACCAAATAAATAAGAGTGGTTTCAAGTGGACAGCCTTGAATCCAAGTAAATTGCTAGATTCTAGATTTGTCCAACAGATTATTGCATTATTCGCCAATTTTGAGTACATGCGTTCTCTGCCCAATGTCAAGTGAGAGAGTTGGTCGTCATCCTACTCATTTCTTTGTTCGTCCACCAAAAGGTGCGGCCCTCATCTGGCAACGGCCTGTTTGCTCAACAACTTTCTCCAGCATCAAATTTCGCTCTCGAGCACCATGTTGAATTCCAGAGGATAAAAGATTTTCCTTCCGAGAGCCGCATCAGCATTCTCATTTATTAAATTTCAAAGTCCATGGAATTTAGTTCCTCTTTTGAAAATTTCTGTAAAATGAGCAGCATTGAATTTTGAAATGATCTTTTACATATGCACATACATACAAAAATTCGTACAAAAAGAAATTCTTTTCGCTTTGGAATCTCTTGTTTGCAGTTAAAGTGGTGTAAAATAGTATGGAATGAAAAATCAACATAATATGAGATATGTAGTAATCCGCTTGAATCTCAGTCTACCAATTGTAGCGTAATTTTGAAACCCTGATATTTCACAAACATACATATCCTTAGTCGAATAATCCGGAACCGTGACGATGATATTGGACTTGGCATTGTAATTTTAAGCAAATCTGAAAATCAATCAAGCTCTGAGTATCTACATATTGTGGAACACAATGTAAGCGAAATTATACACAAACAAACAGACTCCACGCCTCATCCTCTCTCTTCTTGTAATAAATAATAGAATAATGTGTAATATGCTTTCATGCCTGAGGCAGCAATGAAACGATGCTAATGAACCAAAGGAATATACATATTCTTCCTTTGTAGTTCTAAATCTGTATTACGGAGAACGCGAATCATGCATATAATCCTACTTACAAACCACTACAGCATCCAATAAATATCCATTGCACATGTTTATTGCGAATAATCATTTTGAAACTCACTGAAAACATTATTGCTCAAAAACAGTCTTACATGAATTTTTGAATTAGTAACAAATTGGACCATATTCTTACGTTCAGGCTCTCTTCAGGTCTTCAGTATCTATTCGCTGTTCTAATCTTAAATCAAACGAAATGTGTGCTTGCTCAACTTTATATTTGCTCACGTATACGTGTACGAATTTGAGATACTGGTTGAGACAGATCGAGAGCAAACTAGACAATCACGAACATATTATTATACGGGTTCCGACGGGAAAGTTCTTAAATATCAAAGGTTCCAAAGTTTGATGCACTATCATGTTCCCACAAATACTAAAGGACCACTCCGTACATACTTAAAATTAATTGACGCATATTGTAAAGTTGATATTTATTATGAATTTCATAATAAATATCAACTTTCATAATTTCATATAATCTATGTTTTTGAAATGCCGTTGTACTGAATTGTAAATATACACAATTTTTGGCATATATTTTTATAAGTCTATTTTTCTGAGAGAAATCATTTTGCTGGTTAAAGCAAGAATTGTTCATCCTATTATTTTTAGCACAAATTCATATTCATATGCATAACTGGTACCAACATCATTTCTGCTTTCATTTTAATAGAAAACTCGCAGTATAGCCTCACTTGCAAATTCGAAGAAAGTGTCAGCAATTCCCAGGAGTATATGGATACGTGAAACAGTACGAGCTGAAAGCAATTACATGATCCATCATTCCGCAACTTCCACTTGACGAAAACCAAAAACTTTCAATGCAATGCGGTGTAATCACTGCACAACGACTGACGAAAGAGGCTGGTGATACGGACTTTATTGAGTAATACTACTCAATCCCCATATTCAATTAAAGTTTTTACCTGTATTTATCCAAGCCCTAATAAAAGTTGTTACTTTTAGTGCAGTCCTTCCAATAAATTTCGTGAAACATCTGACGACACGGGAGAAAATACAAAGTTTAAATTACTTTCGTTTAATTATATCGCCATAAATTCATACCTCTTCTATGAAATCCTTTCCTGCTGCTGCTGCAATAAAAGTGAAACGTGAATATACTGCTTCTTTGATGTAGCAGTAAAAGTTTGAGTATCTCTGACTCATGTTTCTTTAAAAGGAATTACATTCAACTTCATTAAACAGAATTCAGACCATTTAAAAGCATATGTAGATCTAAAATTTGGACGCTACCCTTTAAGAGTAAATACATGTTAGACGCCTATCAAGGTCAAAAGTCATGGTAAAAGAGCCATTAACTGAAATAAGGATAGTGCTGCAATGATGTCAAGTACAATTTCATAAAAGGATCCAAGCATATACGTATGCAGCCTTGCTGCTGGGCGAGGATTTCAGTTCACTCGGAGAGAATATTGTACGCGACACGACAGTTCTGTGATGGAAAATTAAATTGGACAAGTATGTCCTTTGGCATAAAATTCAATTAAAGATATTCATTTCGTGTGAAATGCCCTACTTTCTCAACAGGCGAAAAAGACGATGCGATCAATGCATAAGATGTTATCATTACATGACACCATTAATAAGCATCACTTGGCTTTGTATCTGTATCTATGTAAATGTCATAAATATGCCGTACGCGCATATACAAATATCTATATCACTCCCGCTGTTGCGTAAATTTAAACGTGCTGTCCATGACATTTCAATTTTATTCCAAATTCTGAATACGATCTATGTATGTATACATGATCCTCAAACCCTTCAACAACACTCGTGCTGTGAATAGACCGGTAGAATGATACCTCGCAAAATGGATACCTATCACTCTGAATCATCTGCAAATATTTCTTTTTGAATGTGCATGATATCAGGTGAACCGTACCGTGTCGCTCCTACAAATTTGAATGCAAGTTCTACTTGATTCTCGGTCCATTACTTCTGGCTGTTGGATGATGGTGAAAGTGTATTGAATCCAAATTTCCTTTTCACTCTCCACTCAAATCAGCACTTCGGCTGATTGCAGAGTAGCAGAAATGGTCTGGAAGCTAGAGCAGAGAGGAAACGAACAACAGATGGTCGAAATGACCCTCTTGTAATGCACTTCTTGTTCCACATGGCAAAACTGAGCATAACGTTTGCTTCGAGAAAATTAGATTTTTGGAGGGTACAATTTTCAGGAATTTTGTTGTTCATCATTTTTTCCCCTTCAACACATTTCCTTTACTGCCTAATTTCACCATTTGTTTAATGCGTAGCGTGTGTATAAGTAGACCGTTAGAATATATACGCACGTGAAAGTTTAGTTTCACGACCTTTGATGACCATTTCAATTTATGTTAAGGATTCAATTTATGCATGCTTTTGTAATACTACACAATAATTGTCAAGTGTCACTACAAGTTGGCTTTTGTCATACTACAAGTACTCACTTTCACCTAACCGACCCACCATGAAAGTTCGTCATGACTGCACGATGTTCAAATTAAGTAGGACGAATGGAAGGGCTTCTCATTTAATATTCACACTTAAAGTCAAGCTTTCACTCTACACATTTCCGTCTATTTTCATATTTTAATTTTCATAAGTCA